ATCATAAAGACAGTCTAGCAGGCACGTATCCCGTGACCTGGTGTTGAGGTAAACTATAACACTCTGTGATGTTCAGAATAACTTAAGAAGTATAACAGACAGATCATTGATCCCATTTTTCAGCATGGTAGTTTTGATACCACTTGCTTCCGCAATGTAAGAGTGTTTGAGTGTACTAGTCACTTTAGAAATATTTCTTATGCTGAATTATACTCTGGCGATTTCAAAGGAAGCCATTAAAGTTAGCTGTTAATTATTTATTGCATTTTCGTTTGCTAGTGAAGCACAAAAATTTTTTGCTAGATAGTTTAGGGTCTTCACTCGCTTTGTTGACGCTTCATAGACACGCTTACCTGAATATAGCATATAATCTATCGGTCATCATCAAAACTTATTAACATGAAATCTAGCAAAAGCGATTTGGATTCCGGGTCGTGAGTGGTTGATTTTTTATCATGCCTCAATCGGTCACTTGTAGTAGCCGCATCATCTAGATTCTATCTGCATGAATTTCCTAACAATTCAGTCCTTAGATTTTTCCAGACTGCCTAGGTTACAGTAAATTCACCTTAAATAAAGTTTGGGCCGCCAAAAGACCAGGTGTTGAGTTTGTCTAAGAAGAAATATTTTACCTCACATTTTGGACTGAATTGAGCAAAATTATCAGCAGCTCTCGTCTTTTGCATTTCGTTCGGTAGCTAACTAGTATGCCTGCTCCACTTTCATGAGATATTTCGCTAATAATAATGTAGATAGTATTTCCAACGAGTGTGGCTACTCCTTCTTGATGCTTCTGGATTCCATCGGGTACTGCCAAAGTATGATTTTTAAAATTAGATTAGTTATAACGTAAACGCTAGGACAGCCATGTTTTTTGTTTTGGCAATTGAGCCCGGTGAAGTAGAGTTTGACTGTACATCTAACCCCTATCACTTGTTAAACAGGTTCCAGGAGTTGGTCTGACAAACCTGAAGGCCATTTGAATGACTTTGCGAATCACCGACGCTGACTTCAGCATCATTCATTGTCGAAGCCACACTAACCGGAAATTTACACTTCAAAGATATTTCTTGTCCATACATAAACTTAGACTTGGCTTATTTCTGGGTTCTTGATTTTAAATGCGATCAGCGGGTGTTGGGCCTTTTGGGGCCGAAAATTGTGATCCATGTTCATCTTGCGACACTGTTTCTTTGAGTTACAGATCAAAATGCTACTTGAAAAATTTAGTTCAATTTTCGTGTAAGCCTGTTAGGCTTCCTAGTTTATAAACTACCAGAAAAGTAACCACAGGTACATCTTGAGGCATCTGCGTGTTAAGTGGATCCGTTATCAACCCATTTTCATACTTGAGGCGAATACATAGAACTTTTATACTCAGTAAAAGATGACTGACATCCTCCTGGGGTCTCCATTAAGTTACAGAACTGCCGTACTCGAAATTGCATGCATTTTACGACATTTGATCGTTTACTTTTTTGACTTTCATCTGTTTGTCACCTCCAATGGAGTGTTGCTCTTCTCACAGTGATTTCTTAGTGATTTATGGCAAAATGGGTGTGCAGATACCTCTTTCTGTTAGAGGTAATCCTAGCCTTTGACATAAGATTTCTTCGGTGTTTCTTCGCTAAAGCTAGTTAGAGGATAAGGCAAGAAAGAATCCTGATTGCTTGAGGTTTTGTTACTCCCAAACCATATTAGGGTCAGCTTTTACTCTTTTGTTCTATTTAAGTCCTTCGGCCGTGAACTAAGGTGAGATTTCCGTTCATCGATTTTTGTCTAAAGAGAGGCATCATGTGAACTATCTCGATGTCTCCCGCTGTCATCTATTTTAACGGCATTCACGATTACATTAGCATCAGATAGCAAACTCTTGCATCTAAGTAGTAACAATACCAAAACCGAACACATTCACCTTTGCTAAACCATTGGTTAACTGTCGTTTTTAAACTTCCATGAAACTTGTGGTTCCATCCTGTGTAATCTCGAGGCTCCATACCAAGTTCAACAAGATAGCAAAAGCATGATTCCAAGCGAATTGTTTTTCTAAGGCCATCAAAACAATCAGCTTAACTCAACCAGTTAAAAAGCATAACTGCGATAGTAGAACCGTCACGGATACTGCTGGTCCCAAGCCCCGATAAAGAAGGAGGGTTGGGCATGGGGACGGCGACACCATTCCACGAAAAACTAACTTGCCAAAAAAACGTTAACCAGAAAAAATAAATCAAACCATTTTAACTCTTCCCTGGGAGTTGGAAGAAGAATTATGACGTCCCGTGATGAAAGCCGAGTTCCCTCGGAAGTCACGAGGCCGATGCCTCTTCTGACAACCAGATCAACCATTCTTTTAGGTACATGGAACGTTTGAACAATGTGGGAGACTGGAAGACTATTTCAACTTGCTGCAGAAACGGAAAGATATAACCTGGAGGTACTTGGAATCAGCGAAATGCATTGGACTCAGGTAGAACAACCGAGACTAGCTTCAGGGGAACTGCTGTTATACTCTGGTCATGAAGAGGAAAATGCTTCACATACGCAAGAAGTTGCACTGATGCTGTACAAACAAGCACAAAAGGCACTAATAGGATGGGAATCTCATGGACCCAGGATCATCAAACCATCCTTCAAAACAAAGAAAGAGGACATTACAATGAACGTCATCTTATGTTATGCACCTACCAACGACTACAATGACGACGATAAAGATCAATTCTACGAAAAACTGCAGCAAATGGTCGACAGATGCTCACCAAAGGACTTGCACGATATACTCAATGGAGAGGAAACAACCTTGGAGAACAATTGAAAAGGGATCAAGGAGGCAATCACTTCAACATGTCACGAGGTTCTTTGCCACAGCTAGTACCATCACAAGGAGTGGATCTCTGTTGGTACTCTTAAAAATATTGAACAAAGGAGGAATAAGAAGACAGAAACCAACATCAGCCAAACAAGAGCAGAGAGAGTCAAGGCATAAGCTTAAATACACAGAAGCAAACAGAAAAGTGAAGAGGAGCATCGGAGCTGACAATCGTCAATGTGTGGAAGGTCTAGCAATGACAGCGGAAAAGGCTGCGAGAGATGGAAACTTCAGACAATTGTACGATACAACAAAGAAGCTCGCTGGAAATTATCGTAAACCAGAACGACCAGTGAAAAGCAAAGAGGACAAAGTAATCAGCAACACTGAAGAATCGCGAAACAGGTGGGTAGAGCACTTTAAACAACTCTTGAATCGACCAGCTCCACTGAACCCACCCAACATCAAAGCAGCACCAACAAACTTCCCAATCGATGTTGGCCCACCAACAATTCAAGACTTATGTATGGCCGTCAGATGAGTCAAGAGCGGCAAGGCAGCAGGACTAGACAACATTCCAGCAGAGGCAATGAAAGTAGACGTGGAAGCAACTGCAAAAATATTTTACATTCTCTTGAGAAACATTTTGAAGGGAGAACAAGTACCAACGAACTGAAAACCAGGATACCTGATCAAAATACCAAAGAAAGGTGATCTCAGCAAGTTTGAGAACTACAGAGGCATCACTCTTCTCTCATTACCAGGCAAAGTCTTCAACAGCGTATTGTTAAACAGAATGAACGACTTCGTAGACACCCAACTTCGAGATCAACAGGCCGGATTTCATAAGGATCGACCGTGTACTGACCAAATTGCAACATCACGGGTCATTGTGGAACAATCAATTGAATGGAGCTCACCGCTCTACATCAACTTCATCGACTACGAGAAAGCATTCGATAGCGTGGACAGGAAAACACTATGGAGGCTTCTCCGAAACTATGGCGTGCCTGAGAAGATAGTCAACATCATACAGAATTCTTATAAACTGCAAAATCGTGCACCGAGGACAGCTCACAGACTCTTTCGAGGTAAAGACCGGTATCAGGCACGGTTGCTTACTCCCACCGTTTCTCTTTCTCCTGGTGATCAACTGGATTACGAAGACGTCAACATCCTGGGGGGAAACATGGTATACAGTGGACAGCTAGGATGCAGCTAGGCGATCTGGATTTGATAGCTGATCTAGCTCTTCCATCGCAGACGCGACAACAAATGCAAGAGAAGACGACCACTGTAACAGCAGCTTCTGCAGCAGCAGGTCTCAACATACATAAAGGGAAACGTAAAAAATATGCGGCAACCAAATCACTTTTAATGGACAACGTCAAAACCTTTCCCTATCTGGGCAGCATCATTGACAATCAAGATGGACTTGATGCAGATGTAAAGGCAAGGATCGGCAATGCAAGGGCTGCATTGCTACAACTGAACAACATTTGGAACTCCAAACAACTATCAATCAGCACAAAAAATAGGATTTTCAATACAAATATCAAGACACTTCTACTGTATGGAACGGAAACTTGGAGAGCTATCAAAGCCATCTTCCAGAAGATACAAGTATTCAATAACAGTTCTCTACGCAAAATACTTGGGATTCGTTGGCCAGACACCATCAGCAACAGCCTACTGTGGGGGAGAACAAACCAGATTCTAGTGGAGGAGGAAATCAGGAAGAAGCGGTGGAAGTGAATAAGACACACACTGAGAAAAGCACCCGACAGCGTCACAAGACAAACCCTCACTTGGAACCCTCAAGGTAAAAGGAAAAGGCCAAAAAACACATTACGCCGAGAAATAGAGAAAGACATGAGAAGAATGAACAGAAACTGCAAAGAACTAGAAAGGGAGGCCCAGGACATAGTTAGTTGCATAAAACTGATCTGTTGCCTATGCTCCTTTGGGGATGACAGCCGTAAGTAATTAAGTAATTAAGTGAAAATAGCAAAATCTACATTTAGGGCGTGATTTATTTTGTTAGCACTATATTTTTTGCTCCCTTATTTACCGTATCGATAACTTTTGTCCTTATATTTGGTAATATGAATGCTGCCGATATCCAGAAACCTTGCCATCTTGTAACAGACTGCTTACTACCTTGACTATTGGATCTTTGATTGTAGACCGAAATCCGCAGTTTTTGTGATTTGCGTTTCAAGTGTATGTTTGGATCGGTAGGAGGATTTATCTTTTAGACTGTCAGGTAAAATATTAAAATAGCGGCCGAAAGTGAATTTTATACGTAGTTCGTTATTACTGTTAGAGTCTTACTCAGTAAATTTTACTTTGCTTGTAAACCTGTCACAAGGACTATTGATCATCTAGTTATATCTAGTAATTGCACGTTATATTAACTAAGTTAGTGTGTGGTGAACTCGTTCCTCTCATTTTTGGAGCTTTTTAAACGTCGGTTTTTCTGAAGCTTTTATGCTTAATGGTTTCGTAGACAATTGTTCCTATTATTACTCCCAAATTCAGTATCTAGCTTAACGTAAGCTTCAGTTCTGTATAAGGCTATTTATGAGAAGTATAGAGTTCTATCAAAGGTGTCAGTTCTTTAAGAAGCTCTGGAGCGCCATGAATGTTACTCTTTCCAATATACATTGTAACGTTACAGCAGATTATGATTCTGTTGTAAGCCATATCACCTAATTTTTAATTCGTGGGCTGTCTTTGCGCTAAGTAATTTTCGAAGCTCATACTTTCTCAAACACTCGTGGATCCGGGAGTGTTCCTGGTTTCGGTTCGGTGGTTACTACATACGCCTGTGTACGTGGCTAGTTTTCTCTAGCTATCCTTACACTGACTCCAATGAAACTAAACGATTAAGGGAGCACTTAAAGCACCTAATAACTGTATGTCATTCTTTAACTATGCCTTGGTTCAGTATAACCCTGAAACAGTAATATATAACTTGCTGCTTTGATTTAAACTTTCGCATCCACTATTGGTTTGTTGTTTCTAGGATTTTTTAAAATCGCAGTATTGACTCTTTTTTAACATACTTGTTTGAAGTGCCATCACATAAACCAGTTGACATCGCCACGTTTTACTTCCTTTTAATTATTAGACAGTGACTTCATCGCTCAACTGTCGGTCAGGCAGTATTAAATCCAGAGTCAGTCAGTCAGTCAGTCAGACGCAACGTAGAACTTCGTACGTAAGTACATCAGTTCATGTTGTCATACCACATCAGCACACAGATATAATTGTCAATTCAAATCCAATAGTAGAAGACGTAGTAAAGGTATTAGAAGCAATCGGAGAGGTTACGATTAGAAGATATTATTCAAGAAGTATGATTAAATGAGAAAAGTTTAGAAAGTCAAAACTAGAGGGGTTTAAGAATCCAGAAGATTTGGATTTGAGAGAACACAAGGAATAAATGCACCGGCGCCACTGCGAACGGATTTGAGCCATGTCGTTCAAGGTCTCTAACCATTGGTGACTTTCGTCCCGCGGACACAACCAGGTAGTCTACATCTACCAACATGACTCAGTCCACTTGTCAGTGACTTCATGGATTTGTGCCATGTTTTGGTCTGGCCGCCTCTAACTTTCTTCCAACCTACTCCTACACCACAAAACATAGCTCGTCGAGGGAGTTGGTGGTTAGGCATACGTAACACATGTCCCAACCACCTCAACTGATGAAGTTTCACCACTTCATCTATTGATCTGCCATTCTTACCTAGCACCCGTTTCCTAACGACAGCATTGCTTACTCGGTTGTCCCACGGTATACGAGCAATGCTTCTTAAACATCTATGATCGAATACTAGTAACCTACAAACATCTACTCTTAACGGCCATGTTTCGCATTCATATAGGAGAACGGAGCGAACTGCTGCGCAGTACACTCGTCCTTTGGTCAGCGAACGTATATCACGCCTACGCCATAAGTGATGCAGGTTGTCAAAAGCCAATCGAGCCTTCTGTATCCATGCTGAGATTTCGTCAGTCACCAGGCCATCTGCACTGATGAGACTCCCCAGATAAGTGAAGCGGTCAACACGCTCGACTACTTCACTCCCTATCACTAGTTCAGGTGCCGAAGCAACCCAGTCTTGAAGCAACATTTTGCATTTCGAGGGGGAAAACCGCATCCCGAACATGCTTGCATTGTTGCTTATGGTAGTCAGAAGACTCTGCATTTTGTCAGCGTCTTCACCAAGTAGGACTATGTCATCGGCATATTCTAAGTCAATAAGCAAGCCACTTGGTAGAAGGTCTACTCCTGAAAATTCAGACGAGGATAATGTTATTTCTAGGAGCATGTCTATGATAAAATTAAACAAGAATGGAGAGAGTGGACAGCCCTGACGGACACCACTTGATGTAGAGAATTCCGATGACAATTCGCCATAAGCTCTCACTCGACCAGTGGTGTTCGAGTAGAGCTTGTATGAGGTTAATGTACTTGTTTGGTACACCTTTCAATGACAGACACTGCCACAGAACCTCACGATCCACTGAGTTGAATGCTGCCTTAAGGTCCAAGAAAACAACTATTGTAGGACGCCTGAATGTGTGTCTGTGTTCCAGGATCTGTCGTAGTGTGAATATATGGTCTATACAACCACATCCAGGTCTGAAACCAGACTGGTTTTCTCTAGTCTGCTCTTCATGAAATTAATCCAGATTTCGACCATAAAAATATTTGGCTGTTGCGAACACCACTTGAGGCATGCAACACGTTTTTTTAACTACCATCTACTTCGACACATGGTGCTGAGTAAAGTAAAATTAAATTAATAGGAATCTAGTAGGCTAAACCACGGTATTAATTCAAATAGTTGCTGTATGTTGTTTTGAGTCATGCTGGTAGGTTTGTATGATAAACGCGATCAGCAGTTGGAGAACTTGAGTAATATTTTTCAGAATCAGTCATAACCACACATGTATGTTTAGGTCCTAAGTTTCAACATTTGTTTGTACTGTTTACGCCTCTTGGACCGTATTCGCTTTTTGTAGCCACTTGTTTTTACCTTGGTTTTGCACAAGTTAATGTAATTTGTATTTTTATTCAATGTATTCAATTCTCTGCGTCAAACAGAGCTACCACTGAATTGTATTAGTCAAATACGGATTCCTAAAAAAAATTCTGATCTTTAAATGCTAGTGGAGAATGTGTTTCCAAACATCTAAATATGCTATTAATTTCAGGTACTTTGATTACTTTATAAGTCACTAGAGTTTAAAAAGACTGTGGTCAAAATTAAATTCATTTCCAAATATAACAAATTTAGTAGGAGGTTGAATTTATCAAATTTGATTGAGAGAGAAATTAATGAATGGGTACTTTTATAAATCTCCAGAAAATAGTAATAAATGAGATATGTAATCCCCTGATTTCAATAGATGTTCAGCTGTTACACTGACTTTATAGAAAAATATATGCTTAATATACTCGGTCATAGTCTTATCTATTTTAACACTTTTTCTCTTAATTGTTTAGTAATGCAAGAAACGATAAAAAAATAACATTAAAATTATGGAAACCTCCAAACAGACTTGTATTGTATTAAATGATGAATATAAAGGTAGGTTGCGCAAATTTTTTGATACCATATGATTAGGTGATGATATGAATCTCAAATTATCTTATCCAGCTAACTATTTTGATAATCTTGAAGACCCTGACTTATCACATGCAAATGAAAATGGGATATCCGATAACTATGCAGAAATATATTCCCCAGCTGGTAGTATATCTAGTTCAGAATCGGTTGAAATTCCGTATGATATACCTGATAATCAAAAGTACCATGATCTCGGTGCTTATATCAGCTCAGTTGTTGCTGCTTGTAAAAATGAATCCTTAAATCCCATAAAGCTCTGTCCACAGTTATCTCAAGAAGGAACTGCTCATCTAACAAATGTGCAATTAACCGAGTCAAATGATGACGTAGTACTTGATCCATCTACAGATATCGACACTACAGATACATCAAATATTATGGGAATAAATAACAAGCATGACAGTCATTCATCTCCTCTTCCTCAGCAGGATTTAGAAGAAGCTGTGCCATCAGATTTGTTTAACGATCCCCATACTGATGGAAACTTTGCAGAGGAATTCGCTGATTTTGTGAGTAATGGTCCTGTTGATGAAAATTGGGCTACCTTTTCACCCGAAGTACATCAAGACGAAGCTGATGTAGTAGATGATAAACCTCCCGTATCAAATTTTAGAAATTCTTTGGAATCGGAAGATGACAATGACGACTTTGGAGACTTCACTAATTGTGAACCATCCATTGTTTCCGCCTCAATAACTTCTGTAAATATTCCAAATAATTTCGAACCTATGAAGAAAGAACAGACATCTACTCTTGGAATTTTGGTATGTTTTTGTACTTCTGTATATAATTCTGAAACATAACGTATGTGTTCCTTGAAAATAGCGATATTATTGAGCGTTGTTTTTCCACTTCTAAAAGAAGTTCTATTTATAAGCTTGTTTCACTTGGTCTATGATCAGGAATCATTTAGCATAGGACAAATGACTTTTACTCGAACTATAATAGCACACACATATTGATTCTATCAACCCCTCAATCTTGTGCTTTCGAATAATAGAACCATCGAGTAATATTTCTAGCTTGATAGGTTTAACATCTTGGTTTCTCATAAAATACAGCAACAAACCGATTACAGATGATTTTATAAAATCACAAATGTAATTGCATGCTCATTTTTATAATAGGTAATAAGCAGTTAAACTAAAAATGATTTAACATGGATGAAAATCGTAAGTTAATGTGATAGTCAAGGTCTCCAAACTGTGTTTTTTGTGTTTTCCATAAATCTGCAGTTATCAACACCTACAGAGTTTACCGCGTTTATAGTTATTTTGATCGTTTAAATTCTCACTAATTACTGTAGGACCATCGCTAACGGTCTGCACATACAAGACCCTATATCTTTTCTTTTAAAATAGCTCCTCTAACAGAAAATTGTAGCTTCGAAAATTTCGTAATGTCTATTCAGTTAAAACCAGGATTTTTGTGTTAAATATAGTCATACAAAAGCTAAGTCACTCAGTTAACATAATTTACACAGTGTGATTCATCCTCTTGACCTAGTCTGCAATTATCTTGAGATTTAGTGACCCATTCTTATTGGCTTGAGGGGTATGGAGATAATATCAAGTAACAACCCCGACCGAAGCTGCTACCTTGACGTGGTGGTCGGGCTTGCCTATCGTGATGACCCAACCGAGCTATACTGGCTGGAACACATGTTCCTGCAGGTCCTACCATGCCAGGCAGGTCGATTGGAGAACGATGAGACTAAAAGCAGCTACCTAAGGTCTGAGGGCGAAGTCGTACTGCTGACTGCAGAGGGGTGTGACAGCAGTAAGGTGTTTCCCTCGGACAACCAGCATCTGCAGCGATGCTGCCTTCTCACAAGGAAGGAAGGGTTAGAAAAGGTCGGCCCTAAAAATGTCACACCTCCCCTAACTCACGGATTTCCGTCTCCTTGGGTAAAGGTGCCCACTAAGGGCCTTTAAGAACGGAGCTAATCCTCAAAAAACTTCTCATAAAAAGGCCGTGCGTGACCGGCCTCAAGCAGTTGTCCCTTGGGCTCTGCGGTCACGCACCAACACTAATCCATCTTCCTTTTCAGGTTCGTCAAGAAACAACCTTCCACGGTGTGGGCAGCCGGGAAGTGATAACCGCTCTCATACCCGCAACAGCACACGAGACAAAATTGTTCAAAATCAAATCCTTCCTACATTCCCTAATACCTCTCTTATCTCCACAACTAACTCTTCTCACATTCATTTATTACAGTGCACAGCTAATGCAAACGATGCGAGTTTGCGAAACGTCGTTCCTGGTCTCCTTAAACCCCGTTCCAAACTACATGTTGGAGCATTCAATGTACGGACATTGTGTCAAATAGGGCAACAGGCATCATTAGCTAGGACTTTAGAATCTCGTTCCATCGATGTGTGCTGCGTCTAGGAAACTCGCATACAGGATCCGAGTAGCATCACTCATTTGACCTCACCATGTCAAGATAAAGAAGCAGCTCGATTTATCCTTCGTGTATCCGGTAGCCCTGATGCTGCTTCTAGGGGCCTCGCCGGTGTAGGTATAGCATTGAGTCGTAGGGCAGAACAATCTCTCCTTGACTGGATCCCTGTAGATAGTCGCTTGTGCGCCGTCCGACTGAACGGGACAGTAAGGACTCGGAAAGATAGGGACACTCGCCGTTGCCTCTTCGTCATATCAGCCTACGCCCCCACTGACTGCAGCCCAGATGATGTAAAAGATGAGTTTTACAGAAAGCTTTCGGACCTCCTCCAAAAAGCTAAGCGCTCTGATATAGTTATAATGGCTGGTGACTTCAATGCACAAGTAGGTAGACTAAGTGAAAATGAAAGACACCTAGGTGGATGTTACGGTCTCGCGGCTCAAAGAACAGACAATGGCGACCGTCTGTTGCAACTGTGCTCAGATAACCAACTATTTCTAGCAAACACTAATTTTAAGCATAAGGAAAAACACCTTTTGACCTGGCGACCCCCGAAGTCGTCTCAACGTTGGACACAACTAGATCATATCGCCATCAGCCACCGATGGAGGGGTTCGATAGAGGACTGTCGCTCGTTCTGGGGCACATGTTTAGATTCAGATCATGCCCTAGTGCGAGCACGTATTTGTTTGAGGCTTGCTGGACGTAGGAAAGACACCGTAAGGAAGGAAGCCTCTTAGGGCTTTACTTGATGATAATAAAGCTAAGAAAATATATCAGGAGGAACTAGAAAAACAGTTAGACGACCATACAAGTGATTCCCATCGAGAGGTAGATTGGAATGATATCAAAAAGGCTGTGGAAACAGCAGTGATATCTGCTAGTAAGGTAAACCATAAGGCCAGGATGAAGCCGTGGATCTCAGTCGCATCCGCTTAACTGATGGATGCTCGAAAACGCATACCACCTGACTCTGAACATGACGAAGTGCGAAGTCAGCTTAGGCGCAGACTGATAAAAAGCCTATGTAACGACCGCGAACATTGGTGGGTGGCGAAAGCAAAAGCGATGGAAAAGGCAGCGGCGATAGGCAACAGTAGACAACTTTTCCGACTTATCAAGGAAACCGGTATTAAGAACCCAAATGTGAGTGAGACTATCTCGGAAAAGGATGGTCTTATTATCCATTCTCAATCCAGGAGACTGGACCGATGGGCAGAACACTCTACGGATCAGTTCAACTGGCCTCGAGCCACTCTTCGGTTACCCACGATCTCCAGTCATCCTGAATAGCAAGTCCACTTAAGTCCTCCCAGTCTGCATGAAGTTAAGAAAGCTATAGGAAATCTGAAGAGAGGCATAGCAGCAGGTCCTGATATGCTTAATCTTTAGATGTTTGATGATGGTGATCCAGTTTTAATAGTTAGACTGACCGAGATCTTAGGTAGAATCTGGGAACTGGACACAATCCCATCTGACTGGTCTCAATCAATGACTGTCCCAATCTATAAGAAAGGACAGAAGTCTTCTTGTGACAATCACAGGGGAATAAGTCTAACTAATAAAGTTTCTAAATTGTTAGCCTCCATTATACTTAGACGTCTAATTAGAGCTCGTGAAGAGCAGACTCGAGAAAACCAGTCTGGTTTTCGACCTGGACGTGGTTGTATAGACCATATATTCACACTACGACAGGTCCTGGAACACAGACACACATTTAGACGTCCGACAATAGTTGTGTTCCTGGACCTAAAAGCGGCATTTGACTCAGTGGATCGTGAGGTTCTGTGGCAGTGTATGTCATTGAAAGGTGTACCAAAGAAGTACATTAACCTTATACAAGCACTCTACTCGACCACCACTGTTTGAGTGAGAGCTTATGGCGAACCGTCATCTGAATTCTCTATTTCGAGTGGTGTCCGTCAGGGCTGTCCACTCTCTCCATTCTTGTTTAACTTTGTCATAGACATCCTCCTACAGTTAACATTAAGCTCGTCAGATTTTTCAGGGGTTGACCTTCTACCAGGAAAGTCGCTTACTGATCTAGAATATGCCGATGACATAGTTCTATTCGGTGAAGACGCTGACAAAATGCAGAGTCTTCTGACTACCATAAGCAACAATGCGAGCATGTTCGGGATGCGGTTTTCCCCCTCGAAATGCGAAATGTTGCTTCAAGACTGGGTTGCTTCGGCACCTGAACTAGTGATAGGGAGTGAAGTAGTCGAGCGTGTTGATCACTTCACTTATCTTGGTAGTCTCATCACTGCTGACGGTCTGATGACTGACGAAATCTCAGCTCGGATACAGAAGGCTCGATTGGCTTTTGACAACCTGCATCACTTATGGCGTAGGCGTGATATCCGTTCGCTAACCAAAGGACGGGTGTACTGCGCAGCAGTTCGTTCCGTTCTCTTATATGGCTGTGAAACATGGCCGTTAAGAGTAGAAGATGTTTGTAGGTTACTAGTATTCGATCATAGATGTTTAAGAAGCATTGCTCGTATATCGTGGGACAGCCGAGTAAGCAATGCTGTTATTAGGAAACGGGTGGTAGGTAAGAATGGCAGATCAATAGATGAAGTGGTGAAACTTCATCAGTTGAGGTGGTTGGGACATGTGTTACGTATGCCTAACCACCGACTGCCTCGACGAGCTATGTTTTGTGGTGTAGGAGTAGGTTGGAAGAAAGCTAGAGGCGGCCAGACCAAAACAATGCAGAAATCCATGAAGTCCCTGACAAGTGGACTGAGTCATGTTGGTAGATGTAGACTACCTGGTTGGGGTCCGCGAGACGAAAGTCATCAATGGTTAGAGACCTTGAACGACATGGCTCAAAATCGTTTGCAATGGCGCAGGTGCATCCACTCTTTGAGCTCTCTCAAATCCTAATCTTCTGGATTAGCCAGCACATCTACCTTTGTCTTTCTAACCTTATCTCACTGAATTATATTGTTTGAATAATATCTTAAACCCTAGTCTTCTTTATTATAACATTAATACCTCTACCATCTTTATCACTATGGGATTTGATTTGACATTTGCGTCTCTGTGCTAATAATGTGGTATGGCAACATGAACTTATGTACATACGTACGAAGTTCTACGTTGCAACTGACTGACTCAAGTAACAACACTGAAAATAATCATAATAAATGGCTCATATTTAATAGCCATGTGTACATTATTTGATTCAACAGTTATACGAGAACCTGAAAGTTGTGTAATAATCATCAGATTTTTACTTTTCGTTCATTCACTTACAGACTGCTGTTTAAACTAATTGCTAGTATGTATAATCTATCCTTCAAATAAGTTAACTTGAACCGCAGCATACACACCTGCATATATATATATATATATATATATATATATATATATATTTCATAACTGAAATCACGAACTAATCTAAGCTGGAGCACTATTAGAGGCCTGGAAGCATCGGATGACCGTTTCGTCTTGGCATATGACTCCTCAGCAGTGTCCATTCACGACACAGCGCAAGGGAGTCGGACTTAGGGCACTTACTCAATCCATGGTGAAGTAAGAGACTAGATATCTACATCATTCGATGCTGACTCAGTGATTTAGAGGTTAGGTGTTCACGTGAGAGACTAAAGGTTCTGGGTTCAACCCTCTCGTGCTATATCTTGATTGAGCACTACTGATGGGTCCTATACTAAGACGAATCGGCCATCCAGTGCTTCCAGTTTTCTAATAGTGCCCTAGGTGAGATGAGTTCGTGATTTCAACTATGAAAATAACACAATCTCCACGAATCCCCTTCATATATGTTTATTTGTTTTTGTGTTATAGGAACGCTTATTGCAGAAACTGGAGCCATCATTGGATAAAGCTTTTGGAGTTCATCTCAATCACCAGACTAGTGGAAATCCAAATGCGTCAACGGTAACTCGTAAAAGCAACAAACTGTACACAAATGTCAATAAATCTGTTGACACATCAAATAACGTTTCATCTTTGTCAAACTCTGCATCAGGCATAATTACTAATCGGTAATTATTATAATTAATTTTATGATTACTATTATTTCTTACGTACGCCTGTTACCCCTAGTGGGGCATAGACCACCGAGCAGCATTCTCCAACTAACTTTGTTTTGCGCCTTCCTTCCTACTTCTACTCAGTCGCTACCAATTCTTTTCACGTATGTCTCTGATTCCCGATGCAGTATATTCATTTGTCTACCTATTTTCCTTTGGCTTTGACGTTTCCAAGTTGCCTCGTAATGCAGCTAAGTTAGGGCTTATTGTTCCGTAATGCAGCTGTATGATTTCAGCAATGTGTCTAATCTACTTCTAGCGATTTTTCTTGATTCCTTCTCCTAGAATCTAGTTTGTTCTCCCCCACAGTAGGTTGTTGCTGTTGGTGCCTGGCCAACGGATCCTCAGTATCTTGCGTAGACAACTGTTAGTAAACACGTGTATCTTCCGGATGATGACTTCCGTAGTTCTCCGAGTTTCCACTCCATACAACAAAACAGTTTTGACGTGTGCATTGAAAATTCTGACTTTAGTGTTGGTTAGCAGTGGTTTCGAGTTCCAGATGTTGTTTAGTTGTAAAAATGCTTCCCTTGCTTTGTCATTCCGTGCCCTCACATCCGCATCAGATCCACCTTGCTTGTAAATGATGCTACCCAGGACTTTAAAAGTTTTCTCCTCCATAGCTCCATGAAGTTTGATTTGGCTGGTGCATGCTGTAAAGTATGGGAACATCTTGCTTTTTGCCTTGTGTAGATTGCGATCTGCTGCTGAAGAGGCTACTGCTACTTCGGTCGTCTTCTGCAATTGTTGTTGTTGTCAGTCAATCAGTCAGTCAGATACAACGTAGAACTTCGTACGTAAGTACATCAGTTCATGTTGCCGTACCACATTAGCACGGACACTCAAACCACATAGTGGTAGAGATAGAAGGAGTACTACTGGTAATAGAGAGGATTAGGGTTCCAAGATATTATTCGAAAAGTATAATTCAGTGAGCTAGGTTTAGAAAGACAAAAGTAGAGGTGTTGAAGAATCCAGAAGATTAGGATTTGAGAGAAATAGTAGGTTATCTGAGCATAGTTGCAACAGACGGTCGCCATTATCCGTTCTTTGAGCCGCGACACAATAACATCCACCTAGGTGTCTTTCATTTTCACTTAGTCCACCTACTTGAGCAATAAAGTCACCAGCCATTATTACTATATCAGAGAGCCTAGCATTTTGGAGGAGGTCCGAAAGCTTTCCGTAAAACTCATCTTTCACCTCGTCTGAACTGCAGTCAGTGGGGGCGTAGGCAGATACGTCGAAGAGGCAATGGCGAGTGTCCCTATCCTTCCGAGTCCGTACCGTTCCGTTTAGTTGGACAGTGCGGGACTATCAACTGGAATCCAGTCTAGGAGAGCTAGTTCTGCCCTACGACTCAATGCTATACCTACACCAGCGAGACCCCGGGAAGCAGCGTCAGGGCTACCGGATACACGAAGAGTAAATCGGGTTGCTTCTTTGTTTTGACAAGGAGAAATCAAATTAATGACTTTACTATTATCTTGCTTGCGCGTTTCCGAGACGCAACATACATCGATGGCGCGAGATCCTAAAGTCTTAGCTACTGAGGCCTGCTGCCCTATTTGACACAATGCTCGTGCATTAAATGCTCCGACATGTAGTTTAGAATGAGGTTTCAGGAGACCAGGAATGACGTTTCGTGAACTCGCATCGTTTGCGTTAGCTGTGCAGTGTGATAAAGGAATGTGAAGAGAGTTAGTCGTGTAGATAAGAGAGGTATTAGGGGGTGTAGGAAGGATTTAATTATGACTGATTTGGTCTCGCGTGCGCTTACGGGTATTGTTGTTGTGTGTGGAGTAGAAGAGCTAGGTGATCTGCGAAGTCCACATCGTCCAGTTGCTTCTTAGCTGTCCACTGCTTTCCGTGCTTCCTCTGAGATATTGACGTCTTCATAATCCAGTCGACCACCAGGAGTAAGAGAAAGGATGAGAGTAATCAACATTGCTGGATACCGATCTTCACTTCGAACTAGTCTGTGAGCTGTCCTCCGTGCAAGATTTTGCAGTTTCGTATGATATTGACTGTCTTCTGAGGGACTCCGTGGTATCGAAGAAGCCTCCATAGTATCATCCTATCCGCGTTGTTGAATGCTTTCTCGTAGTCAATAAAGTTGATGTAAAATGATGTACCCTATTCAATTGATTGTTCCACAGTGTTCCGTAATGTCGATCCTTACTGAATTCAGCTCCGAACAGTAGCTGCCACCGATGGAGAGGTTCGATAAAGGACTGTCGCTCGTTCTGGGGCACCTGTTAAGATTCAGATCATGCTCTAGTACGAGCGCGTATTTGTTTGAGGCTTACTGGACGCCAGAAAAACATCCTAAGAAAACCTCTTATGGTTTTACTGAATGATAATAAAGCTAAGAAAATATATCAGGAGGAACTAGAAAAACAGTTAGACGACCATACAAGTGATTCCCATCGAGAGGTAGATTGGAATGATATCAAAAAGGCTGTGGAAACAGCAGTGATATCTGCTAGTAAGGTAAACCATAAGGCCAGGATGAAGCCGTGGATCTCAGTCGCATCCGCTTAACTGATGGATGCTCGAAAACGCATACCACCTGACTCTGAACATGACGAAGTGCGAAGTCAGCTTAGGCGCAGACTGATAAAAAGCCTATGTAACGACCGCGAACATTGGTGGGTGGCGAAAGCAAAAGCGATGGAAAAGGCAGCGGCGATAGGCAACAGTAGACAACTTTTCCGACTTATCAAGGAAACCGGTATTAAGAACCCAAATGTGAGTGAGACTATCTCGGAAAAGGATGGTCTTATTATCCATTCTCAATCCAGGAGACTGGACCGATGGGCAGAACACTCTACGGATCAGTTCAACTGGCCTCGAGCCACTCTTCGGTTACCCACGATCTCCAGTCATCCTGAATAGCAAGTCCACTTAAGTCCTCCCAGTCTGCATGAAGTTAAGAAAGCTATAGGAAATCTGAAGAGAGGCATAGCAGCAGGTCCTGATATGCTTAATCTTTAGATGTTTGATGATGGTGATCCAGTTTTAATAGTTAGACTGACCGAGATCTTAGGTAGAATCTGGGAACTGGACACAATCCCATCTGACTGGTCTCAATCAATGACTGTCCCAATCTATAAGAAAGGACAGAAGTCTTCTTGTGACAATCACAGGGGAATAAGTCTAACTAATAAAGTTTCTAAATTGTTAGCCTCCATTATACTTAGACGTCTAATTAGAGCTCGTGAAGAGCAGACTCGAGAAAACCAGTCTGGTTTTCGACCTGGACGTGGTTGTATAGACCATATATTCACACTACGACAGGTCCTGGAACACAGACACACATTTAGACGTCCGACAATAGTTGTGTTCCTGGACCTAAAAGCGGCATTTGACTCAGTGGATCGTGAGGTTCTGTGGCAGTGTATGTCATTGAAAGGTGTACCAAAGAAGTACATTAACCTTATACAAGCACTCTACTCGACCACCACTGTTTGAGTGAGAGCTTATGGCGAACCGTCATCTGAATTCTCTATTTCGAGTGGTGTCCGTCAGGGCTGTCCACTCTCTCCATTCTTGTTTAACTTTGTCATAGACATCCTCCTACAGTTAACATTAAGCTCGTCAGATTTTTCAGGGGTTGACCTTCTACCAGGAAAGTCGCTTACTGATCTAGAATATGCCGATGACATAGTTCTATTCGGTGAAGACGCTGACAAAATGCAGAGTCTTCTGACTACCATAAGCAACAATGCGAGCATGTTCGGGATGCGGTTTTCCCCCTCGAAATGCGAAATGTTGCTTCAAGACTGGGTTGCTTCGGCACCTGAACTAGTGATAGGGAGTGAAGTAGTCGAGCGTGTTGATCACTTCACTTATCTTGGTAGTCTCATCACTGCTGACGGTCTGATGACTGACGAAATCTCAGCTCGGATACAGAAGGCTCGATTGGCTTTTGACAACCTGCATCACTTATGGCGTAGGCGTGATATCCGTTCGCTAACCAAAGGACGGGTGTACTGCGCAGCAGTTCGTTCCGTTCTCTTATATGGCTGTGAAACATGGCCGTTAAGAGTAGAAGATGTTTGTAGGTTACTAGTATTCGATCATAGATGTTTAAGAAGCATTGCTCGTATATCGTGGGACAGCCGAGTAAGCAATGCTGTTATTAGGAAACGGGTGGTAGGTAAGAATGGCAGATCAATAGATGAAGTGGTGAAACTTCATCAGTTGAGGTGGTTGGGACATGTGTTACGTATGCCTAACCACCGACTGCCTCGACGAGCTATGTTTTGTGGTGTAGGAGTAGGTTGGAAGAAAGCTAGAGGCGGCCAAACCAAAACAATGCAGAAATCCATGAATTCACTGACAAGTGGACTGAGTCATGTTGGTAGATGTAGACTACCTGGTTGGGGTCCGCGAGACGAAAGTCATCAATGGTTAGAGACCTTGAATGACATGGCTCAAAATCGTTTGCAATGGCGCAGGCGCATCCATTCTTTGTGTTCTCTCAAATCCTAATCTTCTGGATTCTTCAACCGCTCTAGTTTTGTCTTTCTAACCTTATCTCACTGAATTATACTTCTTGAATAATATCTTGAAACCCTAGTCTTCTTCATTACCATTAATACCTCTACTATCTCTAACACTATGGGATTCGATTTGACATTTGCGTCTCTGTGCTCATGTGTTATGGCAACCTGAACTTACGTACATACGTACGAAGTTCTACGTTGCAACTGACTGACTAACTGATCACTAAAAGCACAAAAAGTGTTGCTCCATGCTGAATATCTGTAGTTGATTAGTGAGTAATAGTGTATTAACCTCATATACCACTTTTTACTGTACTGATATAATCTTTGTAGCTGACTCTTAGTTTTTCCTTAATAAACGCGAAATTTAACAAGTTAAAACGACAATAGTTTTTTGAACTTCGTATCGACAAATCCTCAATAACAACTTGGTGTACAACATAGTTAGATTGTGTATAACACTAAATTGGAGAACACTTGATTCATCCTATATGCAGCTCATCAACTGGGTTTATTTGCATCTCAATGATGTTCACATTAAAAATCTACAAATAAAGTGGCTCAATAGGGTTTCTAGCAAAAAATACTGGGTTTTAGTCCCGATATGAATATCAACAGTGCGATGCAAGTTCATCAAACTAAGTTGTACCAGATAGGACGAAAAATCCCCCCCTGCATTTAAATGCAAGCCATAAACCGTTTATTACATAGAACTTGTAAAGAAATGTATATTTCGAGGTGATCCGTACAGAATACATGTTTGCTAACCAAGAATGGTCGAATTTCAACTACGAAATGGCATAATTCCGTACCAATAATCATATGAATTTAGCTGTTCATTTAGAAGTCTATTAGTCTAGTTAAAGACTTTATACATTACAAACTTCTTGCTTTTTTAGAAAAAAAATGTTAAACAATTCAGTCTATTTTATTTTCAATTTTTTTCTCAAGTATCTGGTGTCGGTTATGCAATCCTGATCGACTTCCTGAAATAAATCAACAGTGGTGGAAATCTCCCATTTTTATGACATATTTGAATGCTATTGATGTGAATCCTCAAAACTCAGTAAGAATTATTTTACTTTTTTCATATTTATTTCTAGTTTAGTTTGTATTTCTTTTTAAAATAAATTTTCTGATGCCAAAGTTGTACAATAACCTTTGGAGATACAGCAGCATACTATGTTGTCAGGATAAAATAAAGAAATTGATAAGTTCATGACACTTATTCATTCGAAATGTTACATATTCCCTCACTTACTTTGTACTTTAAAGTATTGTACTGTTTTTAAGTAAGAAAAAGAAAAAGGAAGAGGAATAATAAAATTTTTTTTCATGGAGTTTCTAGAAATTGGTTTTATTCATTTAAGATAGGGTAAGTTATGCAATAGTTTTCATCTGCGAATTATTAGTTTGTTCTAATTAAAAGTCTGACATATATATATGTAGAATCCAAACTGAAGTTTGAACGGAGGAACAACTGTCTAGGTAGTTTAGATACGCGCCTTACCCAACTGAAATCAAAGCAAGTGATTTGGATAAATGACGGTTCTAATATTCATCATAAATATAAATTTACATCATTACCTAAACAAATATTACCACTCAGTTATTCCACCAAAAATTGTTCAGTTAATCAAATCAACAGCAACAAATAAATGATATTCTATCCCTCGTGCATAAATCAGATTCGTTCGACAGATAATATTTGTTTGCTTTATAACACAGAGTGTTTCCGATTCTGAAAGAGTGCTCCAATTCACAATCAATCAAAATGCACAATTCCAGTCAAGGCAAGCGACACAATCAGAAGAGGAACGAATCAAAATGGCTGTCGCCATGACTAAGTATCAGCTTAAACAATATAAATGCAGTTCAGACAGAAACATAGAAACTCAGTGAAGGCAGAAGAAATAGAAATGGAATCGAACAGATTAACAAAATGTGCAACTGAAGGAATCAATAAGGACGAATTACAAATATATACATTGAAGGATTTCCACAAATAAAGCCCTCAAAAAGTGGATTATATATATATATATAGGGATGGTAAAAATCGTTGGTGAATTTTAACTTTATCAAGGAATAGGGGTACTCACACATAATGAAAAGATACACTTATTTTACTTCGATAACATACATCAAGAGATTTTACACTAATAAAGTTATTCCATTACCTTAAACAGTTATTTAAAACATCTCTAAGTTAATTATTGATTTCTGTTCAACCTGAAGTAAAACAAAAAAAATTAAAATTCACTATGACAGGAAACTTTTGATAATTTTCGTTTAGTAGTATTTTATAGTTTATTCGCATAGTCTTCATTTTTGTTCTGGTCAGCATAATCAACAACTACCTCTCAGTATAGAGATTTAAGCATTTAAGAATCATTTCACAAGTCTATATATAATCAATCTGTTCTAATTACTCGACTAATAATTGGTCATTTACAAAAGATACATTTATATTCCGATAGATTCTTCAAGTTTGGTTAACCTATAATCACATCAGTGATTGTGACCTAATCATCTTCCATTGAAATTATGTCAACATGTGTCTATTGATTGCAGACGAAATTAAATGCTAAATCCTTTACCATTCTTAGACATTAGTTGATTTGAAATTTATTCATTATCCCAGTTAAATTCATGTCTGCAGTTATCTTCATAAGTAATGTATGTTTATGAATATGTAACTAACTATAAAGGTTTAGTCCAAAACAATTCACTGGAGATACAAATGCACACAAAGATAACAAAGCCTTTTTAAGACAATCCACCATCATCGGAATCATCAAAATGTAGCCTTTTTATAGTAATATGAAAGTGCTGACTTCTATTTAGAGTTGGTGCTAATGGTATCCAAAATGACGACCAACACTTTACAACTAAACAATCAGGTTTATTCCAATACAACATTAAATATATTCCTTTAAGTTGCAAAATTTTCTTTTTATTTGAAAATCTTCATTTTCTAAGTAAATTGATTATCATGTTTTGATAGCATAGAAAGAATAGCATGTCTAATTCTGCTGTAGCTGTGATCACCCAGAAATCTTCATTAATAAGTGTCTTACATTCATTGTTGTGACTTTTTTCAGTTGACTATACATTATTTCACAAAAATATTTTAGACAGTTCACATTTTATTATTTCAATATAACTTACATTTTTTTGTAACATGAATGTATTGACTCGAAATCGATTTCTGTAAGATTATACCTATTCATCAGTAATATAAAATAAAGACTAATAAAACTCACCATAGATCGATAGTAATGATTTTAATCATTAAAGCAAATAGTGAATAATAATATTTGATTGAAGGTTAAGTACTCAGTACGTATCACCTGATTTATTATTCGCCAAACTAAACAAGTTTTTTTAATTAATAACAGAAAAAGAACTAGTGAGAGCATATTTATCATTCGGTTTTTTTTATTAAATTGCAGTACTATGCGCTGAGAAGCTTCACAAATTTGCCTAGTTCATAGCACTATGAAATGCTATGTCATTTAATTAGTTTCAAATTCTCTTTTAACATTTCAACATACCTACTACAGAAATTTAAAGCAACTAATCTCTTTAATAAAATCTGATAGAAACAGCGAGAAGAAAGAGTTGATCTAAAAAATGTGATGTATTTGTGCTAGAAATTCGAATCAATCTAGTAGTAGTTATACATTAACAAGCCAAAACTGGCTGTAAATAAAGGAGGCTGTATTTCAGAAAGAAGCTCTATCTCTCTTTCATTTGATTTCTCTGTGGCTCATGCTATCTATCTATTTATGCTCATTTCGAAAATCTCCATGGTTTAATTCAACCCTCTCTTTGCAGATAAATAAAATTGGTTAAAGGCGAAATTGATTGATTGATTTCGCCTACCAATTTCAAGGTTCGAAAATAAGATACCAGGATATTTTGGCATTTAAACATATTTAATACTCTAAAAAACCTCCTAACTAGACCAAATATCGTGATCCTTAAACCTGACGAAGTTTCTAAGTAGTTTTCATGAATAAATGTGACTATAAAGGAAAATCCTCGCCTATTTTCGGATGATTGGAGCAAGTTCTTGGCGAGGGTTCCATGTAGTAATGAGTTAACGCCAATCTAACGAAACTCCTTAAAATGTATGTGATAAGTAAGGAAGAATTCAACATACTGAAATCCACAAATTTATGTGGACTACATAAAATTGAATAAGTTTTCTATTTTTCATGTTTGGTCAACATTACTGAGAGAACTATTTAATTATGTGGTGGAAATGTTCAATTAACTTTTGAAAGTGAACGTTTTCGAAAAGTTGATGATGATGTTGCTGTGGATAGTGGTTTGGCAAATTTCTAGCTGATGGATAAATGTTATGTGTTGAAAATTTGGCAAGTGAGGTCATCAATGAGGTAACTCTATACAGGAGATATATGGATGATGTATTAGTCGTAAGTAATGAAGATTTCGATGTTGTCCAGTTACTAGATAAAATTCGAAGGTGTATAGAATGATATCATACTGACCTATAAGGAAGAAAGTAATCACCGATGGTTTTTCCAGACATGCCTTTGAGTCGTAAGATGGAATTTTGAAGCGGTCGGTTTATCGGGAGCCAATGTTGATTAGGCAATATTTAAATTCCTACAATGTTTCTGTCCACTGTAACACAAATAAGGTTTGGCAAAACGCCTCTTCAAAAGGACGCCGTGAATAGTTAACCATGTCTAAAGCTTTAGAAAGCTTTTCGGGGGTTGATATTTTCCCAGGAGATTCACTTGTTGATTTATCGTACTTGGATGACATAGTTTTTATTTGGTGGGGACGCTGACAGCATGCAATCTTCTGACGGCCCCAAGCATAGATCTACTCATATTTAAGATACAATCCCTCCTCGAAATGCAAAATTTTGCTTCAGGGTTTGCTTGCTTCGGCACCTGAACCAGTGATAGGGAATAAAGTGGTTGATTGTTGACCGCTCTACTTATCTTGTGAGTCTCATCAGTCCCGATGGTCTGATGTTAAACGAAATCTCAGCACAGATTGGTTGGTTTTCGCGAACTCGCATCATTTATGGCGTAGGTGAGATATTCGTTTACTAACCAAAGGATGAGTTTGCTGCTCAATGGTTTACTCCGTCGTATTTTACGGATGTAAAAATGGCCATTAAGATGAAAGGATTACCAGTGTTCGGTCACAGGCTTCTTCGAATCATCGCTCACGTATTCTGGAACCGCTAAGTAAACGGTGCTTGGATTAAGAATAGGATAGTAGGTAAAAATGGCCACTCAACCAATGAGGTAGTAAATGTTCATCAGCTGTGGTTAGTATATGTGTTATGCACGGCCAACTAGCACCTTTCTCAACGGACTATGCCTGGTTTAGAGAGGATTAGGTTGAAGGTACATCCGTATCAAGTTCTGTTTCTCAACTCACTGACTGATACTTTTCAATGCTTACATTTCATTATTACAATTTAGTAAAATCTTGTGTTCGAAACTACGATCAAACTTTGATTTACCTGATGTTGTTTCATGTGTGCCTTGTTTGAGTGTTTAACTTTCTTATTGAGTATACTTCTGTGAAACAATGCTCAATTGGAGAATAATGATGTATGTGTTTCACTTGATAGTATTACAAAATACTGTACTGTACAAAATATCTATAAATGAAAAATTTGACAAACTAGAATTGTCCGTTCAACAACAATCAAAATAATTTTTTTATTGGACCGAATCACTAATATTATTTTATGATTGTCACATAAAAGTCGCAAAAACAATTTCATCGTTACGAATTTTCTTTCCGTAAATTCACAAATAATTAAGACGATTAAATTATGTTATTCAAAAATAAATTCTTACCTATTTTTTGTCTAGAAAAGCAGTGAACACTTTTACTGTTGAAACATTCCAGATTAATTTGCATTAATATCAAATAGTATTTAATTTGTAGAAAGTATTCGTTACAAATCTGTTTCAACTAGAGCACAATTAAAAAAACTATACATGATTAATTAAACAATTTTTTTAAACTCAACAGTTCGCACCCAGCTCGTCTTTTGGGATAGGATTCTAGACCTTCAAGTCTCTTTTTTATATATCACTAAAATTGTTGAATTTTCTATTTTCAAAAATATAGATTCCTGCATTTGCTAGTCAACTTCGTCTACTGGAACCAGTTCGGTTGAATAGTCAGGATTCGCAGAAGCATACTACATTAAATGACAATTTTACTAATCAAGAACAGCACATAAATGTTTTGTCAATGGCAGATAATTACAATGATAAACCTTCATCCAACAACAGTTCAATGTCAAGCACTAATTACAATGATACAGACAGTAAGCAATTTCTTTATATTTATTTCCCACTTCATGTATTAATGAATACAAAAAAACAAGCACATAGTGTACACATTCTTTAGATTAGTAGTCACTATCATCTATAATTAATTATAAATAGCAGATTAGGATTAACAAAATTTTTCAATGAATAATATTTTTTTAAATAGTTTACTGTCTTTTATAATAATGTTCAGATCTTAATCGATTACCATTTTTTAAAAATCAATCACTCCTATGAAACAGAACCTATTTTGGTTCAAATTATTCCATTTTATGAACACATTGGAATAAAGTTATCAAGATACATGTTAGATCAGAAGAAGTGGTAACACTGTCAGCGCTAGTATAATAGATTAGGCATAGACAATATGGTTTGAGAAGAAAGAATAGATTTTCAGGATAAAAAAAAGTGTAAGATAATGTCAAAGCTCAAGATTTATGGTAACAAAGAAGTGATCAATTCTGAACTGTTTCACTAAATCTATTCAACCATTGGTCACGATAATCGCACGGACCCCAACTAGGTACTCTGTATCTGCCAATACTGACTTATTCCAATAATCATTGGCTTTATTCAATATTGTATGTTTAGTACAATATGGAATTTTCAACACGAAATATTTCAACAAGTTTCCTTTGCAAAACAATTAGTGATTTGCAGTTGAAAGTAACAAGTTCAGAAATCGACATCTTATTAACGTTTATTCTTTTGTGGTGGTGTTTGGTTCTTCGAGCTGGCTGTTTTGGTTGTGGAGCTTTCATTGTTCTTCTGAACAATGTCATCAGCGCAAACTTCATTCTTTTCTCAGCGGACTGTCAGGCACTATGATGTATCGATTTATACTTTTTTGAACCTTTTGAAGTGATAGCTCGTACGCACCTGAATAGATTATACGATTTTTAAACTTAATTGACCTGTCGAAACAAACAAAAATAGGTAATTCACTGTAATATTTTAATGTTAGGAATCAGCTAGCCCATACATTGAAGCAGATAACTATGAACTGTTGTTACATTTTGGTTTGGTCGCCACTTGCTTTTTCCCAGCTTACTTACCTTGCTCCGACTACCGCAGTTACGGAAGCTGCTTAGTGTCTCTTGTCTTCACTTAGAAAGTGTTACCCAAAGATGAGTACGCATATTTGTATTTTGTGAGTTATACTAGAAAATATTCGTTAAAGAATATTGTATTTCCCTTTATCATGGAAACACTAGATTTGAAAATCTTCCGAGCAATTATCTAATTACTGTCGATTGGAGTAAGTAGTGTGATATATGACCGACACTCGTTATAAGTTAATTTCAGTCTCAGTGCTAATTAGTCACATTTGAAATCTATCATATTAATGTATACTCCAAGTAATTACTCATGGGAATTGTGCTCACGATGTTTTGCCCTATAGGTTAGATCATATTGGAAACTTTCTTACAACTGTATCGACTACTTATCTATCATACTACAAGGTTACAATTAGTAAACACTACATATTCCTATTACTGTGACAAAAGTATCAAGTTAACAGATGCATAAAACATTGCCTTCTACTTACTACATGGTCAGGCATACATTGTACTTAATCATCAACTTACATCTTTTATTGTTTTAAAATAGTTTTTTGTAAAAAAAAAACTGATTGATAAAACAACAGTCAACCATTTTGTAAATATTTCTTATGTTTATTGTTTTTCATATTTAGGTAAAGTGAACCAAGTTTTGGATTTAGATTTTTTCGAGACACGTGAAACTCAAAATAAGCCTAATAGTCAGACAAATGGAAGTGTTAAACATACAGAATTATCAGGTAGTCTTTTATTGAAAACTATGTTCTATTGTTATGCAATGATATATTTGTTGTATTATAAGTCAAATGAATATTTGTAGGTTGGGTTACCATTGAAAATTGAAGAGCTTTCGTCAACTATTGCTGTCCAAGTAGCATCACTGTCATACTTCAAGTTATTTCTAGAAAAATTTCTAAGAAACTTTTTATTGGTTGAGCTCAAGTATGTTAAGCATGAAGTTGATTGAAGTTGAAACTGTATACTTTGAACATGGACTCATTAGTTCTAAAAGTTAACCATTCACTACGATATCTGAAGGGCTTAAATTGAATCTTTGTTGGTGTAGTGATTATGCACTACCTCCAAATCCCATACTGTAATGAAACAATTAGTAAATCCCCCCCGTTGTCAGTTCTTAGTAGTAGTACGTCAACTGGCAACAATCTGTAAAAAAAAATTCAACCAACCAATTAGATTGATCTTCACGAAACCATATCAACTAGATATGTCTTTTCTAAATACTGATTAATAATTTTCAGTACTATTCACAAAATCTTTATTTTAATTATTATTATTATTATTAATATCACAGATTTGGAAGCTGAACTTTCAGCTTTCACCATTCCTCCACCGATGACCACGACGACAACAACAACATCATCAGCAACAACAACAACAACAGTTAAACCACTACCATTATTAGTAGAAGCGGATTTGAAATTGCTAGAAATCAATAAACGTTCCAAGCTCAGTGAATCTGTTCGTTCCACTTTGAATCGTTTACCAATGATCAACTATATGCGTTCAAAACGTCTTATGTTTCCAGTTCAACAACACACACAAGAATAACAACTAACCACTGAGGATAATTTTTTTCTCAACAATATTCTTTTCTAAATGTAACCACCAGCAAATACTGCCATACAAATTCATATTGTTCAATAGAATAAGAGTAAGAATAAAATGCTTGTGTGTGCTAATAATAATAGACTAGTAAAGCAACGATATATTTTACAGTCTTTCTTTTTTTAAATCTTCAAGTTTCTCTTTTTAAAAAAAGAAAATTAAAACTTCTTCATAAACAACTAAGCTGTGATGTGTAATTCTTCTCTTTTCCCACTGTTGTTTACCATTGATTGGATCAAATCGTAAGCGCATCATCATCATCATGATAATTAATGGTGTATAGAAAACAAAGAGTAGAAATTACGCTTTCATTTCCGAAAATATTGTTGTGCTCTTTTACACTACTTTTTACTTGTATTACAACACAAACAATTAAATAAATAATTATATTTATACAATACAGTCAAAAGTGCAAACAAGATTTCACATTACATTTTTCTTTGTTTTGTGTATACATTTTACCTAAATTTGATCACTGGATTGTAGCAGCAAATATATATATACATATATATATTTTACAAATAGATAGAGTACACTTGAAAACTTTTTTTTTCTACATAATTTCTATTCGAAAAAGGAAAAAAATAACCAATTATGACTTCTATCGAGTAGTATCATTTTATTACTGTAAATTTTTAAACTACTTTTATTTTATTCTCTCATATTGTGTTATTACTTTTGTTTAATAATAACGCAATAATGTGGTTGTCGTTGTTGTTCTTATTGATATGGTGGCGGTAACAGCATACTGGTTTAAAAGATTGTTTTTTCCAAATCACCTGTTTCTTCTTGTTTTATCTGTCTGTCTGTTTGTTTTTTTTTACTGTTTTATCAAGTAAAATACATTGACAATTGATCTTTTTTTTCTTTCAAAGCATAAATGTTATGCCAAGTTGTATTTTATTTCAATCTCTTCTTTCGCACTTTGTTCATTTTGAAAGTAACAGTTGTTTTGTTATGTTGAATTAAAAATTACTATTACTAACTTGATTGTTATTTCCTGATTTGTTTGAATTTCGTTGTTTATCAAATAATTCAATGTTAAATTGTTTGTTTTTTTCTTTTAATGTATCAATGGATTGTTGACTGACAATTCTTTGTTTGTTTTTTTCTCTTCCTTTTTTTATGCGATTTCTATATTGTTGTATTTTTTTTGGAAAAAAACCGCTTTTTGAAAAGTATATATTTTGACTGATTATCTTGAATAAAATAAGATTGATTATACGATCTAAAATCAATTACTTGAAATTTACTGATGAAATTCTTTAATTTGGAGCTAATATTAACCATGATATGAAACTGAAATATTAGTTTAAATATCAGACAACTTTTACAGATGCTTTATTTCGATTGATACAGCTTTCCCCCTCAAAATGGAAAATGTTACTGCTCAGCAGTTTGCTCCATCCTACTATGTGGATGCGAAACAAGGTCGGTAAGAGCTGAGGATATTCGTAGGTTATTAGTATCCAATAATAGATGTCTTCTAAGCATTACTCGTATATCCTGGGACAGCAGAGTAAGCAATAAAGTTGTTAGAGAAACGTAACTGCTTAAGTTGGTAGATCAATAGGTGAAGTCGTGAGTCTTCGTTAGTTGAGACATGTTTTATGTATGCACAACCGCCGACTGCTTAGACGAGCAATGTTTTGTGGTGTATGAATGGGCTGTAAGAAAGTTATTGGCGGCCAGAATAAAACAAGACAAAAACCCATGAAGTCACTGTGTTGACTGAGTCGTGTTGATAAATGTAGGCTACCTGGTTGGGGTCCGCGAGACGGAAGTCACCAATGGTTAGAGACCTTGAACGACATGGCTCAGAATCGTTTGCAATGACGCAAGTGCATCCACTCTGTGTTCTCTGTAATTCTAATATTCTGAATTCCTCATCACCTCCATTTTTCTCTTTCTAAAGTCCTATCATTGAATTATACTTCTTGAATAATATCTTCAAATACTTTTGCTACATCTACCACTGTGGGCTTTGAATTGACAATCGCATCTCTGTGCAAATGTGTTTTGGCAACTTGAATTGATGTACGCATGGACGAAGTTCTACGTTGTAACTAACTGACTGACTTTAAAGTAATTTATGGTTTCATGTCTTTATGTTTATTACCATTTCTAACACGATTGTGCTTAAGATAGATTTCGATTTATTTGATCAAGTTTTGCCTAAACCTATTTTGTTTTATAGCAGATATATCAACAAAACACTGTCATTACATCTAGTAAATTACAAGATGTCTAATCTAAATTTGATTCCTGCAACATTTCATTGTGAAATATTTATTTAAAATTAAAATATTTAGGCTAATTAAAGTCAGGAAACAGCAACTAACTTAATGTGTGGATTTTTTCATAAAATAAACCTATTTTCATTTGCCAGAAATGTGCACAGCCTCTTTCGAAATCATTCTGTAATTTGAATTTTCTCCTTTTGCACCTAAAACTTCCACACAAATCATACTACGGCATCATGGTGAAAGATCTTTTTGCCTACAAATTTTTTATTACTATTATAAAATGTTTGACATACAATTATTCCTGCTTGTTTGACTTAAGTCTACTGTGGGTTTTTTTTCGGATAAATTTCTCAGTTAAATTAATCTTACAGATTTACTAGCATTATGAAGAGAACAAGTAATTGTCTTTTCTTAATTATAAGTTAGGTGATTGATTCGCAATGAGAACAATCAAAATTGTTTCACTGAAAATATACATTCTATCGTAAGACTAAATATTATACATGACAAATTGCATCATATATAATTTGTACGAAATAGAAGTAACAATAGCGAAATGAACATTCAGTATTTATCACATGTTTATACTGGCCCAGTGTAATCATTTACTTATTAATCATACATATTAATTCACTTGATAACGCAACAGCTCACTACGAATTATAGCACACATATTATGAGTTGTAAATATGATCAACTTAACTAGCTACGTTACATAACATATCAGCCAGTAATTACTGTTTCCAACTTCTCAATTTTCATTGGTTGATACGCATCAATAAGTATAGAGGATTAGACTTAATGGACAGTTTTTGATTATGATTCAAATTTTTTAAATTAAAAAGAAAAACCAACAATATAAAATTGTAATATTCACATTGTACTGTTTGACAATCGTCTCACAGACGACAATCTAATAAAATACAAACATGATAAACAAAATAAGAACAGATATAAAAAATACATATGTGTGTATATATCATACATTAGATGAACTAAAAAAAAACGAAGGAAAATTTGGCTCAGCGATAAAAATTACAACTAATTAAGGCTTCCACTGAGTGTTGTTTGCCTTGTCAATAAAGAATATGTGTTGTGTTCATTAGTTCGAACGAATAAAATTACTTTACAAGCATCTAACTGAGTTAAAAGATTTTACAATAAGTCAATTACAGCATAATACAATACAAATCGTTGTAAGTTAACAAAATTAGTTGTATTCTAGTTGACTCCATATACTTTTTATATTCGGAATTTTAGTTTATCTATGATTTGAAACATCTGCGCCATGTAACATACAATTATAGTTAAACAAATATTATAAAATAAATAGATAGAAACAATAACATGATCATCTTCCATGGTATCATGAAGATGGGCAAAAATATTTAATTATTAATTCATTTACATAAACATCATTAGGGTGATAAACCAGTTTCTGTCTGTTTTTAACCGACAGTTCATGATGATGTTGAACTTGGTGTAACAGAACCAGAATATGGTTGAGCACTTCTCAATATGATGATATTACTGTAATTACTTCTGTTCTGTTCTTCTTGTTGTTGTTGTTGTTGTTGTTGTGATAATGATGATGGTGATGGTTGTGTTGATCTTTGTGGCAGCGCTGAGGACAATGATTGTGGAGATCTTTGTTGTTGTTGTTCGTGGTGGTGGTGTTGTTGTTGTTGTGTGAACTGATATTTTTGATGATGACCATTGATTGAAGGATAACCGGATGTTATTGATCCACTAGTGGTAAAAGATGAACCAGGTGCTGAAGTACAATAATGTCCATTGAAATTTATATGCTCTGCTAATAAACGTAAACTACAATCTGTATGATTCGATAACATATCAATGAATTTGATAAGATTAGTCTGAAAAATAAAGGAAATTGAAAAACAAATTCCATGATGTAAAAATTAAGACAAGTAATTATGAATAATAACCAACATGAATGCACCAATCAAAACAGAGCAATAATACTCAATCAAATTAGTCAATTTTAAAATTTGACACAAATGTAACTGCTTATCAATCAATGTTATATCATATAAGATATATAATCATAAATTAAGATAATTCGATAGACCCACACACACACACATACACACACCAGGAGAACTATATGTATATTGCGAAATGAATAATCAATGAATCAAATAAATGGTGATATTACATTTTGATGTGATTACTTTTGGTTTTTCTCTAACTCAAACATCAGTGGGTTTGGCAACTGTAATTACCTTCTCAGCGGATAAGTAGGCATAATTTTCGTGCAATTCATTCACATGTACAGTTTTCAATTGACTTTTAAGAAACAACAGAACAATTTAAGTATTAAGAGATGAAACAGTAAATGATGGAAGAGTAAAATTCAATGAGTGTAACATGTAGATTTCAAACGAGTAGAAGTAGGAAGTAATTAAAAATCTCATTTTTGAATCTTTGTAATGTTTACTGAGTGAGAATATTGTGATTATGCATAGTTTTACACTATACATCATTAAAGATTTTAAAAGGAATTAAAAGACTCCGAATGCATTGTAAGACTTACACGGTATGCAGCAGCTTGAATACGTATCCGAGCTTGTAAATGAGAAAGTTTATGATCGACAAACTCTTTACGTCTAGTCAACTCTTGTTCTTCTCGTAATCGATTAGTACCCCAATGACCAGTTTTTTCAGCACGTTGCACCTATTTTTTTTTAATGGTTGAATAATGTGACATAGTTGTAAGAATAATAGTAAGAATTAATAATATGCAAATTATTAAAATGCATGAACTGACAATTTTCACATGTAATTAAGGTTACATACCAATTGACTTTACTTAAAGAACGGGTGAAACGCAGTCAGTCAGCTACAACGTAAAACTTTATAGATATGTCCATCGATTCAAGTTGCCAAAACACATTAGCACAGAGACGCAACTGTCAATTCAATTCTCATAAGAGCGGAAGTAGCAGAAGTATTAATGGTAATCGCAGAAGACTAGGGTTCAACGATATTATTCAAGAAGTATAATTCAGTGAGAGAACTTTAGAAAGACAGAGATGATGAGGAATCCAGAAGGTTAGAATTTGAGAGAAAACAAAGAGTGGATGCACCTGTGCCATTGCAAATGATTTTGAGCCATGTCATTCAAGGTCTCTAACCATCGACTAGTATCGTCTCGAGGACCCCAAACAGGTAGTCTACACTTACCAACATGACTCCGTTCACTTGTCAGTGACTTCATGGATTCGTGCCATGTTTCCGTTTGGCCGCCCCTAGCCTCTTCCAACCTACTCCTAAACCACAAAACATAGCTCATCCAGGCAATCGGTGGTTGGGCATTTGTAGCACATGTTCCAACCACCTTAACTGATGAAGTTTCATTACTTCATCTACTGATCTGCCGTCCCTACTTAGTACTCGTCTCCTTGCTTACTCGATTGTTCCAGGATATACGAGCAATGCTTCGAAGATACTTGTCGTCGAATACTAGAAGCCTATTAATATCCTCTATTCGTAGTAGTCATGTACAACGGAAACGCTGAGAGTACAGAGCAGTAAGCTGCTTCTCAGTTACTCAGTAATGATGAATATAGGATTTGATATAAGTAACGCAGTCCAAGCAGCCATATCTCACATCAACACAGCGAGAAATTTGATAAGATAAGAGGCAAAAACGAGAAACAGATATGAACTGGAAGAGTACTGAACACAATGTTCATAAGAAAAATTCGGACAAAACTCTGTAAACAATCATACATTACGTTACGCAACATCTAAAAGCACACATAAACTCAATGATTTATGTGTCGCATACATATTTTGGTGTCCCTTTATACCAATAAGTGATAAGCATTAACACTAATGAAAAGCATAAACAGTAATACTAATTATTCAAACTAACATCAGATGCATATTTTTCACGTATACCATTCTCATGCATAGCAGTTGTATTAAAATCTTGATGTAATTGAGCATAATCTAAAATTGAATTAAATATCGCTCGTAATTGACCAAGAAGTTGACGTGATTCAGCATCTAATAGACATCTTGTAAATACATTTGATAAAAATGCTTGATGGGCTTTAATAACATCACCAAGATCTTCAGCAGAATGTACTTGTTTGACAAGATTTTCCCAGGCACATTCTAAAACCTTAATTATATTCAATAAAACAAATACACAGCGTAATCAATAAATATATATTTCATGAAAACGTATAATTAAAATGAGTAAGTAATTTATATCATAGTCTATAATGATAGTTTAATGATAAAAGTAATTGGATCCTAACCACACAGAGGTTGCAATTTTAAATCTTGATCCATTTACTTTAGTTTGAGAGGCCATTATATTATATCATTGCCCCTGGCATAATGTGTAACTTAGAATGAAGTACATTTTTACACGTTTTGATGTAGTTTAAATGTTCTAAGGTAGTGAGTGATAAATGAAAATAACAATTTAGAGACAATAAACACAATTGTTATATAAGACGTAGAAAATATGTATGGACTGAATATTTATTAATCTTTGAAATTAGATTAACTAACACATGTTGCAGAAATACACATTTAGATTTTCAGGGAATTGAATTAAACACATATATACATTTATCCTGGCTGAGAGAATTCACTTGACTAACCAAATTGAAACATATGAAACATGATTAGCATGTACTAGTTGAACGCTTAAAAGAGGAGAGTTTTAAAACAATACGTTACAATAAATTTTACATAACATTTCATTTGTGAATTCACTAACACTATGAAGTATTGTGATTCAGCAACAATTCTGTTAAGTTGAATAAAAGATCATTCGCTTCTACAATGAAAAGTACTTATTAACATGTAGATATTAAGATAGGCTTTTTTGTGTTCTAATTCTAATTTCATTGAATAAGTCTTCTTTACACATACAAATGAAGAATGAACTGACCAAGTATATTCAATGACTAAAGAGAAAATCCTAATATGACATATAGCTGACTAATATCCTCAATACAAACTAATCCAAATATCATAGTTCAATACATTTCAATGAATAACACTGACAGATTGATTATATTTCCAGTGGTGGATTAGGCATTACATTCTGACAGCTGATTGACATACCGGAGTTAAAGTTAGGGCTTAACAGATGGGTTTAAGTAGAGTTGCAAATAAATGACTTACAAAACTTAAGTCTTTCAATCGGTTATGAAATCTAATCAAGTTTGTTTTTATAACTAATATTTTAAAAAATAATCATTTTATACTTGTGAACTTATGTTAAGTTTCATTTCGTACATGAGTGAGTACTAACCCAAGTAATTTAATTTTATGAGCAGTCATGATTTAACCATAAGGCATTAGCAAGAATTATCACTAGAATTCCAGTGAATTAGTCACTGCCGACCACATAATTATATCAAGTTCACGGGATTTGTGAACACTGCTGAATCTCGAGGTCAGTATCGCAGGCAGACCATATCTAGACAATTACCGAAAACCAGAAGTATAAACCAGTGAATGGGGATTTAATAGTCTAAAAGTTGTGTTCGACGCGAGACTCAACAGTACATTGTTTAGCCTCCACAGATGTTATGAATGCCTACTGCTAAATCCTGTACTAAGATTATAATGCTATCCTTTGATTTTTCGTTTTCAATGATTGTCTGATTAAGATCACCACGTGATGTAAAATAGTACAATTCTACACTATTCCCAAATCTCCCCCTTTAAAATATACATATACTCACTTCAAAATTAATATAATATTGTATTTGTTGAATAAAATGACGTATTTCTGCACCGAATAGTTGTAATAAATGTAGCACTAAGGCTAAATCGATTTGTAAATCATAACCTAAACGTGTTGCACATAGCTGTTGTTTCCATAAATTGCTTAATGTAAATTCCATACGTTTAGCACGCCAAAGAAAATTAAATGAAAATAAATACATAAAACGACAATTATCAGTAAATATTGTCGCCAATGGACCATCGACATGATAATCCAATGAAAATATATCCCATCCAGTATCTTGACCTATTTGAAACAAATAAAAACAGTTGAAATACATTGAGATAATAATAATTATGAGTAAATAAAATGTTGATTTCTAAGACGAATTTCGATAAATAAACGTGTCATTTATGGTTGGTTCCATGGGACATTCTTGAACTCTAGTGTAGGCAAGATGTTTATGGATCAATTAAAGAACTAGTATATTGCATACTAGTTCTAACTTGAAGGAAGTGAAATGTAGTCTTTAAAAAATACTTGCATGTCACTGATGTTTGGTAAGAGACGTCTTCCATGTATTGTTCTGGAGTTTACAGTGGTAAGCATTGAGTTCGAATGTTAGTAAGAACATCAACCATCCGATAAAGATACACATAGCTAACGGTTTTTATATAGGGCGTAGTACGTGATGTAAATTTCATCATAATCGAAAACTTGATTTTTAGTGACTTATTTCGACAAAAGTACTCATCTCAAGTTATTTCGTCAGCAGTATTGATGTAACTAAGAAAAAAGACGAATGCCTCATTAGATCAGTCAATCATATGCAGTGTAGAGCTTCATATATCAGTTCCAGTTGCTATTATTACATTAGCACAGCGAGATCAAATTATTTCAGAACAAATCTCAGAGTAGTACGGGTAGTATTAGGAAATAAAAAAGGTATGAGATTTCGATGTTCACGTCCGAAAGAGAAACGAAGTGGGAATACACCTCCGCCAATGCAAACAACTCTGAACATTGGAACCTAGTGTTAAACCACTGTTTACGATAACCGCTCGAAACAGCAACCGGGTACTATACACCTATTAATATGACTTACTTTAACTGTCGATGATTCCATAAAATGTTGGTACATTTTAGTTTGGCCACTCTTAACTCCTTTCCAAACTACACCTTCCTACATCAGACAACATTAACCGTAGAGGTAGGTGATGGTTGAGCATACATAATACGTATCATAACTAACTCAGTTGATCAAGATTCATCAGAAACCGACTTCCCAGTTATGTCTGCTTTAGCAGTATAGGCCATAAGTGACACCACTTTAATCGATCAGCTACAGTAACGAATGCGTATCAGTCCAAGTTGCCAAACACCACACAATACCAGATCGAGGGAAAATATGATCAACATGATAGCCAGAAAAGGGTAATTGGTAAAATTTGATTTTTAATCTGAATACTAGATACTACTTGATAAGTTTTGCAGTATTGAAAGTAGGAAAGGGGATTTTATAATGATGATGATAGACACTAGAATACTAATTATTTTAATCTAATCGAAAAGAGAAATATACACTAGCACGTTGTAAATTTAATAAGTTATAATATCGATACGCTTAAACTGACTTTCTAGCTAGTTTCTATAACCTTATACTACTTCTACACGTCAACTAGAACACTAGAGGGAAGGCGCCACTTTTGAGTAAAAGCTTTACTCAATAGTATTAATATTTACATGAGACCTTGGGCTTTTGGAAATTTCTGGAACCATATTAAATATAGTAGTAGTATGGATGAATATCCAGTTAAAACCAAAGCATGTGATTTTACATTGCCTCTAGAGACTCTGATGGAGGGTGTATGGGAACTCCACCAGTAAAATTTTTGAACGAAAAGAAAAATTTCACATATGAGCGCTTCGATACAGCATGGAGTGAACTATAAACAACGTAATCAAACACAATTAGTCTATTAAATTATTACCGAATATATCATTGTGAAAAACTATTCGAACTAACTAACCTGTAGATATATCCAATAAACGAACATCTAAACGTTGAAGAATTTCAGGTTGTTCATACTGAGCATTAGTATCACGTATGGCTGTCTCTAATATACCACTTAATCGACTAAGTAATATTTGTGAACATGGTTTATTTAAATTGGAACTGCAAAAAAAAAGTATTTTTAGTGATGGGAAAAAAATAAAAAATAAAAAATGAAGAAAATATATACAATAAACTTTCATAGTATGGAAAAATAACGATTCATTATAAACAGAATGATGAACTTTGGAAGATACTAAGTGTTTAGATCAGTATTTATATTTTTACACTGTTGATAAAAGCACAGTTTATAATATTTGTATTTATCGTAAATCATTGGCTTTCACTGAATTTATGAACCAGTCATTATCTTTTTTCTTTTCTTAAATTATTGTACATTAATTATAAACGTGTTGTTTAGATTTGTAGCATCAATGAGCTCCAGTTACATGAACGTTGTGATTAATCATTAAGGATAAACTGTGACCCTACAACTTATTTAAAAAATTATGTGGACTTTTTGAGTGAATAGAAACGGGGTATATTGGCTACTTTTTCTCATCTTCTGATTGGCGATTGAAGTAAGGTAAGAAATACTGTGTGATTTAACGGTAAAAGTAATAAAAATATAGTATACCTGGTATCCCAGTAGTAGGGTTTAGTAAATTTCGCTTGTACAGGAAAACGCAATGTTGATACCCATATTCACTAACACTAAAGAATCAATTCACAGCCAGGTGAAGAAGTATTTACGCCCTTATTCAGGCTCCAGAGAAAAGCGTTCTAGTAATACAGACCAGTTAAGTTATGGAACTTTTGATTCTTCATTTGGTGATCCAATGACAAACATTAAAATATTCACCGATCATTTAAAAGCTATTTCTTTTAGTAAGTGTCGCTTAAGGAAGACGACACTATGTCTTAGACTCATCTTTAAGACTGTTGTGACCCCTCCAGTTATCCGAATAAATAGCAGTTCCCCGATGTACGTATCTTTTATAATAGGTAACAATCTCACTTTGCGATCTGTTACGTGTTCAAAATGATCATTCCCAAGAGATTTATCCTGAACCCCAAAAACCTACTGTGAAGGATAAAGAGTATTTGCCCAATTGATTTTCTTACTTTTTTCTCAGTTGTATTTTCTTCTACGGAAAGATGATTCATTGACCTCAACACATTTATCGGTCCAACAAAGTACTAATGTTACAAGTACTAATAATTAGAAACATATTTCGTGATAGTAATGATACCATTGAAATTTAGAAACACCTTTCGAACACACTAAAGTGTCATTTAACTTTCTGTTATGCAGTGCATTTAGAAAAAAAAAAAGAACCCGTTCTAATGGATACTTTAGTCCAGTACGGATGGCAAAGAAATGCTTTTATATTTTCGGTCTCCACAGTCAGTCAGTAATATTTTGTCTCCATGCTGACGATTAAATGTTTTGTTTCTTAATAGTTTGCAACTTTACAGCCGATGTGCGACGTTCTTATTCCGAAAATCATTTTCCATGCTTTTTAATGGTATCATTTTCAAGTTATCCCAATGACAGTTTCAAGCAACGGCTAATTTTCAATATAATCCAGCTTTAAATTTATTTCTGCTGACATAACATATCAGATTATTGAGTCAGAGTATTAGTATTATGGTTTTGAATGTAACAGAACAAGAACATGTCAAAAACACAATTTCTTGGATGAAAAACTAACAGTTGTATAATTACAGTTTTGGGGTACTATATAAACAACAACAATACACTATATATTATCGTTTCGAACTTACTCTAACAAATCCATAAGATGTTGAATAAAATCCCCCTGTCCTAAGAGTAAAAACTGTCTAGTAGCCTGAAAATTGAATAATAATGATAATAATATTAACCAAGTTACATAATAGTACAAGTGGATAATAATTAATAGATAATTTTAAATTAATTCATTCACAAGGTACTTGAACATAAGCCACGCTCTAGGTGACGGCCAACAATACTATTCCGTTGCGCAAACCGAAGCAAGTAGACCACGGTTCAAACCCGAAACTTAATTTGGTGGCTGATACTTAACTAATCAAATCCGATCGATCGGATACCATGTCAGTAAGTCAGTCAGTTACAACGTAGAACTTCGTACGTACGTACATCAGCTCAAGTTGCTATACCACATTAGCACAGAGATTCAATCGTCAATTCGAATACCACAGTAGTAGTGATAGTACAAACAGTAACGGTAACGGAGAAGATTGTTGTTCGAAGATATTATTCAGGAAGCATTAACCAGTGAAATAAACATAAAAATTAAAGATAGGCGTGACTAGCAATTCGGAAGATTAGATTTTGAAAGACAAGTAGTGGATGCACCAGGGCAAACGGTTTTGAGCCATGTCGTTCAACGTCTCTAACCATCGGTTACTATCATCATGCACAGTTGCTTAAAGAGTTCAGGAGACTGCATTTTGTCAGCGTCTTCACCATGTAGAACTATGTCATTGACATATTCTAAGTAAACAAGCGAGTCTCTTGCTAGAAGGTACACTACTGTAAAGTCTGACGAACATAGTGCTAGGTCTGAACGCATGTTTATAACGAGGTTAAACAAGCATGAAGGACATGCCTGACGGACATCACTTGAAGTAATCAATTCCGAAGAGAGTTCGCTACAAGCTCTGACTCGGACAATGGTGTTCGAGTAGAGAGCTTGTGTAAGGTTAATGTACTTCTCTGTTACTCCGCCCTAGAACCTCACGATCAACAGAGTCAAATGCGGCTTGAAGGTCGAGAAATACTACTATTTTGGGATGTCTGAACCTGTCTTTGTTCTAGGACCTGACGTAGTATGAATATTTGGTCTATTCAGCCACGTCCACGTCGAAAACCAGACTGGTTTTCTCTAGTCTGATCTTCACGAGCTATAGTTAGGCGTCGGAGTATCATTGAGGCCAATATTCTCGACACTATATTACTTAGACTTATTCTTCTGTGATAGTCACTAGAAGACTTTTGTCCTTTCTTATAAGTTGGGACAATCAGTGGTTGAGACCAGTCAAATGGAATTACACCCAATCCCCAGATTCCACCTACGATGTCAGTCAATCTGAGCCCTAAAACTGGACAATCATCCCTAGAAATCTCAAGGGTAAGCTTCTCAGGCCCTGCGGCTCTCTTACTCCGGATTTCCTATAGATTTTTCAACCTCACTGGAAGTCGGAAGACTTACATCGACTCGCCATTCAAGTTGACTGGAGATCGTGAGCAACGTAAGTGTGACTGAAGGCCAGTTAAATTATTCTACCAATCAATCCTATATCCTAGATTGATAAAGAAGGATATGCCCATCCTTTTCTGAGATAGTCTCGCTAACAATTGGATTGCTAATACCAGTTTCCTTGATAGGTCTGAACAGTTGTCTACTGTTACCTATGGCCGCTGTCTGCTCCATCCTCGTTTGCTTATGCTACCCATCACTGCTTGTGATCATGGCATAAGCTTCTTATCAGCCTGCGCTCAAACTGAATATGATCCTCATCTTGTTCATAGCCAGGTGTGATGAGTTTCCTGTTGGGGACGTTAGATCCCCAGAACTCACTTGATAAAGGTTCTAATTTTGGACTTTATGTTTTAGTGCAAAGGCCGATCATTTGACCTTGAGATTACATTTCCCATCCGGAAAATCCTTGACAGTTATTGGTTGATTTATTATTTTAGTACGTTATTTGTGTGGCTCCCCCAAGGACGTTTCTATCATGTATAATTAAACTCAAGTTGTGCGTTTGTGAACCTCGATTTTCTAAGGTGCTTGTAGAATACATTTTCTACGCAATATCAAGACTTTTTTCTCTACTTAGTGGGGCCTTGGGACGCTTGGATTGGAGTAGCCTATCGTGTCACTGGATCATTTGTCTTCACTCTAGTTTACCGACCAAGGTGAACTCGTAATAGTTTCAAGCACATCAATTGACAAGCATAACATTTCCGAGTACCTATCAGTTTGGTAGATGCTACTGAAAGCCACTGTTCACCTCGTTAAGTTAGCACAATTTCTATCAATAAACATAAACACAAGTTCGATCATCACATTCTACAAATTTTCTCCACCATCACAAAATATTACACCTGGTACAAAATTCAAGTCTATTTTATATTAAACGACGGACAGTTTGGTTTATGCAAATCAGAAGTCAAATATAGTTATGTAACCATCGGACCACTGAGCCGGTTTCAAAAAATGTGGAACTTAACAATCTTCACAACCTCGTAATGCAAATTACCTGTGCTCACTAGTGACTAGCTTCGTGAGGAATCTTCTCCGAGTTCTAGTGGGAAGACGTGACCAGTGAAGCTCAACGTGTTCAGGTGTAGACTGTGTCTACCAAAGACTGTGTATGAGGTTGCGCAACTCCGTGAATTGACCAAGTTAGACATTAACACAGTTAGACACCGGCTCAGTGGTCCGATGGTTAGGCGTCCGCCTACAATACCGAAGGTCCTGGGTTCGAATCCCGCGAGGTGCAGGAGTCGTGGATGCGCACTGATGAGGAGTCCCATACTAGGACGAAACGGCCGTCCAGTGCTTCCATGTTTCTAATGCTGGCCTAACATTGATTGATTCATGGTTTCAAAAAATGTGTAACTTAACAATCTTGACAACCCCGTAATGCATATTAATAATGCAAAACCGATAAGTGAAAAAATTCTGGATTTGAATGATTAAGCCAGAGTTTCATCGAATGAATCATAATAATAATAATAATAATAATAATAATAATAATAATAATAATAAATATCAATCAGTCAATCAATACAGTATAATAACCAATTGGATAAATATTCACAAGTTATACTCACTCTTAAATGATCTAAAAAATGATAACGTCCGATTAATGTTTCTAATAAATGTTGACTAGTTTGTTTGTATACAGTAGATATCATTTGATCAAATGATTGATCTAAATCTTGTTCAAACATTGATTCAACTATAACAAATTTTGAAAAAAAAACGTAAGGAGAATACATTTTTTTAATAAATATAATTATTATTATTTATTAATTCAATTCGTGTATAGTTGATAGTGGTGATATTACTTAGGTGGTCGAATAGACGATCATAGAAGAAGTGGTAACCAAAGCTACGACTTAATGACTGAAAAAGTTAAATCTTTTAATCAATAAGACATCAATCACTGCAACTAATTGAATATGGAGATTTACATAAAAACTTTATTGTTTATTTATACAATTATTTATTGATTTATTATTTATGCAATTGTATGGATTAGAGTAAGTTGAATGAACTAGAGATTGAATTGATGTAAAGGCTACACAGTACAAAAGAATTAATCATAATTATTGATTGAAACGTATTATATAGTTAGACCAACCAAATACGCAGACGACATTTGAGTTTTAAAAAAAAAATACACGACAAGAACAATAGAATCGATGCTTGGACGACGATCCGATTCTAACTTGCCCAAATCGAGTAGAAAGAACAAAGGTCAAAATGATCATCAGACCAAAATTCGTTACTATGTTTCATACATTTCTTTGTATAAACACAAAATTAGACATTATCACACAAATAAATGTGAATTAACATATGTGTGGATATGAATGAGCCAAAAGTGGCTGTGAATAAGGGAGACTGTAAGTCATAAGCTCAATAAAAAAAACACAAACAGTAAATCGTATGATAATAATTTATGGGTTAATAGAAAGCTTATGTGATCAAAGGAATATATACACTTGATAATTCAGTTAATCCATAATTGTACAATTAAATTATATACAATAAAAAAACCATTATATTGGTTTTCTAAGGTTACTATTTACTTTAATCTTCATCCAGATAAAACAAAACTTAATTACTTACTCTGAAGAAGTGACTGGTATTTGAGTGACGAAACGTCAGAGATACAAATTTCTACTAACTGGAATATCATCAAAAATTATAATTATTTTATTATTATTAAAACTTAACACTGGGATAAACGAAAATCCCAAGGAATATTTTGAAATAGAATCATCCAATTTAGTTTTAAAATAACAGATATCTCAATTTAGAAGAACAATCAATTTTCAAGGACGTCTCTAAATTGTTTGTATATACTGAAGTATTTGACTATATTATCAGCAGTTAGAGCTGTCTGTCATGGAGTTTACGCAATCTTTGCAAAATTTTTGGAAAGTCGGTTAAAGACCATTGAATGATGATTGATTTTACTACTGAAATGACAGTGCGAGTTCAAAAGGTGACCGGTAATATGGCTTTTTGCTTTCCTAAGAAAAAATATCCACCAATGCGATGATTTATAACGTTAGGACAATTTTTATAAGTGAAGAAGAATGTTCCCAATAGAGTCATCACTAGGATTAACTCTGATACAGTAATATTTATTTGTTTATTTGAAAAATATGACAATAATTCAGTGTAGTTTGTGAGTCAATGATAACAATGTAAAGCTCGTAAACCCCAGAAAATAGTCTGATTTCAGATCTAAACGTGGATGTATAGACCAAATATTCACATTTCAGCAAGTTCTGCATCATAGATATACTTTCTTATGTCGGACAATAGTTTTTATTCCTTGACTATAAGGCGTTGTAAAGTGCGATTGATAAACGAGCCCACTAAGTATGAAACGCCCACCACCATTTTGACCCTAACTGACCCTGTATGACTATGATTTACTTATTCACTAATCATGGTCTTTCATGTTTGTCATAAACAATATTGAATTCATTGACTCATTTTTTATCCTCCAGTTACTGTTCGGCATGTTTTTTATGTCGCTCCTTTTCCTCTCTTTTTACACACTAACGATGGTAACTTGCATTTTACAAAAGATAAAGTTTATCAAGCCAAATATCTCACTTGTCCTGACTAGGGCCAAGCTTAAAACTGTGTTCGATAGTCTATGAATTAGTATAGAATTTCATCTGTAGGAATTACTTCCAGCATGCGGTGTTTCCTTCTGTTGATTGTGATGTTCTTTTGCAGTGTCTGTCATCTAATGGCATGCTGAAGAAGTACATCAACCTTGTTCAGGCTCTTTACTCGAACACTACTGGTGGAGTCAGGGCTTACAGCGCATTTTCATTGAAAATGATTACTAGATAGAAAGATCTTGATGAGATTTCAGATGCAGAGAATGCAAGGAGTTTAGAGATAAAGTTTTTTTGGGAGTAATATAGTTAGAAGTTTTATAACTCTTATCAGCAGAGTGAATTCACGTGACACAAACACCAATCGGAATAGGTTTCCAGTGCTGATAACCTAGAGCTTATAGCTAAGATCTTAGGGTCAAAATACTTTAGCTTCTCTCCGACCTTCCGTTGAGTCCAGAAATGAGAAGTAGCCTACATCATATATCCTGATAATAATCCATAAATTAGTTCTGCAGGTTACTATCATTTCAATTTTCTTTCCGATATATCAAGGAGTATTACAGTTATGAGTATTCAGGTTAGGAGTGTCATGATTGGGAGTATAAGATTTTAGATGCTTAGGGTTACATGTAAGATTACAGAGCTAGCATGTTAGCATCTCAAAAGTCTCAGTTCTTAGTAATTTTACCACTTTTTCGTAACACCCATTTCATTTAATAAAGATTCACTCTGATTGGCCAGTATTCACTCTTAAAAGTATTTAAAGCCACCTGCACAGTGTAATCCTATTGTCGACTTACTTTTTAGGTAATTTACTATGACAACAAGTGATGATTGTTTTTCTGAATTAGGTACTTTTAAATGATAAAAAATTTATATTACTGAATGGGCTTTTTCTTAATTGAATTACTTTATTAAATGAGTGGCAGAGATAAAGGAGTTAGTTAACACTAACTTGATAGAACATTAAGCCGGTATGAAGATTTACACAAAATACAGTTACATATTTTACATATCAAGGACCGGGCGCAGAGGAAGACCCGATTTGTGGATTTTAGGCAAACCATATAGTCGTGGTGTATATGATCCAGTCGGTTTAATCGAGTCGTGAATTTCAGACGCAATTACTCCCTTTTTCTTTAGTTCTTTAAGCGAATTACATATTTCTAATACCTTCATCTAGGAAGTAAGATAATTTATTAAGGAAGCGTTTTTAGTGAAAATTACTATTGAGTGAATCGACAATTTTTGAGTAAGTGTACTTTATATTCCCGAGTTGTCAGTAGGCTATATATAATAGAGTGGCAAACTAAAAATTACTTAAATTTTATTAATTTACTGGAATTATAAATAGTACTGGGTATTTTACACAAAATACACACACTACTGATAAACTGGTGAGAAAAGACTGTTTTTCATCAAGAAATGTTCACATATGCCAATGCTTCCTTTAAACTGCTTCTTAGTCACGATAATCATATAACAATTAAGTTTCCTTTAAAAGTAAGGGTAAATTAAATATACACATAAGTGAACAATCCAAGTGGAGAAACAAATTAATGATGCCCATGGAATCTAGGACCCCGGAAGTAACAAGCACCATAAGTAAATGCATACAACTACCTCGTTCCACCACAAGATAATGTGGTCAAGAATGGTCTCTCAGGAAAATTACATAATTCAGCTTGCACAGCTGCTCAGTATCACAACCAAATACATAAAAGCTGATAATTAGTACGTGGAAAATTGAGAACATAGTCTATGCTCTCTTCTTTACTTGAACTACATTCTATATTGCAGGATTATCTGCGATTTCCCTTGACGTTTATTCACATCATCCTAGCAATCAACATACCAGGGATCATAGTAGATCATAGTGTATATAGGATGGATACACAATTCTTGTCACATCTCCGTGAAATATGAACAGTAGTTGCGTTAGATTGATACTTTAATCAGTCATCTAAATTATTCATGTAATTAAAATATCAATTATGGTCTAATCCATTTCATGCGCAAAAGCATATTTATCTTAGTTATAAAATTATACATATAACAACAACAAATGCTACTGTAATTGATTTAAACAATTCATATTGTATATTTATTAGTATTACTATGGTAGAATTACAACAATCATTGGATGTATAGGCTAGATTAATTTAAATGTTTGCTTAAAAATATAAAGATATTATGCTGTATACGTGAATGTGTGCATAAGTGAAGATCTGGAACGTGTACAAGTGCATAACTTAGAATCAGCACACAGTAAAAATACAAAATCACTATATCTCATATTTGAAAAAGCAAACATACCCTTTTTTAAACGTGTGTAACGAATAGATTCACGATTTTTAATGCCTTGTTTCTCTCCACAAACATGAATTAAAAAGTTGATCGATTTACCAGTGACAAGAATCTAGGGAAAGTTAGTATAACAAAAGGAATGAAACAATTACAAAATTTCAGTGATAGGAAAGTAAAATACTTCTTGACATTACAACATAAACTGAATTACCTAGACTGTCGTCATTAAAAAATAACAGACCATTAGGTAGTGAGTTACTTTGTACTCTATAAATGGACTACTACATGGAAGATTTTGAATCGACGACTGTTAATCAGGGATAATAATTAATTTTTATTAACAATAACATATTATTTGCGGGAACCATTTACATATGGGAAAAATCACTGGAAACCAACATGACTTGATGAGTAGAATAATCAATAATTTGACTATTGTTTATACCTAACCTTTTCTACGGCGCGGATACAGTCCAGCTCAGAGAACCAAACACCACCACCACCACAATTATCCACCTGAGCTACAAATCTTCTCCACCATCTCACTACCTCTACTCCTCTGGCTGGCGTTTGCTTTGACAGTCTCATTGAACTGCAGTTACATGATTTAGAAGCTTGGACAGATGCCAGGTTCTAGGCTGCGTACGACTGGTGGAGATTTAGATACTTATCGATCAAACATTTTAATCAAACGCTTGGGGACAGTATTTATCACAATTTTCATCTTTTTTCGTCGACTTTGGATCATCTTAACGTATATCTACCAGTTTAATTGCTCTTGTGCGGTTTGTTATATTGATGTGAGTGTGTGCTCTTTCCAAATGCTTACCCGAATACAGTTTGAAACGAAGCCGAATAAAAAAACTTGTGCATAGAAGTGACTATGACGATTCATCAGTCCAAACCTGATTTGTGTGCAGAAACAGTCTAGTCAATCACTTAGTTTACTATGATCTCTAACACCTACTCATATTCTCTATACACTGTTTTTTGATGTGTTTGTTTTTGCTTATTCATCTCCCCATATTCTTCAAGTGGACAGTTATTTTTTTACATCTTTGTTCTAAATCTTATTTCGATACATGTTCATTTACATTTTTTTTCTTCCTCATAAATGACAATTGGAAAATCCTTTATATCGCGTTTTTTTTATTGTTATCTCATTCCCATTACTCTCTGATTATTACGTAACTTTTAATTCTAGTTGACTTTCAGTACTGTTGTGAATAACGCCATAATTCTCCATTTTTATTAAGGACCACTATATATGCTAAAAACAAGTATACATACGGTTAAACAGTATTAGTAAATGATATTTTGTTGAAAATAAATTTTTCACTTAGAATGTCTTCATTTCGTTGAATGAAAATGATATTTTGGTTTGATGCTGTGTATTTTTCTCAACATCAACAACAATCTTCACGATGTTACAATAGGCATTATTGAAAATTTCATTCACCGAATAGGTGCTTAAAAAATAAATAATTCGAGCTCAACTCTTTTTAGTGAGGAACACAGATACCATTTAACTGCTCAAACAGAATTAGGTGGAGTGAATGGTTCGAGGCTGCAATTCAATGCTTAAAAGTCAAATATCCTTCTACTAATAAGAAAATTTTTTCTTAATAATGTTAATAATAATATCAAAATAAAACACAAAATCTGCAAAATTATACACACAACAAACTTACTTTATTAGCTTGGCTTGATGTGATAAATCTTGGAATCATATTATGCCGCAGATTATATTTATCATACCATAAACGATCCATTTTTACTGACATATCAGATTCAACAAAGAATTCTTGATATGGATCATCTAAATGACCATCATAAATCCATTGACTAATAAAATGTAATAAACTAGAAGCAATATTTGACATTAAATGTCGCATGATTAACGATACTTCAGGATCTCCATGAAGTGTATGAGCAAACACTTCAGAAGCTAACGCTCCACCTTTTAAACCACGGCAAACATCACATAAACTAGCTAAAAATCGTAATCTCAGCCGAGGCTCTTGAGTCCACAAAACTAACCGGGTCAATGTTAACGGTTGAACGGAAGATAACGAAGAAGTAGTTGACTGATTATCACCAGTGCGATCGACATGAATATCCAAGCCTCCAACACCACCAGGTATAGTACTTGTCATGTTTTCTAGCGATCTACCATAGTCTGTGCCTTGGTCGGACTGACTAGCATGATCTCCAGGAAAATCATGTTTATCTTGATTCAATTGTGACTGGGTGACAATAAAAACATCAGTTAAGAAATCAGACAATAAGAAGACTCAAATCGAATCTTAGCTGATTATCACATACAATTATTTACAGTATATCAAATAACATTGTATCCCATTATGATTTCATTTGGGGCCCTGCGGTCACAATCTTAAGTTACAAAGACCACCAGTAACTCAGGTTATTTGGGGGATCCCTGAGGAAGAACTAACTTTCCACATTGTGGGCAACCTGCGCGTGGCAACTGCCATCATTCCTCTAACAATACATGAGATTATATTGTTCACTGAGTTTAAGTTCGGGGCATACGAAAGAATAAGTTGTGATCAAACATTCGTTAAAAAATTAATGTAAAAAGTTTTGGAAAATATGTCAAAAAAGAGATTTAAGTATCGTAAAGAGTAAATGCATGTTAATCAACATATTATCATGTTTCTCGAGTAGAACAAATCCAACTGTACCTTAAGGAATGTTTTTATAACATAAAAAACTGGAAGTTAAATATAATCGCAACTCACGTATAATTATGAAATTTGAAATAGTATCTTGGTTTTCAGTAAATAACTAAACACTATTGACTGTAATGTTTAGATAGATAGAGTAACTTATAATCGTATGAATAAATTGTGATGAGTGAGGGTGATGTTGTACTGGTGTTTAGTAAAACCAGATAATATTAAGACTAAAGTTATACAAACTGGAAAGTACAGCTCTCACTGAGAACCATATGACTGCACTAGATTTAACTGCCTGGAGCCCTTCTAGGGCTACTGTTGGTCCCCAGCCCGGATAAAGAAGGGTTGGGATGAAGTTAGCAATCTAATCTCATAGAAAACAACCTCACAGAAGGCGCGAACCACAAATAACTATCCAAACCATTTGAACTCTTCATTTAGAAGAGTTATAGAACCTTAGTGTGAAAGCCAACCTTTTTTGAAAACCAAGAGGCCGGTGTCCCTTCTCACAATCACAGCGACAGTTAACATAGGTACATGGAGTGTCAGCACATTATGAAAGATCGATAGGACCATTCATGTTTCTAAAAAAATTAGAAGATACAACCTGGAAAAGCTCAGAATAGGTGAAACATATTGGTCACAAATTGAACAGAAAGGATTAGCTTCGAGGGAGGTGAAGAAGGAGATGACTCATACACACAAGGAGTTGCACCGATACTGTGCTAAACACAAAAAGCACTTATAGGATAGGAAACTCATGGGGCCAAGATCATTAAATGATCCTTCAAAACAAAGAAGGTGGGGATTATGATGAATGTTATTCTGTCCTTAGTGCCCAATAATGATAAGAGTGGAGACGATAAAGAGTAATTCTATGGGAGGCTGCAGTCGATCGTCAAGAAATGCCTAGCAGAGGATTTGACCATTTCGATGACAGACCTAAACATCAAATTTGGAGTGGACAACACCAGATATAAAGATATCACGAGATGGCATGGACTGGAAGAAAAGAACAAAAATATTGACAGATTTGCAAACCAATGTGACCTCAACAGAATGGTTACGGGTGGAAACATATATCCACACAAAATCATACAAAAAACTGCTACTGGACCACACTACGGAGAACCATATCGATCACATCTACATCAATAAAAAGTTCACAAGATCCATGAAAGGTGTGAGAACAAAGAGGGAAGATGACATAGTTTCAGATCACTATCTGATAGTGACCAAGATTAAACTGAAGCTAAAGAAATACCGGAGAGCCAAAGAAACAGCATTCCAAAAGTTTAATACAGATTTTTTTCGAGATACTGACAAATTCAACGAATTTAAGATAGCTCTCGACAATCAGTTTCAAACCTTACATCTACTCAAAGAAGAGAAAACTATTATACAGAACAACTGGAAAGAAACTCGAGAATCAGTAACTAGCAAGCCCCATCATAGGGAATGGATCTACGTTGACGAGATTCAAGAAAGAAAGAGCAGAAAGACACTAACAGCCGAACACGAGCACAGAAAGCTAACGAACAGGCCAAATACACAGATGTAAAGAAGCAAGTGAAGTAAAGCATTAGAGCTGATAAGGAGAAATTTGTGGAAGATCTATCAATGATAGAGGAAAAATCTACAAGAGAAGGAAACAAACAACTTTATGACACAAAGAAACTAGTTGGAAAATATAGTAAACTAGAACGACCAGTCAAGAACAAAGAAGGCAAACCGATCTCTGATACTCAGGAATCTGAGAGCAGGAGGCTAAAGCACTGTGAAGAGCTATTGAATAGACTGGTCCCATTGAATCCATCCAACATCGAAACAGTACGCAAAGACATTCCTATAGATGTTATCATACCAACAAGTGAACAGATCAGCAAGGCTATCAGACAAATCAACAGTGGCAAAGCAGCAGCGTCAGGCAATATGCGAACCAAAGTACTGAAGTCAGGCATAGAAGTGCAAAGATGCTTCACACTCTTCAGCAAGACATGAGATGAATAACAAATACCGATAGACCGAAAAGAATACTTCGTCAGAATATCAAACAAAGGAGATCTTAGCGAGTGTGAGAACTACGGCGGCATCACTCTACTATAAGTACCAAGAAAAGTCTTTAACAGAGTGATGCTAGATAGAACGAAAAATTCAGTAGACGCCGAACTTCCAGATCAGCGGACTGGATTCCGTAAACATAGATCGTGTATCGAACAAATCACTGCACTAAGAATCATTATGGAACAACCCATTGAATGGAACTCATAACTTCACATCAACTAACTTATGAGAAAGCATTCACAGTGTGGACAGGATAGCATTATGGAGTCGTCCTCGACACTATCGAGTACCTGAGAAGATAGCCAACAATAAACGGAATTCATATGACGATTTACACTACGGAAATGTACATAAATGCAGTTTGAAAATGCGCTACAAGTGAAGACCACTAACAAGAGGTTGCTTAGTTTCACCCTTTCTCTCTTTTCAAAGTTTCGCAGATAAACTAACTCTACTATCCTATTAAGAGCAACGAACGCAGGTTAAAATGGGAAGTGTAACAGTAGTCTCTGCAATAGTAGGATTTAAAATACACAACAGAAGAATAAAATTCTTCAAATATAACACAGAGAGCACCAACGAAATCACATTTGATGGAGAAGCTTTGGAAGATATGCAAACCTTTACATATAAGGGCAATATCGTTGGTAATTGAAGAGCATCTGATGCGGAAGTGAAGAAGGATCGACAAAGCAAGGGCAACATTCCGAAAACCGAAGAACTTTAGACACAAAACAACTGTCAACCAACGCCAAAGTCAGAATTTTTGAACACACACGTTAAGACAGTTCTTTTGTACTGAGAGGAAACTTGAAGAACTATAGAAGCTATCATCAAAAAAATACAAGTATTCGTAAACAGTTTTTGAAGCAAGATAATCCGTATCTGTTGGCCAGACACCAACAGTAACAACCAACTGCGGCAAAGAACAAACTGGGTTCCAGCTGAGGAACAAAGTAGGAAAAAGCGCTGGAGATGGAGAAGGCAAACATTGAGGAAATCACCCAACTGCATCACAAGGCAAGCACCAACTTGGAAACCTCATGCAAAAGGAAAATAGAAATACCAAAGGACACATGGAGGCGGGAATTGTAGACAGACATCAAAATAATTAATAGCATTTGAGCAGAACTGGAAAGGAGAACCCAGGACCGAGAAGGCTAGAGAATACTGGTCGGCAGCCTGTGCTCAACGAGGAGTAATTACAGCTTAGAATCATATAACCAGGAATGGAAGTTCAGTTGTATTTATGATTAATAAGAACTTAAACATATTCAAGCACATGAATCAACCATTTATATCAAGAAAATATATTTACCTCTAAAGTAGCGACCAGACGGTAATACTCAGTCAAGTGTTCATGTAAGCCAGAAGCAAAACTTTGTACAATAATCCCAGAGGATCTATCATTTCGAGCACGATTTACAAATTGTTTAATTTGATTATGTAACCAACCACATTCAGCTATCCTATGAATTGAATCTTGTCGACCAACAGGAACATTCGCAGTTGACACTAACTAAGTGAAAAAAAAGGTTAATAGAAATATGTAGAGCATTTTATGATGAAGCTAGGATATAAAAAGATATATTTAAAGTCCTGTAAATTGAGAATCATTCTATTTAAAATGTACACTTCGTCATTTCAACAACTGGAGGAATATCTATATCAAGGTCGAGAGATTACAAAACATAACTAATCAATATGATTTTATGAATTTACTCCTCAATTTTCGTTCCTATTGCAAGACGAAATATACTCGGGTAAAAAAATTTCATTAGATAATAACTGGCACAGAACTCACAGAATGAGGAATCCTGATCACTTACGAGTTGGTCAAAACGACAAAGAAGAGATTGAACTGAAATCTATCACTGAAGAGAATGTATGACAAACCTTAACGTGATGTTTCAGTGATATGTACCTTTAATTACGCAATGAGAATAACCGAAAGCTATAAACATGTATCAATTTCCAAACTCTTTACATTCGTTCAGAGTTAATAACCTCATCAAACATCGTTTTCCACAGATGTAATGGCATACGAGTAAGCAATCATATTTAAATACAAATTTTCACGCTTCTAATATAAGTCAGTCAGTTACAACGTAGAACATCGTACGTACATACATCAGTTCAGGTTCATATACCACATAAGCACAGGAAGGATTTGATTGTGACCGATTTGTTCTCGTGTGCTGTGACGGGTATGAGGGCGGATATCGCTTCCCGACTGCCCACACCGTGGAAGGGTGTTTCTTGAGGAACCCGAAAAAAAGGTAGATTAGTGTTCATCTTAGAGACCTGGGAGCGTGACCGCAGAGCCCAAGGGACAACTGCTTGAGGCCGGTCACACACGGCATTTTTATGAGACGTTTTTCTAACCTCTTCCTTCCTTGTGAGAAGGTAGCATCACTGTAGATGCTGGTTGTCCGTAAGAAACACCTTACTTCTGTTACACCCCTCTACATTTAGCAGTACGACTTCGCCCTCATACCTTGAGTAGCTGCTTTTAGTCTCATCGTTCTCCAGTCGACCTGCCTCGCACGGTAGAACCTACAGGAACATACAGTCCAGCCAATATAGCTCGGATGGGTCATGACAATAGGCAAGCCCGACCACCACGTCAAGGTAGCAATAACGGTTGGGCAATCAGAGGTAGAAGTTAAAACATACTGACATTTTCGCTCACACAGATAAACGTGACGTACATACCTTTTTGCTGTACTTTTTATGCATTAGAGTGTTTTTCTATGAAGGAAACTCTCAAAGCTTACTTAAAAGCATATTGATCTGCTATGGCAATATTGATCTTAGAGTTATATATTTCTGTGCAGAAAAAATCATAAAAAAGACTCGGATGAATGCATGTGATCAGTCTTAACAGATAATATGCATATACATACGTGAACACGCAAAACCGCAAACCCAAAGGCTATAAAAAGTCGGCAATGAAGATAACACGTTAAATACTGGCAACGACATTGTACCATGGATTATTTGTCATATATGCAGTAATTTCCACCATAATCTTTTTCCTCCAAAAGTTTACCAAGCTCTAAATCTAAGTAACATAACCACTGACAAGCATTGTCTACACTTTGAAATAATACGAAGCTAATATGAAAAGTGACATCGATAAATATTAATTTATTATGAAGAAATTAAATATGATACTGAAATTTTTGTTTGGTCCACTTCAAGTATATACTACTCTTATAAAATGAATATTTCATTAAGTCGACTAGTAATGAATAGGCACTTATTCAAGACAAAATAATGTCAACTTTAAAGAGCTTAAGCATATTAACCCACAAAGTAAACTTTCAAATAGTGATGAATGAATTTTTACAATACATTATAGCTAATATTATTACGAGAGTGGACAATTGCATCACCACTGTTATTATGAACGAATCTGATTATGAAAGAAAAGTCAATGAATATCTTCACGATGGACCTTATGAAGAAGATCAAGCAAACAAGAAAATAAAAAACCGAAACAGGGAAAACGCTATAGTCTTTGATTCTCTTTATTATTCAGAAAGTAGCAGCCCTTTTAAATTTTAAGGGGTACGCACTGAGACCAGTGGTAGATTATACAAATTCATCATCGTACAATCTTTCTAAAACTCTAGCTCAGATTCTTAAACCATTTGAAAAAGAGATAAAATTTAGGATTAAAAATCCAAGTGGATTCAAAAACATCAAATAGGAAATGAATTAATGGTAAATTTTAATGTTTGCTCTTTGTTCACTAATGTTCCTATCACGAAATTATAGACTCGATAACAAAGGAGGAACAACACAATTTAAGATAAAATTTGATGACTGTAATTTAGGTGAGACATCGATGCAGCTCAACGTAAAGGTGAAGAGAAACAAACTTTGTTTCAAACACATTCCTAAATATTCAGAAGACCTAAAAAACTAGAGAACAAGTCAGTGATAGCATTACACTCCTCGAGCGTGGGTCCTACCTTGAGGTGGTGGTCGGGCTTGTTTACTGTGATCAACCAACGGAGCTATAATGGCTGTAACACATGTTCCTGTAGGTTCTACCATATCAGGCAGGTCGATTGGTGAACGGTAAGACTAAAAGCAGAGACAAAATTGGTCACAGAAAAATCCTTCCTACAACTAATAACATCTCTCTTATCTCCACAACTGAACCTTCTCAAGTTTCTTTATCAACCTGCGCCGCTAATGCAAACGACTCGTGTTCACGAAACGTTATTCCTTGTCTCTTGAAACCCTGCCCTAAACTACATGTTGGAGCTTTATTAATGTGCGGACCTTGTGCCAAATAGGGCAACAGGCTTCATTAGCTAGGATTCGAATTGACAATTACGTCTGGTATGGCAACTTGGACTTATGTTTGTACGTACGAAGCTCTTCGTTGTTACTGACTGGCAGCATTACACTCAAACAGTCTGTCCAAACAAAAAATATTACTAATTAGGTGACACAAAGTTACTTGAATTTTCCCCGTATCATATCTATTTACACAGGCAATTGTTTTCTTAACACACCTTTCTACACCTTTTGCATTAAATTCCCTATGCGCACCACAAAAAATCTCACTTTCAACATTGTTAACATGATTGGATGAGCTGTTTACTCTACAATTAGCCAGTAAAGTAGGTATTGATGTCCCACAATGTTGATGTTTGATTATGTTTCCTTGAAAAATCTTGGACCAGACTGCTGAGAGAAATGTTGGATTAATTCAAAGTCCAATCAGAGACTTTCACGAATATAATTTTCCTAACTGACGTTTTACATTAACTCAGCGCCTAACTACTACTGTAAAACTGTTCGTTTAAACTTAAATTAAATTTTTAATATATTGTAGCTAACTTTCTGTATATCATTTAGTACTTGTGAAACTGCTAAGTATTTTTATTGTTTAAAAAAGATATCTGTTAAAAAACCAAGCACTCTTAACATTCAACAAAGTGTATATTACACCCAACTAGTTAACCTGACTTCCTAGCTTAGTGAATTATATTCCGACTTCATACACTTCATAGGATAAAAACCACTGATCATATATGAAGTAGATATTAGTTATACCTTTTCTTGAAATGAGTCGGTTCACTGAACCATTTTTTACGAACAAAATGAATAGTGTAGATTACGTTACAGTCAAAGAAAATATCCAAAACGAGTTAACTGATGATTTAAAGAAGAATTATATTTATAGCAACAAAAGATATATATATATATATATATATATATATATATATTCCAAAACTTTTCTCACCATTTCAACACCAATACTGAAAAAGCAAGAGAAAATTACCACGGAACTAACTAACTTATTTACCAAGTACAAGCTTATGTACACGGATTTCAGTTGCATTGCTTGTAAGAAGGCTATTTATACTATCCGACTCCTCGGATCGAAGTACATAAGACAATGTTCAAACATAGGATCTGTTAGTTGAGAGTCGAGTAACTTAATCACAAACACAATACATAAATAATCCATTAATAATTTAGTAACCCGTAAAACTTCTATCAACTTATCTATATTTAAATAAGAATTTGAAAAAGAAATGGTGGGTATCTTCTTAGATTCCACTAAACTTTTACCTTTAACATTTAATTCAGAAGAGCGTGGCATGAGAACAAAAAAATCCCGCAGCAGTCGGTAATCAAAATGAATTTGTAAGTTGTTCATCCGCTTGGAATTCTGGAGCTCATGTGCACCACTTAGTTTAAAATCAGGGTTTACACTCCTCAAGGTGAATGTTTCGTATACTAAGGTCATAAAAGCAAGTACTGAGCCCATACAACAAACATAACAGTAAAAAAAAGAAGTGGGTACCCAAATTTATTACAACTATGAATCGACTGATTCATATAGTGAATGACAAGTGAGAGTACTTAACTAAAATTCTGTTTAGTGATCAGACATAAGAAAAGATCTTAAATAGAAGAATGACTTAAATGATTGACTTTAGCGTACAATCAATTCGGTATTTAGTAGTAACGAATGACATGTTTGTTTCTATAATGTTGAATAAATTCTATTATTCAAGTCGTAATGTTGCAACTAGTTCGAGTGATTTGATATTGCGTGCACTGCAGTTTGATTTTAAGTGGTGGGAAATAGTCGATATCAAACTGTGAACCTAGGCTTTGTACAATTTAGCACTCATCAATAGAACATACCTAGAATTTTTTGAAGGACTGATGTTTTCTGCTTTTCAAATCTACGTCATCCATGTTAACAGATTGAGACGTTATCACTGATTAATTTGGGCTGTACCAAGCCTAAATCCAGAGTTTCCTGCTAACTGTTTTCGACAACTTAGCATCAATACATAGCACAGCACATTCAATAGCAAAGAATCGCAAACAAATTACATCCTACTTATGCAGAAATACTTCGTTAGTGATCCAATGGTACACTACACTTGATGTTCTATTTTAAAGATTTACACGAAAAATTTGATTGTCATATTTGATTAGGCATTCATAAAATTTAATGAGAACGTATGTCTTGCATAACTTTCATTAACCAGTTATTTTATGTAAATATTACTAGAAATTTGCCAGTTCTTATTACAGAAATTTACACAACTTAGTTGTCAAATATTAGTCGTTTCTTAATACATAAATATATTTTCCAAGATAGGATGAAAACCAATTTTTGGACAAACAAAAATTAAACATACTCTGAAAGAATCCAGGATATGATTATATTTAATTAGGTTCCCTCCAACACCATTTAGTACAAATACCAATTCACGTAAAAGATCAGCTTCCGAAACTGTTGTTCGACTGGCAGCTGAAATACCGGACAAAAGGAATTATCATAAGTTCGTTATAAATGAGTTCAGTCTTTGATTAAATAAGTATTGAGAACAAAAAACGAATAGTAACTGAGATACTTTTAAGTGGACTATATATTTCCAATAAATTTGACCGGTCGTAAATCAGAAACGTCAATATTACACTGCGATTACAATCAATGAGCTCGAAAATGACTGGACAGTAGTTTAGTAGATATTTATTTTTGGCTTTAATTATCCTTGGAAACTCTTATTTTAACTATCGCCTTGAAACTAGATTTGAACTTGATTCTTAGACTAAACATCAAATCAGTTTAATTCCGATTGCTGAGATTTCTGTGCAAATGTAATTTCATACTTTACTGGGAGTTCTATGATGTTTAAAAGCAGTAGAGGACAGGTTTGAGTCATATTGAAAACACTAATGCATACGTGATATGGACACAGTAGTTCATTATCAATGACTGAACGAAACTTGTACTTTATATTCTGTTGCTCAGTGGTTAGGGTGTTAAACTTTTATCTACTACGCCTCATGCTTTAACCCCGCTCTACCTAATTAGGTTCAGATAACCGAGTAGTATCATTATTTTGCAAACTTAAAGTGTGACTCACACTCAAGTACTTAGGGAATAAATTTATCATATCACTTGAACATTATTAAAGTGACACTCACAGACAATCGAGTCCGTACACCAACTAACACTGATGAATATGAACATCAGAAAATTGGAGGAAAACATCTAACTCTGGTTTTTAAAAAACCTAATACTAATTGAAATAATTGTTAAAATAGACGATTTGTCGACATTATTGTACATTATGGACTGACTTAAGTCAAACAAATCTTAAAAAATAAGCACTGAAAATCTATTTCTCTCTAGTATGTGACTTCAGTTCAGCACAACCATGACTTCTCCAAAAATAAAACTCAGAGACTTCATACCTCCAAATGAGAGCTTGACTCTCAGAATCCTAAGTTTGGATCCAATGGTTTACATTTTTAACTTCGATCAATTCTCGATATTAGCATTATCAATGATAATGGATGATTGCTACCTTAAACGGAGTTTCGAAACTACGACCAACTTATTGGAAACGTTATGATTAAGCTGTTGTTTCACAACTTTAATCATAAACCACTATAAAATGACAATTGAAAATTACCGGATAAAAGTTTTAACCCAGCCATCAAACAAAGGACAATACATTCAACACAAAATTCCGCTTAAAAAAACAATGTGACGACTGTAAACGTTTGTAATAGTGATGCAATGAGTGAAAGCATTAAAACCAGATGGACCAAGCGGTTTAGTCCAAGACATAGTTTACTACATTTGATTATCAAATATCCATTTGCAAAACAAGCATATTCTGGTCTTTCCATATTTTCCACTGCTCAAAACAACCTGATCATGCCATATATCCGGATCTGACACTTTTCTCTTCGGTGGTAACTTTAAGGCGATACTGCTGCTTACCCAATGCATACTACTTGTAAGCTTTGTTGTGAGTAATACGTACCAGTGGCATTAAACAGGATAGGCTTATAAAAGAATCCCTTCGCTTTTTAATGAATATCTAGTTAAACCCAGTCTATGATATGAAATCTCTAAGTAATAGTTTTAATAAAGTTTATGACCGATAACAAAACAACTTTAGCTTCCAGAAGACGTAAACCAATAACCCAAGTTGCGTGTTCAACATTGAATTAACTAACTACAAGACGGAGTTCTGAGCCACATCTGTTTTAGTACATATTTCTAAATATAATTTAAATCAACATGGTCCGAGTAAATAGATATGACGAAATTCTATCGATACATTTTATCATTCATATATGATACTGCGTGACTGAATTGAAGTTGTGTCTTATTAAATATCCAAATCCTGTAAACTTAACTGGTCAGTTTATCGAAACTCTTTGACAGTTAATGACTAGTAAAGACAATGATTCTGTACACTATAAAAGATATACTAGCCTTGATAAAATGATCAGTAAATTTACCCAACCAACATATTGTTATACTTAAAAATGGGGCGTTAAATCAACCAAACGAAACTTTCGACAACTAAATTGGTCAATCGTCGTCACAAAGTCAATAATTACAGTTGTATATACTAAAATATAACAATACCTTATTCACATTTCGTATATATTCCGTAAGACAATAACGTAAAATGGAACAAACGTACAAGATGTATTTGAATTTATCGTAGATATAAGAGGTGGTAAATTGTAACTAAAATATTTGGAATCACGTAACATGTTAGCAAAGTATGGTTTTTATCTCAGTAATTACTGTTGGTCCAACAAGAACTTTTAATGTAGTATGCTAAAGATAAACCATTTCTAGTACCATGTGTAAAGCGATCACTAAGAAATGTGAGGTTTTGAAAAATGACACTAAATAAGTAGCTTACCCTTGGGTAATGATGAATTCTTGATACGCTGACTAAGAAAACGACGATTAAGATTATTGCTTGAAAGAGGAGGTCTATACGAGTCACCAGCGGGAGGTCCCCATAAATTAACTAAGTGGTCTGTTGCAGAATTCGATGAATCACCAGATCTTATGGTAGACCTTACAGGAGTAGGAGGTTTGGATTTCGGTTGGACGGAAGAATGAGAGACTCTAAATTATAAAGAATGCATTTTGAAATTCACTCCAAAACCTTTTATGCATTAAAATATTTTAGATCAAAGTAAAATTTACAACTTAAAATAACGGATTATGTGTAGTTAAAAATTTAAACGATCTTAAAATATTGAATGGGACTTTTGGAATATATTTACCGCGGTGATGAACCAAAAGAAATCAGGAAATAAAATTTGACAGTGCAAGAATTGATGGTCAGTGAAGGTAATATTCTACATATTCATATAAATGCTCAAAAAACAGGATTTCAAAAATCTAGCAACATTGCTCAGATCTCACTGCTAAGTGACATGTTTTCATTTTTCTATGAAACACCACTTACTATACTAAACCATCGACCACCATTCCTAGTATAAGCGGTAAGTGAATAAACCTACGCTCAAAAAGGAGTCGAAACATCTTTATCAGGACATTATACAAAATATGAACCGAACTTATTCATTGACAACTTCGACTTGAGTAAGTGAACAAACTTAATAAGAAACAGTATTGCGAGGCAAGTATTTCCCGAACTCATGAAATCTTATCTAAAACCGTCCAGTAAAGACGAGGTCATCGCTGAAAAAGAATCCAGCTTTTAATCATTAGTTAGTAGGTCTAGAACTCCAACTTCTTCCGTTGGTGTACATAAACCGCCACTCCTTAGACACAGATTGCGGTTCAAAGCGACGTACAAAACCCTGTACTGAGTGGATGATCTGTCACTATGATTAATGTTATTAATCATGTAGAAAGAACAACGCAATATCTAGGATTTTTCATCAAAGGGGAATAAATATCGAACACGAGAAATAATTCAAAACGAATGCTTAATACAGAGTGAAGAATGGTAATCTACATTATTTTCAATCAAGGTATAAAAATACATGTTTGAGTTTTTCTTTCAAACGAAACTCCTAGAAATAGAATATTTTATCTCTGCAGTAAGATAGTATGATAGTAACTACCAATTTCACCACAATTCATAGAATTAGTCATTAACAGTAAACTATATAGGGAGAAAAAATTAAACACACTACGGCGTTACCGACTGCAAAGAGATTCCAGTGTGACAATCTGTTTTACGACCAAAGAAGCTACCAACTGGTATGAATTGACACTACTTACAATAATCTAGCTTAAGTAATTCATAGTTAACTTCCCACCAGTACAAAACCTTTAACATCGCCCGTAAAACAGGTATTAAAACTGCAGTTACAATCACCAATTTAATTACGTACACGCGAAAGCATGCCTGACACCACAAACCATGGTCATAATTATTTGTAAACTTCTGATCCTGATATAGATCGGGTTAAAATTATCAACTGTGCAAAAGGTTGAACTAAATATAAATGTGGTTCCCTATTGCCATATCACACTCACATACGGAACATTGTAGTATAATTTCGAAAATTAAGAATAAAACGTTACTCAGTACTGAGTACGGAATGAAATGGAAGTTGGAACTCACAAATCTGACACAAACCCACTTGATCCATTATTAAAAGAGTTTATATTTCGAAATAGGCTTTCAGAAACAGACGGAACATCAGCTTTTCGCTTGAGAATTGGAATTACGAGAACTATAACTTACTCGACAATAATTGTGACTAGAGAGCTGGTAAAAAAACTCCAAAATTTCTGCCTTTCGCCTGACAGAAGGCTTAAAAAAATAAGAATACTGAGGAATTACCAAGTTATGAAAGAATCTCAGGAGGCGTTTGAGTTTGACTGAATCAATATCTCTTCCGTCCACTTGCACTAAAACGAAATGAATTGACCTCTAACACTTACGGATTGAGAACAGCTGCGCTTCAACTTCCGGTAATGATGCTGGGTTAGAAGAACTAATACAAACTGCAGGAATATATGACAAACTTACCACGTGAACAGATTCTCACCAAATGAATAAAATTGCTTTACAGCATCTACTAAAGTTGGAAGCTCAGAAACAAGCATCTGAGAAACTTACTGGATGAGTAGGACTCACATCGATTTGTGGCAAGTATTTTTGTGATGAGATCATGGACTACTAGCCTCAAATTATCTGGCACACCACTGAGCATCTCAAGAGAACGATCCAGCGGCAGAATCCACTGAATGAAGGTTGCTGAGCACTGGAAGGTCAGTCAACTACAAAATGATTGGTGCGTCACCCGAATAATTTATAAGCGGCTAAATCAAGACCATTCTAAATTTTATTTGATTTCAACCACGTTGTTTAATAACTTGCATCCTTCAGTTGATCAATATTCAATTACATGCTATCGCGGCGACTTACCATTTGTATTATTTCCGGAAGTATGTAAGGTATTAAGAGTTCTGTGATTAATAATCCTTTCTATAGTATACGCGCGCCAGGTACGTCATATCTGTATGTAAACAGAAAAAGCTTGACTTGACCCTTAGTTATCCTTGCCTAAAAACGTGAAATCGTACCAGAAGAACAAGAAGCGAGTGCAAAGAAGTCAATTGGTGAAAAAAGTACCGGACCTTTCTGTCAGGTATTTGTGTACATATGGACGTGGACACAGTGCATCATTATCAGATACTTGCCTTCAACATGTAGATAGTAGGTGACCACACACTTAAAACACCACCACAACCAAACAAATAAGATACTTTCGATCTAAATATTGTGATCACTAATCTGGACTTCGGATTCTTGCAGTAAATACTGAAATCAGGTTCACTCCATCACAGCTGTTCATATAGGAATGAATTTCAAACTACCCATCAAGATGACAGTCCATCTCAAGTAAAAGATTGTTATTAAGGACGTTCTTGTGGAGTGATAAACAAAGTATTGCATTCGTCATCCAGTTTAACGGATATTCCACAAGCGGCTTCTAGTGACTTCATTTTAACGAAGAGAATGTAATTGGTTTAATAGAACAATTCATAGTTATATCTAGTCGTGCCAGTGATTGTTTTACCGTACCCTTTGGTTATTCCTTCTTTGCACGCCCAAACTTTCCGTTTGTGCTGCTGCCCTTTTTGGTTATACTGTTTACTGTACCTTTACCCCTTTTCTCTGGCACGATTTCGGTGTTCCTTCGATACCACGAAATCGCCAGTAAATACATTCCATTGTGTGGATTAACTCTTATCTGTCCTTGATTTACGGAGATATTATATTAAGTCTGTAGTGGTGATCACTAGTCGACCACGACACTCACCAATACAGGCCAGTCAGGGACAATGTTGAGGTAGTGTGGTTACACTTGTATCCAGGTTATTAAACAATATACTGATTATTATATTTTGGACGCCATACATATTCAGAACCTCTAGTCACACAGAATTACAATTTTAGCGAAATAGGTGGTTTGTTAGAACTTCAGCAATAATGATGACTACATTAACTTAACTAGACGCAACCCAGTTGAAGGATTTCGGCCACGCTTCCGCACCAGATCACCATCTGGCACCCCTTGATTAGAACGTATAACTGCATTCCTGCTTGTTTATTGTTACCACCTGCGACTTCGAATGTTTCGTCATGTTCGATTCCGTCAAAACAGCAGTAAACGTTTGGTCGCGAGGAAGACATTATTTCAGGAGCACTGGTGTAAAAATCCATGCTAGTAGTTGATCAAACACTATTCTTGATGTAAATTTGTACTGGTAAACGTTTACTTCTGGATCATACCGAATCTCCTCTCTAATTAGACAACTGATCGATTAATTTAAAATGCAAAAATCATTAACTTCAATGAAGGAATGTGTTAGTGGGACATAGATGGAATTAAAGCACGACTACGTTGCTGCGCGCTGATTGGCTAAATTTCTATCCAATCAGCGCCTGATCGAAGCTTGGAGAACAGGATAGAAAATTCTCGTATTATTAGCTGCATGCTGATTGGTCAAATCCAGCCCAGTCGATCACGTGAATTTTCTTCCAGAAGCTTTCTCGGGTAAAAGGCTATAAATAGACTAGCATTGTATTTATTCGGGCCTTCTTCGCCTTCAAGCCTTCTTTGCCTTGGCTTTCGCCATCACCTCCAGCTTCTTTTTCCTTGCTATTTTGGAATACAATCCTTCCTGTTCAACCGTGTTTTGATTTGGGTTACTTGTCCAGTGTTTTGTGTCAAGAATACTAAGCAATAAGATTTGGCCGGGAAATATCTTCAGCAAGCGTTACAACAGAATGAATCATTAAGTCGACCACGCTAGCAAACCTCGAAACCACAGTGTCCTTTATTATCACAGTAGACGATTCTGGCCCAGAGGTCGAAGGAGTTTTACAAAATGGATAAGTAGCGTTTTTCTCTTAGAGACAGGTGCGCAATACTGACTCCAGATGTAGTACTTTCGGCAGGAAACTCATAGCATTATGATGTGCTTCGCGACACCAATAACACTTTGTCAAAGCCCGGTAATTCACTCTTTATGCCAGCCACAAACTCTAGACGTTTTCTCTCAACTCATCTTTATACAATCACCCTCCTTGAATGTCTCGACAACCGGACTACATCTCGCGGTTCACTCCAGTTATACCACAGATTTCTGAGGCAAACAATGTAGTTGAAGATGCCTTATCTCTTATAACTGCGGTCAACAGTTTCCAAGACATCTACCTTTCTAAACTCATCTAGCTTCAGGAAGATGCGGATTGACAGCACAATTTATCACGGACAACCTTGAAAGTACGAGTCATAATGATGGGAACAGGTAAGGAGAATATGATTCGTCGCACATCTAGGGGTGGTGATCATATAATTGTGCCGAAACGATATCCATGCAACTTCCTCAACACCGCACAAATTTTCTTACCCAGGCAATTGAGTAACCATCAAGCTGATAGAAGAGCGGTTTTGCTGGCCTGCCATGAACAAGCACTCACTATCCTGATGCCCGTTTCAACCATGTCCAACCTAAACTTACATCGTTCGAAGGAATACTATCAGCTTCTAACTTGTGTGGCGATAGCCACAAACAGCACCTGTCAGAGACAGTGAAACAGTAGCCCGCTCCTTCGCCAAATGGTAGGAAGCAAACTGAGGCCGTCTTTCTACTACTACTACTACTGCTACTGCTACTACTACTACTACTACTACTACTACTACTACTACTACTACTACTACTACTACTACTACTACTACTACTACTACTACTGCAGATTGCGCTTGCCAGTTAGAATCTGAACTTTCTCGCTGTCTTACTATATTCTTAAGGATCACACAAAACTGGACGACCGTTTGCTTCGCACAATCACATCATCATCATCATCTCATTAGATTGTTCAGCTCTCATCCATAACCTCCAGTGGATAAGTATCTCTCCTCTGATAACTAACTGAACTGAACATTTGTCACAACTTCTCTCTCCAGAAATTACAATTTATCATGATACAGTGAGAAAGTATCCATAGAGTTACTACACTGCATCAACTCAGTTTGGGTACCATTAGAACATATAATAAATGGGTGAAATCGGGCAACTGAAAAGTACTTACCAACAATTTGTTTACACCAGATTGTAGAATCCTTTTTGAATGTTTTGTTTTTTGGAAAATCCCTCCATGTTTACATATTTTTGTTATGACATGACGGACTTTTTCTGTTGACATTTTTGGTATTTTATTTGATTCCAATTTGAGATTTTATCATTGTATATTGTTATTCTTTCTATATTTTGTACTTATATTGAAGTTTTTGTGTTTGCTTCTGATCTGTATATATGTTGTTTAAATTTGATCTTTAATATGGCTACAGCCATATTTGGATTGATACGGTAGCTGTTGGACTTAACGTCACTTATTTATCTTTGTTTCGGATACTCTTCGGAGTAATTGTAACCTGGAAGGTGCATTAATTCCAGGTACTGCTTTGTATTTCCATCTTTTTATTAATAAAGACCGTTTTCTCCTAGAATTTTTGCCTTTTCTGGACCTTGAATTGGGAGATACGCGTTCGGAGTGCACTTATTGGAACCCATTGGAACTGCCACCGTAGAAATCCATTTACACGGATCATTTATTATATATTTCCTCAGTGGTTTGTAACTATGTGATGAGAATAATGGTTTACATCCTGCTGTACCGCAGACATTAGTAGATTGACGCTATTGCACCACCGTCATGAATGCTGGTCACATTCAATACCCTCCCTCCGTTTGTGATTTTAGGCTCTCTTACGTTTAATGGTAGATTTTAAAATATATTTTTTAGTGTACACTCTATTTTTGGACACCCTGTCGGAATAAACTTCCTCTACCAGCTCCACGTTACAAACAAACCATACAACTTTGGCTTCTGTATCCTTGTAGCACATCACACTGCTTTGAAGTAAACTAATGGTATAAATTGTAACATATGTGCCAGTTAACTGGTAGTTTGGAGACAGAAGGGTTAGGGAGCTGCAGAAAGAAAAAAGAGTTGAAATGATGCTAAAAAATCCACGAGTAAAGCGATAAGTTGGCAAGAAGACAAGGTGTTTGGATGTTAATATATTTGGGGGATGAAAATTTATCAAACTGTCAATACTTAAACTAGAAGGAACTCACAATGATACAGGAAGTTTGAGTTCCTTGTAATTGACAGTAGTTGATCAGCATCGACAGGCTTCTCAATTTGTCTGTCTACTAGAAATAAAAACTAAAACTGCTTTGAAGATATGAAAATAATGATTGGAATAAAAATTTGGAGAAAAGTCACTGGTAGCACCTCGATTGCGTAATCTATTACTGTTAGTAGGAGCAGGCGATTCGTCTATCATTTCGTGATACCTGCACGGATGGCAATGCGGGTACAATATGTTCATAGTGTGTAATTAGTTGTTAAGTTTTATCTAAACATTGGGTGGACCATGAAAGGGTGCCTGGGGACTTGATGTGAGTTCCAGGAATAGGCGACAAATCTATTTAGAGTCTAACAACAGAATTACTAGTTTCTTGTACTTGGTGATTGTGTCACAGATAGGAATAGTAATTGGTAACCTGTCGCGGTTCATAAGTGGGCTGTTTATGAGCAGACGCCGGATGAAGCTTCTTTGGAAATTTTCTACTCTTATCTTGTCCACGATATTCATGTTTGAGAAGTTAAGTGGGCAATATTCAAGTGAGGTCCCTGTACACATTTTGAAGAGTCTAAGTTCTTATTTATAAACCCAATTAGTCGTCTGGATTTAGAGATAATATTTGAGGTATCTTATCTGACTTAAAACTTTGAGAGACTATGGGGTCATTACATGACATTAAAGGGGTGAACCTGTTCTTCGTAGCTGGTAAATTCGCGGACAGGTGGGTTTGAATCCAACCTAATTTTTATTTGAGACCCAAGATTTAGTCTGTTCACGCTTCTTAGTTTAAGATGGATAGTATGTTGGTCCCCTAGATGTGTTTTTCGAAAACAATTTAGTTTCTTCCGCGTACTCTAGTGCAACATATTTTTGCAATTCGGTCTTGAATTTATTAATTTTAGCTGGAATTGTGTTGTTTTCTGGGAAATATTCAATCAGTTCAACGTTCGGGCACACAGGATAAGGAATACAGGTGTCGTCAGATTTCTTGATGACAGACGGGATTCGTACTTTGCTAGAAGATTTACAGTCCACGGACTTATCAAGATCTATAGGGTGGTTTGTTTGTTTATTTATATTCATGACACTGGGAGTTGTCTCCTGTTGATTGTTGTTGAGAAAGTCATGTGATCTCGTCGCCTCTCTTTTTTATACGACCTTGACAAGACGTTAGACCCGAGGTAATCTTTATGTCTTTGTACAAGGTTGACGAGCTAATATTTTTGCTCAAATCGATAAATCGTTTAGCGTCGTTACAGCAGTCAAATCTGAGCAAAAATCGGCAAGTCGACCTATCAGACTTTTTTCTGAGGCGTGTGACTTGACAACTGACTTTTGCGATACCACACGCTTTTAGACAGGCATTCCTTAGCGAAGTCAAGGATATGCGATCAGGGAGGTTATACGCAATCTCATTGCAGGAAGACATTAGTCTTTTCGTAACTTCCTCGGTACAAACCCTAGGATGTATTCAGCTTTGGTTAGTTTCTCAAGGTTCCTATCATCATTTGAGGCCCATAAGTACTTGAGGGGTGCCAACTGATTAAGCTTATCATTAGTTTGGGTAAGTGAGTTTTGTTTCTGTCGTATCTCGCTGCCATGGCTATTAATACTGTGAGCGGTTTCGGATAGAGCATTCAACGTCTTGGTTTGTGAACTTTCCAATTTTGGCCTCACAAGATCATACTGAAGTTTATTCTGTGATGATGGTTTTGTATACGTGGGTATAGAACCTCTTATACCGACGAGTTTCACTGTTGGTATACTTAGTATTGAGTTGTCACACAGATTACTGGCTAAAGATGGTAAAATTCGTTGATAAGAGGTACAGGGTTTACAAGACGAGGGTGTGACTCTTCCAAAAACAGGTTCATCAGACACAGGATTTACTGATTTTGATCTCTTGGGTGGTTCAACAGTTGAAGACATTTCTCTTTTACGCGAATTATTGGTCATAATAGAAAAATGAGTGTGATTATTGCTTGTATAATTAACGCAGATATATAACGGTATATTTTGTTGTATGTTAAGTGGATTATTACTAAAATCCATGAAGGTAGAAAGAGGTTATTTAGATAAGACGTTCAGTTATTAAGCGTGAGAATTACTGTCAGTTGATAAGTAAGTTTAAACTATTGTATTCAAAAGTTAAGAACGTTATCAAACTGTTGTCGGTTTATATATAGCGTTTCGGAATGCTAGTCTACGAAAAGTATGTATTAACTGATTAAAAACTTGAAAAGTTTGCTTTCTAGAAGCAGACTGAACCGGATATAATAGACAGTCTTATTAAATCAGTATAATACCCTACGAATGATAAATTTCCGAAGAAAATTGTACCACATGAAAAAATGTCCCACTTGTGTTACACTCAAATTCTCAGAACAGTGAAGCTAGAGTTCTGGTGTAAGTGTTCTTCGTTCTACAGGTAAATAATCTTCATAGAATACTATCATAACGGGTTTTGTAATGTGCTGAAGATGTCAAGATATCGAGGACGATAAAGTAGTGAGGGTGATTGTTTAGAACTTCAAGATTAACTACAGAAATCATCCTGATAGTCTAGAATTTGGATCTCGCTGACAAATACTTCCGACTGCAGCTTCATACATTTTGTTCACAAATCAACGGATAGATGCACTGAGAATAACACTGAGCCACCCGCTAACCAGGCACAAAAGTATCAAGGAGTGAACGTAAGCCAAGACATGGAAACCAATGTCGTGCGATAGCTGTCAAGGGTTTGAGAGCCCTATGTTCAATAAGCAGAGCCTTTAGTCATGAAGATGCCAAAAAAATTTTGACTTTGTATGCAGTGTTCGTTATTCCTAAAGTCTAGTATTGTATGTAAGCAACCAGCTTCTGTCTGAAGAAAAGCGTAGAGGTGTTGGGAAAGGTTCGAAAAACTGCAATTAGATTGATTCATATAACCACAACAGACGAAACACCGGTTGCAGTGGTTAGCATTGCTACAATATTAGCACCTCAGGATCTTATCTTCTTCAAACTGAAACAAACAGTGCCATGACCGCGGACGGTACTACTAAATATCCAATAAAATAACTATTGATCACCAAACTCCTGAGATATGCACCTAAAGGAAAAGCTTCACCTGTTTCTTACACAATTATCAAATAATCAAGTTTCTGTCTACATCCTAATCGGCGCGAATTTCAAGGTTCCGTGTAAGCAATGTCAGTTGGCATCCCGATTAAAGTGCTACATGATGCCGAGGGGCATGTTGTTACCCTAGAAACTGTTAGCGGTGAAGTTTTTCGTGGGAAACTTGTTGAAGCGGAAGATAATATGAATGTTCATATGTGCGAACTAATAATGACGGCTCGTGATGGACGTACGTCAAACCTTCAGCAAGTATATATTCGAGGCAGTAAAATTCGGTAGGACCCTGTAAAAACTTATTGTCTTTCCAGTTTTCTTATCCTTCCTGACATGTTGAAAAACTCCCCTATGTTGAAGCGTCCACAAGGTGCGAAAGGACTAGGTACAGGAAGAGGAAAGAATGCTATGTTAAGAGCTGGTGGTAAGTTCCTGAAATTCCAACTGCTTTATCGTTAAGTTCGAGGGCGTGGGACTTTTGTTCGTGGGCGTGTTTCTACTGTTCGTGGTACTGGACGAACTACTGGCAGATTTTAATAACTATAATGTTATCAAGTGATTGAGTTTGTATTTGTATCAAAATATTAATATATATATATACATCATTCTACATGTTTGTTTCCCATACCTCAATATGAAAAGTCGAATTTGTTTACTGTTAATTGGTAGAAGAAAGTTCAAATCGCTCAAATGACTACCGGGCCCATCGCTATCTAATATGTCCACGTACAACAGCGTACAATTAGTTATGTACGTTGGTATAATGTAATTAAACTGCCATTCTTCCCATCTGTGTTTCCGACAGTTAATCCACCTTAATTTAAGTCCTCAGCATTGAGTAGTTCGACTATAGAATTCTGTTGCTGTCACGGTACGAGTTCTTATCTATTTGTACAAACATTGCTATTTGTTAACATTATCGTTGAGTAATGATTTGTTTGCAAATACTTATAGCCAGTTTGTTTTTCCTGACATGATAATTCTTATTTGGAACTGTCCAATTTATTCAATTTACACAATTACTGGCACAAGGAAGCACCCTAAGTATTTATGAGCCACGCAAATTTATGAGTGTGTGGGCTGGGATATTACCCGGCTGCCGAAATCGAGTGTGATGATCTTAATGGCCATTCCACTGGCCTCTGACCTAGGTGTTTAATCTATGGGTCCGTGGAGCGACATAAGAAGATGCACTCCCATAATAACCAGTTATCAACTATGGGTTCATACATTATTTGTTACCACAGGCTCTGGAGCCCACGTGTATTATTGATTTAGGATCAAGGTTTTTCAACTTTCTTAGGTGGGTCTTCCGAACCCATCAATCCAGTCATGCAGCAGACACTCGTTTTCCGTCCTAATTTCATGGAAAATACCCCCACCGGAAGAAAAGAGTGAACAGGACTTCATTGCAGTCAGTCAGTTGCAACGTAGAACTTCGTACGTAAGTACATCAGTTCATGTTGCCATACCACATCAGCACAGAGATGTAATTGTCAAATCAAATCCAGTAGTAGAAGAGTTAGTACGCGTATTAGAAGTAATCGGAGAGGTTAGGATTAGAAGATATTATTCAAGCAGTATGATTAAATGAGAAAAGTTTAGAAAGTCTAAACTGGAGGTGTTGAAGAATCCAGAAGATTAGGATTTGAGAGAACACAAAGAATAAATGCACCGGCGCCATTGCGAACGATTTTGAGCCATGTCATTCAAGGTCTCTAACCATCGATTACTATCGTCTCGCGGACCCCAACCAGGTAGTCGACAATTACCGACATGGCTAAGTCCACTCGTCAATGACTTCATGGATTTCTGCCATGTTTTGGTTTTGCCGCCCCTAACTTTCTTCCAACCTATTCCTACACTACAAAACAAAGCTCGACGAGGCAGTCGGTGGTTGGGCATACGCAGCACATGTCCCGACCACCTCAAATGATGAAGTTTCATTACTTCATCTATTGATCTGCCATTCTTACCTAGCACCCGATTGCTAATAACAGCGTTGCTCACTCGGATGTCCCACGATATACGAGCGATGCTTCGAAGACACCTATGATCGAAAACCAGTAACCTACGAATATCTTCAACTCTCATTGGCCATGTTTCACAGCCATAAAGTAAGACGGAGCGAACTACTGCGCAGTACACTCGTCCTTTAGTCAGCAAACGGATATCTCGCCTACGCCATAAGTGACGCAGGTCGGCAAAAGCCAATCGAGCCTTCTGTATCCGTGCTGAGATTTCGTCAGTCACCAGGCCATCTGCACTGATGAGACTCCCAAGATAAGTGAAACGGTCAACACGTTCGACTACTTCACTCCCTATCACTAGTTCAGGTGCCGATGAAACCCAATTTTGAAGCAACATTTTGCATTTCGAGGGTGATAACCGGATCCCGAACATGTCTGCATTGTTGCTTAGGGTAGTCAGAAGACTCTGCATTTTGTCAGCGTCTTCACCAAGTAGGACAATGTCATCGGCATATTCTAAGTCAATAAGCGAGCCACCAAGTAAAAGGTCTACTCCTGAAAATTCAGATGAGGATAAGGTTATTTCTAGGAGCATGTCTATGATAAAATTAAACGAAAATGGAGAAAGTGGACATCCCTGACGGACACCACTTGAAGTGAAGAATTCCGTTGACAGTTCGGCATAAGCTCTCACTTGACCAGTGGTGTTCGAGTAGAGAGCTTGTATGAGGTTAATGTACTTCTTTGGTACACCTTTCAATGACAGACACTCCCACAGAACCTCACGATCCACTGAGTCGAATGCCCACTTAAGGTCCAGGAAAACTATTGTAGGACGCCTAAATGTGTCTGTGTTCCAGGACCTGTCGTAGTGTGAAAATGTGGTCTATACAACCACGTCCAGGTCGAAAACCAGATTGGTTTTCTCGAGTTTGCTCTTCACGAGCTTTCGTTAAGCGTCGAAGTATTACTGAGGCCAATATTTCCGATACTATATTAGTTAGGCTGATTCCTCTGTGATAGTCACAAGAGGACTTTTGTCCTTTCTTGTAAATTGGGACAATCAATGATTGAGACCAGTCAGATGGGATAACGCTTAGTTCCCAGATTCTGCCTAAGATCTCGATCAACCTAACTTTTAAAACTGGCCTACCATCCTTAAAAATCTCAGGGGTCAGTCTATCAGGACCCGCAGCTCGCCCTCGCTTCAGATTTCCTAACGCTTTTTCAACTTCATTAAGACTAGGGGGACTTAGGTCGATTTGATATTCAGGATGACTGGAGATCGTGGGTAACCGAAGAGGCCATAAATAATAGTCCTATCATTTTCTGAGATAGTCTCACTTACACTAGGAAAATGACGGGACTATTATTTATTCTCAATCCAGGAGACTGGACCGATGGGTAGAACACTTTAGGGATCAGTTCAGCTGGCTGGTGGTTATGTATGTTTGGCTGTATAAGAGCATTTCGAGAAAAAGGAAGTACGGCCTCTGTACTCTAGGGTTATCATCGCATACCTAAATACAACTGTTGGACTGGATTTCATTGTCTGGTGGTCACAATTCATGTTTGCTTAATCTGATGAAAGGGGTCTGATTAGTATTCAGTAATTTGTAAATGAGTGTTATTTCAATATCTTATGGCTGTATGTCTAATCTAGAAAGTACGATACTTCTACCGCTAACTGAGAGATTTCGTTTATATAAGATACATAGATAACACTTTCTGTTTGTGATGATCTGGACCTCAATGAAATCTTGGATCAATTCAATTCATACTAGAAGCAGAAGTGAATGAAGGATTTCACTTTAATGTCCTGTTGAAGGGAAAACGAGATGGTTTTTTAAAAGATCTACATATATGAAACCGACCTGGAATGGTCGATATACGAACTTCTATAGCTGAATCCCATTAAATACAAAGTGAACCTAATCCATTCTTTATCCTTTAAGACTAAGAAAATATGTTCTCCTGACACAATAGATGAACTATTTCCACTTCGACAGATACTTATAAAAAATGGCTGTCCACCCACGTTCATCGAAAGGAACTTATTTTAGATTATATACTGAGAAAGCATCGACAGTTCGAAAAAAGCCATTTTATGGATATCGAATTTAGAGGAGATACGACTGAAAAAATCTTGCATAAATGGATTTTCAAATTCCTAAATAAAACCTGTTCGGTCAATTTTCTCATCGTCTCCTCAAGCTGACCTACCATCTATGGAAGTTATGAAGATAAACTTCTGCTTTGAGCCACATCGACGGACATCTGTAAATATACTTGCTCCTGTAGGGTAGGTTACATTGGGTGCACAAAGCGATCACTCCAAACGTTACCAGGTTTTGCTTTTAGAAGGAGAGTGCAAACCATCAACAGCTCAATACCCGGGCGTCTGATCAACTCTAGACACGTTCCAGAGGAATTGTCATTTAAAGTAATACGTTAAGTTAAAAGAATTGGACCAAATATAGTCCGGATGTAAAACCTTATGTACTGCTGAGGCTTTGGCAGTTCACCAACTCAGGCCCTAACTCTGCGTGTGGAACCCGATTGTAGCTGTTACCTTGACGTGGTGGTCGGGCTTGCCTATCGCGATGACCCAACCGAGCTATATTGGCTGGAACATATGTTCCTATAGGTCCTACCATGCCAGGCAGGTCGATTGGAGAACGATGAGACTAAAAGCAGCTACTCAGCGTTTGAGGACGAAGTCGTACTGCTCTTTGTAGAGGGGTGTGATAGCAGTGTGTTTCTGTCGGACAAACAGCACCTGCAGCGATGCTGCCTTCTCGGAACGGAAGGAAGGGATAGAAAAAGTCGACCCTAAAAATGTCACACCTCAACTTCTCGGATTTCCGTCTCCGGCTGTAAGGCATTTTAAAGAGCGGAGCCAACACTTCAAATGCTTTCCACAAAAAAGCCGTGCGTGACCGGCCTCAAGCAGCTGTCCTTTGGGCTCTGCGGTCATGTTCCCAGGTCTCTAAGACCAACGCTAATGTACCTTCCTTCTTAGGTCTCTTAAGAAACATCCTTCCACGGTGTGGGCGGTCGGAAAGTAACATCCGCCCTCATACCCGTCACAGTACACGAGACGAAATTGGTCACAATCAAATCCTTCCTACACTCCCTAACATCTCTCTTATCGACACGACTAACTCTTTTCACACGCTTTTATCACGCTGCACAGCTAATGCAAACGATGAAAGTTCACGAAACGTCATTCCTAGTGTCCTGAAACCCCGTTCTAAATTATATGTTAGAACATTTAATGTACGGACATTGTATCAAATAAGGCAACAGGGTTCCTTAGCTAAAACTTTAGAATCTCGCTCAATCGATGTCTGCTGCGACTCGGAAACGCGCATACAAGATCCTAGTAAAATCATCATTAGTTTGACTTCACCTTGTCAAAATAAAGAACTAACACGATTTACTCCTCGTGTATCTGGTAACCTTAATGCTGCTTCCCGGGGTCTCGCTTGTGTAGGTATAGCATTGAGTCGTAGGGCAGAACTAGCTCTCCTAGACTGGATCCCATTAGATAGTCACTTGTCCAACTAAACAGGACAGTATGGACTCGGAAAGATAGGGACACTCGCCGTTGCCTCTTCATCGTATCTGCCTACGCTCCTACTAACTGCATCTCAAATGAGGTGAAAGATGATAGCCTGATAGGCTTACCCCTGAGATTTTTAAGGATGGTAGGCCAGTTTTAAAAGTTAGGTTGATCAAGATCTTAGGTAGAATCTGGGAACTAAGCGTTATCCCATCTGACTGGTCTCAATCGCTGATTGTCCCAATCTATAAGAAAAGACAGAAGTCTTCTTGTGACAATCACAGGGGAATAAGTCTAACTAATATAGTATCGGAAATATTGGCCTCAGTAATACTTCGACGCTTAACGAAAGCTCGTGAAGAGCAAACTCGAGAAAACCAGGCTGGTTTTCGACCTGGACGTGGTTGTATAGACCACATTTTCACACTACGACAGGTCCTGGAACACAGACACACATTTAGGCGTCCTACAATAGTTGTTTTCCTGGACCTTAAGTGGGCATTCGACTCAGTGGATCGTGAGGTTCTGTGGCAGTGTCTGTCATTGAAAGGTGTACCAAAGAAGTACATTAACCTTATACAAGCTCTCTACTCGAACACCACTGGTCAAGTGAGAGCTTATGCCGAACTGTCAACGGAATTCTTCACTTCAAGTGGTGTCCGTCAGGGATGTCCACTTTCTCCATTTTCGTTTAATTTTATCATAGACATGCTCCCAGAAATAACCTTATCCTCATCTGAATTTTCAGGAGTAGACCTTTTACTTGGTGGCTCGCTTATTGACTTGGAATATGCCGATGACATTGTCCTACTTGGTGAAGACGCTGACAAAATGCAGAGTCTTCTGACTACCCTTGTGGTGTGAGCTACTTATAAGTAGTATATGACGTGAGCGTCAACGTAATGTCTGGCTGCATAATATGGGGGAAGATCAAGAAAGGAAGAGTTAGAAAACGATGGAATTTGTATGAAACGCATGAACAGTGACATTGGATTGATGTTTTACAACAGGAACAGCCCAGTTCGATATGATGAACTGATATTTTGCAAATTATCGATTAACGATATGGTTTTCCGATTTTACTGAGTAACTCTGTAATTTCGCTAAATAGAATTCGGCTACCCCACCTGTGTTCTCGTTCACTACACCCTAAGCAACAATGCAAGCCTGTTCGGGATGCGATTCTTCCCGTCGAAATGCAAAATGTCGCTTCAGGAGTGAGTTGTATCGGCACCTGAACTAGTGATAGGGAGTGAAGTAGTCGAACGTGTTGACCGCTTCACTTATTTCGGGAGTCCCATCAGTGCTGATGGCCTGGTGTATGACGAAATCTCAGCGCGGATACAGAAGGCTCAATTGGCTTCTGCCAACATGCGTCACATATGGCGTACGCTAGATATCCGTTTGCTAACCAAAGGTCGAGTGTACTGCCCAGCAGTTCGTTCTGTCGTACGATATGGATGCGAAACGTGGCCGGTAAGAGTAGAGGACATTCGTAGATTATTAATATTCGATTATGGATGTCGTCGAAGCATTGCTCGTATAACCTGGGTCCATCGAGTAAGCAATGCTATAGTTGGGAATCGATTGCTAGGTAAGAATAGCAAGGCAATATATGAAGTATTGAAACTTCATCAGTTGATGTGGTTGGGACATGTGTTACGTATGGCTTACCAACGACTGCCTCGACGAACTATGTTTTGTGTACGAGTAGGCTGGTAGAAGGCGAGGGGTGGCCAAACCAAAACATGGCACGAATCCATGAAGTCACTGACAAGTGGACTGAGTCATGTTGGTAGATGTAGGCTAGCTGGTTGGGGTCAGCAAGATGTAAGTCACCAATGGTTAGAGACTGTGAACGACATGGCTCAAAATCGTTTGCAATGGCGCAGGTGTATCCACTCTTTGTGTTCTATGAAATTCCTCATCATCTCTATTTTTCTATTTCTAAAGACACCTCTCTGAATTATACTTCTCGAATCATATCTTCGCTCCCTAATCTTCTCCATTACTGCTAATACTTCTACTATCTTTACCACTATTGGATTTGAACTGACAGTTGCGTTTCTGTGCTAATGCGGTATGGCAACCTGAACTGATTGTACGTACGTACGGAGTTCTACGTTGTAAGTGACTGACTTTTCAAATGAATGTACAGAAATTGTGCTGATCATTTTCATTGAATAAAATTTTCCATATTTAGTTAGTGAACTTGAAATAAACCGAACAAATTTACTCGCCTTAGTTACGTCAATGAGTTATGCTTGAATACAATATACTTCGAAAATATCTAATTTTCGGAGATAGATGAGTTGTATGAACAATATTTATATGGACATTCTTGTGTAGATGTAAATCTTTTTAGGATGCTTTTTATACATACATTTCGAAGTACACAACATTTTATGTTTAAATTTTTGTGCACATTTAGACTCATAATTCTAACTAGGTAAAAGCTAGTTCACATAAGTTGTTAACACAAAGGGCAGATAGATGTTTCCAGTATTGCTATAGATTATACAAAATCTTTGTACATCAACCAACAAACTATTATTAAGCTTTAAAGTTTTGATAAACAATTTTCAACGAAATCTTGTGATGTAATAACTTAAACGCTTCATATAACTTACGTACAATAAAAGATGAAAGAACAAGCAGTTTCTAAAAGTCGTTTGTAAATAATAACCCAAATGAAAAAAAATTAACCACAATTGCAAATATTCGTTTGCCAAATATAGAATGAGAAAAAAAGAACAACTAATAAATAGACGTTATTTATGCAAGGAAATAAAACTGATTTAGTAAAATTATCTGTTGAGAAAGTTAAATGATAAAGATAGCTATTTAACAAATGTATATTTGTATAGTAAAAAACTCTGCTTAAGATTTGAAACCAAATTGACATCTTCACCATTGCCCAACGATAATGACCACTTATTATACAAAGTAAACAACTAAACTGTAAATAATTATTTTCTACTAGAAAATAATCGAATGTATAGAAGTTGGGAGAACTTTTGATTATGAAATAATGGATTTGATCAATAGAAACCATATTCACAAATGCAATTAATCAAACGGTAAATTAACATGCATTAAAGACTGTACTTCTGCATGCCTGGGATCTACAATGGAAAAAAAAGTTTGCCAAAGTCATTAAGATAAGTATAACAAATGGTTACAATAATTCGAATCACTTAAGGAAAATAATAGTGTTTACTCCTTTCGAGGAGTATCAGCAAAATAGCTAAGCTGACTGGAAGTTATAACTGCGATATACATCCGTATTTTGCCTTAATTCTCATTATCGACCCCTGAAAAAATTATTTAACCGACGTCAAAGCTGTCTTAACATTTTACGTAAAATAAACGATTTATTTATGGGTTAGCAGTGCAGAAAACACGAGGTAGGAAGGACCGAAATCAGGTTTGTCAATAATCTCATGAAGTGATTGATTCCCGTGACCATTCGCCACAATCTCATAGACTGGTGCCATATCATTGTTTGGCGCACTTTAGATTACTTCCAACTTACTCTTTCCTACACCACACAAGATCGCCCGTCACGGTAGGCGCCGATTAGGCATACATGATATGTCCCAACCACCTTAGTTGGTAAAGACTTACTACGCCACCAATCGATTTGCCACTTTTATCTAGTATATTATCGCTAACCTGGGGATTTCATATTTAGTGGTCCCAAAATATACCGGCGATGTTTCGAAGACATGTATGGTCGAATATCAGAATTGGACGACTATCCTTTATTCTCATTGCCCGCCTTATACCCGTAAAGTAGAACAAATCGAACTAGTGCGCAGTATTTCCGTCCTTCGATTGTTAGATTGGTTTTTTGCCTAAGTCACAAGTAACGCAAGTTTGTGAAAGTTAATCAAGCTTTCTAAATTTGTGACAAGATTTTGTTTAACATCAATCGGTTAGTATCATGAGCATACAGAGTATGACGACGCTATATATGTATAACGATACAGTAAAAAGTTGATAGCTATCTACATTATATGTCAATCCCTTTTTATTTGTTTTCATCACAAAAATTTAAAGTAACAATGTTTTGTTTTAACTAGCTTCATTTTCACCAGTTTTAACATTATTGAGCTTTAGTAATATTATATAGTATGTAGTCACGTTGTATTCAAGAATAGGGAGAGGACGAAGACATTCTTGTGATAATCAAAAGGGATGAATCCAACTAATAGTGTCTAAAATATTAGCTTCTATGACTAACTAAAGCCTCATCAAGAACAAATCTCAGAAAATAGTCTAGTTTCAAATATGGACGTGAATGTATAGACCAAATATCCACACCGGCAGGTTCTACTTCACAGACATACTTTCCTATGTCTCGCAATAGTTTCATTTCTTAACCATAAGGCGGTGATTGACTCTGTTAGTCTTGTGGTTTGTGGTGATATCTTTCAGCGAAATGAATGTTAATAAATTACATTAACCTTGTACAGGTTCTCTACTCGAACACTCCTGGTCGAATCAGAGAGTGTGGCGAATAGTCAAGTGGCGTTTGTCAGGTTTGTCTACTTCCCCCATGATTATTTAACTTTGTCATCGACATACTTTCATAGGTAACACTTTCATTGTCTGACTTCAGGGGTTGATCATTTGCCAGTAGAATCACTTGATGACATAGTCCTCCTGATATAGGGAGCAGAAGGTTGGAAGAGATCTAAGTGGTGCCAAACAATGATATTGCATTAGTCTATGAAGACATTGACAATTGGACTGAGTCGTGTTAACAAGTGTATGTACATACCAGGTTCTATGTTGCTCCTGATTTACAAACATACAGTTCATTATTTAAGAAAAGATGTAACATCTACACTACACATTCTCAGTAATGAAATATTTCAATGTTAAATACATAAACGTTTATTCACATTATAGTAAACAATCCAAACTGATTTCTATTGTGTTAAACATACATGTGGAAATAATTCACATTGAACCTAGAATTTTTTTCCCCATAAACTAATTGTAAAGCTTTCCATTTTGTGTGAAATAGTTAAATTAATCGATTGACAATAACATATATAACAAAATACTTCTCTATATTTTAGAAATGATCATATGAAAATTTAACTAACTATGAAATGTGAAGCTATAAATTATAATTATAATTCATAATTAATGAATATTTTTAAAATGGGAAATAAATAATCACCTTACAAACGCATAAGATAATAATATGAAGAAAAAAAACTGTTCTCTTTAATAGTAGTAGTCTAGTAAAAACTATACTTCCAAGAAATGAACAGATTACAAAATCGTAGTATTTGTAAATCAGTGATAATTTGTGGTAAACTATAAACACAATTTTATGATTGTAGTTAAATATCAATAGAAGATTATATTGACAGTGTATATACATATAGATACTATGATATTAAAAATTATGAATGACATATACACTTATAAAGATTACAAAATAGCATAGGAAAAGAAATTATAACTTAGTCCAAATGTACTATAGATTGAAATTTTGAGGTAAAGCTTTGTTGAAAGGATGAAAATAAAGAATATAATTTACTTACAAATACGATCAACATTTTTGTTTTAACTTTTTAATAGAAAAACAATAGGATATCCTTACCAAAGTTATAATAATGACGATATAAATAGATTTTAATCATGAATTAATTTGATTTCAAATAGAAGCTATTAAATTTTACGCGATGACAGATAGATAAATAGGAAATGAGTAAAGTTTGATCATATTTCGTTAATGAAGCACTTAAAATCAGTAAGCACAGTAGAACTAAAGAATAAGATGAACTTGAGCATTTCTTAAAATAGCAATAGGAAATCGATTGTATTCAATGGTAAAAATAATGAAAAACAAGAAGAACTGAAATATATATATATATATATAACATTTTAACTTAAATTCTGAATTTTTCAAAGTGACTAACATGTAAGTTTATGAGATTTAAAGTCCAAACACTGTTAGCATAAATACTCAAAAAGTATTCCCCACCTTAATCCTAAACCAAGCCACTTAACTATGACCACTACGATGAACCTTTTTGAATTTTTACATAATCAACTATTGATTAACACCACTAAAATTCTGATTGGTTAAAAGTCGACCTTACTTTCTTAATATTATTTTTGATATTAGTGGTGATATACAGTGATATTTCTTGTTGATCCGGTAATATAAAGTTCATTACAACTTTATTTAGATAATATATACTGTTTTACATACATTTTCAATAATTAACGGTATCAATGGGTTATAATTAACGAAAGTGTATATTATAATTTTGTTAAGCTTATTATGTCCTAAGATATATAGCATGACATTGATCAATTCTTTTTCCTTTTACTCTAATCTCCTTGTTATTTGATTTAGTTCAAAATAATATTAGTAGTACTAGTAGTAGTAACACCAAGTAATTATAATATGTGTATCATACAAATGATCATTTTATGCATAATTACAATATCACATGAAGATTTTACTGGTTCATCAGCTATCATATGGTGAACATATGTAATACGTAACTGTAATTTATGCTTAATTACCCCATTAACTTTAATGTAACCCTTAGAGTGCAATTTACAAAATTCGGTTTTAAATAAACATGAACAATATAATACTGTTGAATGTAAAATAAAATAATTTAATTATTAACCTATCAACTTGCTTCACTTTCGCTGTTAAAATTACTTATCAGATAAAATAAACTAATGAACAGTTACAATCTTTGTACAAAGTATTTCTTGGTTTACACACACACACAACAGAGACCCTCATCTCAAGTTAGGAAAAACAGCACGCACATATTAACGTAATTGATTATCGGTGTCGAGTACTGTTTTTCTCTAGGTATACAATCATATAACTTATTAATATATATACCCACATACAACTGCAAAGGCCGGCTAAATTGTTAGGTCAAAAACGAAATAATCATGTTTTAAATTTTTTTTTCTGGTTGTCTTCATAAACAGATAGATTCCAACAGTGACAGATTGTTTAACCAAAAACTATATAATTCTATCGAAAATAAAAGATTATTTAACTAGGAGTGTCATGTGAAGAAAAATAACTGACAGATGTTTCTCATATTATACAGTAAAATTAATAAACTGAAAGTAAAACAATATTAGAACGGATTATTTGTCATTTCATTTAAAGTCTACAAAATACATTTCACGCTTATTTCATTTACAATCGGTTTTTGAGTTAGAGATCCAACTTAAAAGTGTAACAATCTGTACTGACTTCACTTTTAGTTAGTTGTTTGAACATTTTTGGAGTTAAATCAGCAAAGTGACAATTGTCGAAACTGTTTCGAATAAAAATAAAAGAAACCCAAATGTATAATGTTTTTTAAATATATGCTTTAAGTTTCGTTGATTACGTCTAGTATACTGAAATATGAACAGAGTAACAATTCCTTATGTTACTTGTTCCTATAACGTTATAATCTCTCCATGGCTGATTAAATCAATATGTGTCTTACTTATCCATTTTTATGGAGCTTTTAAACTTAACAAGCCAATTCTCATAAACTTAGGTACCTTTGTTTATTCGACCAAACTCTAAGTTCATAAGTGTTAGTGATCAAATCCATGATGAGTTATGTTGCTTAGTTGAAAGATCCAAGTCTGATAATTATTAGTCATGCAAAACGAATAAGTTATCAAATTTTATGTTTAACAAACAATGTCAATGATAAATAAGTCAGAGTGAATCAGTTAACTAAGACTATTCTCAATGTTACGCAAACATGATATAAATTTCTGAACGGATTTATTTGGTATAGGACAATCCCTAGGACCGCATAATAAATTTGGTAAGTTCGAACCTCAGTGATCACAAAACAAAAACTAAGCTTTTAATGTCTAACATGCCAATATAGGAATTTGTGATAACAGAGCTTTAAAAAACAATCGACAAGTTTAATAGTTTTTTTTTTCATTTACTGGATTAAAAATGTCAAGAAAGCTCAATTTCATTTTTAATAATTAATATACATATATAGTCAGCTGTTTTATTATAAAAATAAATAAACATTTAACAATGTCTAGATCAAAATGTATGTTTAGATTACAAGTATTTCTTAGATTTTATAGAGTTCAATGTCTGAGCCTATTAGCATTTATATATAGTGATAGCAAAAAACAGTAAAGTAAGTCTCAAAAAAAAATCAACATTTGAACAATCACAGCAATATTACATATTTTTTTTAAATAGATTTATTTATTTATTCTTATTATTAGTTTCTTTTTATAGGCAACTAGTGTTAAACAATTTTAACACAGGAAATGTTCTCTTTAATCTCTTGAAGTAATCTTCTTAAGTGTACGTCAAAAGCTTCAGTGTTTAAAACTCTGTATTATAAAAAAGTAGTCAGCATAATTTGTAGTTAAAGCCATTGGGTGAACTAATTCAAAACGGTCATAATCACATTTATTCTTAGTTTTATGTCTTATTCTTAGATCTTATTCATTCCTTTATGAAATACAATTCTTATATTTAACTTTCTATTACAACTGATACCAGATTTCACATTGCATGAAACTAATTTACACTTTATGTAGACACAAACAGAAAATTAATGCATACCTGAGTCTTTATCAATAAATTTATGTCTGTACAAAAAATCCAAAGCAACTAGAGCGGAATTTGATTTGAAATGTTCATCAAATATGAGTTGTTTAATCTGAAAAGAATATTGAATAAAAAACGAAAATATAAATATTAGATGATAGGTAACAATTATCAGTTTCATAAATCTAAATTTTGTGTTTTTCACACCAGTTAGTGTTACTTATTTATAATGTTCAAGGAGATAATGATTTTCAAAAGACTAAGAATGTTATTATTTGATTTATCAGACAGAGAGGTTATCAATAAGTTAACCATGCCAAATACAGTGTAACACGATGTGATGTCATTGGTAACATTTGATGAGAATTAATAGACTAGACAAACATGACATTGGTTACGTCTCAATGATCAACTAGTGTAGAAGATATAAATAAATCTTGACAGCTTTTAAGTAATATTTTGTTATGTTAATGTTCATCTCGAATTAATCGTCTCTCCACTAGTGATAAATACGGAGGGTTTTTTAGTGCAGAAAATCACTTGACTGGGGACGAAGAGGTTAACCATTGAAAAATATGAAGACTTCTTAAGACTTTCATAAACTAACTATACTGATTAATAGTGTATTTGATTAAAAAACTAATATCATAAAGTTTCTTGAGTTTTTGCAACTAGTCAACACTGTTAAGCATAATCTACTTAGTTTACAATCAAAACATGTAAATCATTAGCTGTGGGTAGGGTTAAGTGATAATATGTAGGCCACATATATTTATTCAAGAGCTAGTAATGACGCCATCTGATAGTCCGTTTCCTCCTAAGTGGATAGCTAACTTAAAGATAACTGCCCAAATAAGTCAGTGACAATTTTAATCTGCCTGGGGCCTCTTCTGGGACTACTGCCGGTCCCAAGCCCCGATAAAGGCGGAGGGTTGGGTTTGGCGACCCAATCTCGTAGAAAACTAACTAAAAAACGCTAGACAGAAAAAATAATTCAGACCACTTTAACTTTGCCCTGGGAGTTAGGACTTCATTTTGAAGAGTTAAGATGTCTCATGATGAAAGCCGAGTTCCAATGCCCATTCTGACAACAAGAACAACGATTCTTTCAGGTACATAGAATAATCGAGCACTGAGGGAGACCAGAAGACTATTCTAGGTTGCTGAAGAGATGAAAAGATAAAACCTGGAGCTGCATGGAATCAGTGAAACGAAAAGCTACATAAATTTCACCAAATCAACCATATCTGTATCAATAAAAAGTTCAAAAGAACCTTGGAGGATGACAGAACCAAGAGAAGAGCTAATATAGCTTCAGATCACCTCTTGCTGTTCGCCAAAATGAAACTGAAACTCGATAAACACTGGACAACAGGGCGGACATCACAAAAATTTAATACGACTTTTCTTCGGGATACTGGAAAGCTAAACGAATTCAAGACAACCATTAGCGATAGGTTTCGGGCTCTTCACGATCTACTTAACAGAAAGGAAACTACTATAGGGAACAATTGGAAAGGGATTAATGAGGCAATCACTTCAACACGTCAGGAGGTTCTGGGCCACAAGAAATGAATCTCTGTTGGTACTCTTGAAAAAATTGGAAGAACAAGGCTGAAATCAACATCAGCCAAACGACAGCAGAGAAAGCCAAGGCACAAGCTGAATACACAGAAGCAAACAAGCAAGTGAAGAGGAGCTTCAAAGTTGACAAACGTAAATATGTGGAAGATCTAGCAATGACGGCGGAAAAGGCTGCAAGAGAAGGAAACTTGAGACAATTGTACGATACAACAAAGAAGCTCTCTGGAAACTATCGTAAGCCAGAACGACTAGTGAAAAGCAAGGGAGACAAAGCAATCACCAACACTGAAATACAGCGAAAAAGGTGGGTAAAGCAATTTAAGGATCTATTGAATCGACTAGCTCCACTGAACCCACCCAATAACAAAACCAGAAAACATTTTAACCGAGGCAGTGAAACCAAACATGGCACCAACTGCAAAAATAATCCACATTCACTTCAACAAGATTGGCAATGAAGAACAAGTACCAACAAATTGGAAAGGACACCTGATCAAAATACAAAAGAAAGATCTCAGCAAGCGAGAGAACTACAGAGGCATCACCCTTCTCTCAGTACCTGGCAAAGTCTTCAACAGTGTTGTTGGACCGAATGAAAGATTCAGTAGAACCCCAACTTTGAGATCAGCAGGCTGGATTCAGTGAAGATCGATCATCTAGCGACCGAACAGCAACATTACGGATCATTGAGAAACAATTAATTGAATGGAACTCACCAATGCATATCAACTTCATTGACTACGAGAAAGCATTCGATAGCGTGGATAGGAAAACATTGTGGAGGCTTCTTCGACACTACGGTGTGCCTGAGAAAATAGTTAACATCATACGGAATTCTTAAGATGGATTCAACTGCAAACTCTTGCTTGGAGGAGAGCTGACAGACTCGTTTGAAGTGAAGGCCGGTGTCAGGCAAAGTTGCCTACTCTCACTCTCTCTCCTGGTGATCGACCGGTTCATGAAGACGTCAACATCTGAGGGGAAGCACGGGATAAAGTGGACAGTTGGAATGCAGCTGGACTTTGCACATGACCTGGTTCTTCTATTGCACATGGGACAAAAAATACGAGCGAAGACAACCAGTGTAGCAGCAGCAAGTCTCAACATACATAAAAGGAAAAGCGACATTCTCCGATACAACACAACATGCGCCAACCAAATTACTCATGATGGGGATGCCTTGGATGGCGTAAACACCTTTACCTACATGGGCAGCATCATTGATGATCACGGTGGATCCGATGCAGATATGAAGTCGCGGATCGGTGAAGCAGGGGCTGCATTTCTACAACTGAACAACATCTGGAACTCAGAACAACTGTCAACACACACCAAAGTCAGAATCTTCAAAACAAATGTCAAGACGTTTCTCTTTCATGGGGCGGAAACTTGGAGAACTACAAAAGCCGTCATCCACAAGATGCAAGTGTTCATTAACAGTTGTTTACGCAAAGTACTTCGTATCCGTAGGCCAGACACTATCAGCAACAACCTACTGTGGGAGGAAACAAACCAGATCCCAGCGGAGGAGGAATTCAGGAAGAGGTGGTGGAAGTGAATAGGACACACATTGAGGAAAGCACCGAACTGCGTCAGAAGACAAGCCCTCACTTGGAACCCTCAAGGTAAAAGGAAAAGAGGAAGGCCAAAGAACACATTACGCCGAGAAACGGAGAGAGACATAAGAAGAATGAACAATAATTGGACAGACCTAGAAAATAAGGCCCAGGACAGAGTAGGTATGAGAATGATGGTCGGCGGCCTATGCTCCATTGGGGGTAGCAGGCGAAAGTAAATAAATTATATTGATGCATAAGTGGAAGGAACCGGGTTTTTCGACTCAGTAACCGCTAGAAATGATCGTAGGGAATTGATGACAGATGGTGATGGCATTCTCTGGATTAGAGTGTCTTCTGTAGCGATCAATAGTAAATCCAAGGTGCTTGATTCAAGTCCTAAATAAGTTACATTTTTCTTGTTTTACTTTGAAATCATAATCTTTAATACGAACAAAAATCACATCCAAACGGTCAGACGATTCCTCCATACTAGTTTTGAACACAATAATACCATCCATTTAAGCCAAGGCCCCTGGAACATCCGTAAGGAATGCATCCATAAAATGTTGGAATATGGCCGTTGCTGACTTAACTCTAAATATAAGGTGAGTATAGTGATAGAGGACTAGGTGTGTATTAATGGTAGTCAATTCCTTTATCGTGTCCTCTAGTTCTATTTGCAGATATGCATCAGCTAGATCAATCTGCCTCAGTTGTACAAATATCATATGGCGTGGGGAATGGATATAATTGTTTCCAGGGAATCGTATAGTCCAAACGAAAAATCAGCATATATTGAGCCATTCCATATCCTTTGTGCTATCTTTGAGGAATAATTGACTGGTTCAAGAACGTTCAATCTCCCAATCTGTCTACTTATTTTTCTACTAAAGAAAGTGCTGCATAAGGCACTGGGTGACTTGGTCGAGAGGTTTTGCTTCCGGTTTTATGTATAGTTTAGCTCTTACATCGGTAGGGCAACCAGCCAAAATACCGGAAAACTGTTCCAGCTTGTCAATCATAAGGGAACACGAAAACCTCTAGAGACTTTAACGCGATACTTGATTAAAAATAAGATTAAATGGCCAGTCAAAAATTTTTAATCTGTGATCCAGTCGAAACCCAATAGATCGGAAGACTCATGGGAATCTAGATGTGATAAATAGATCATTAATTTTGAAAATGCGTCTGATAATCCTAGAAATTTTAATTGGAATGCCCGATGCATTCTTTATGCAGTCGGTATTAGGATGGATGCTTGGCCAACCAGGTTCGTTTTAAGCTTTTCGAGAAATCAGAGTGCCATCAGAAGCAGTATCCAATTGAAAAGTGACAATGTGATCATTAACACTAACTAACACATTTACGCAAACATTTGGAGTTAAAATTCAAAAAAGCACGTGCGCAGTTTATTTTTTCAATATTCGATCTGATGAGGGTTTGTCGCATCTGCAAAATACCTCCTTGTGACCAGTTACTCCACACTTTGCACATTTGTGATTACTGAAGGGGCGGAAGCGGGAGAAATGCCATGCCTCACAGTTTCAGCAGCTAGTGGGAGGCCATAGATAATGACGTGCATTATAGACATTAGATTCTTGATTTGAGCGAGAACATTTCTGTGGGTGATGACTTAGGATATTATCAATTCAAACCAAAGGTAGATATCAAAGAAAATGAATTGTACTTGGCAAAAGCTGGAAAGGAGAGCTCAGGACAGAGAAGGGTGGAGAATCCTGGTCAGTAGTCAATGCTCCACGAGAGGTAACTGGTGTAAGTAAGCACTGAAGGTATTGGAATTCTCATGCGTCGTTAAGATTGTGCTTTATTTCCCGTTTAAGAAAATAGTTGCATACTACCACTAACACATATTTTGGACTAACAAAAACTGTTGTTTTCTTTCTCTCAAACTAATTAGTTATAAGTATACAGCTTCGTAGAGATTGCTGGATTTTACAAATTACGCCACAGAATCATCTAAGTTGCATAACCATTTAAAACCAGGAAGAAACGTACAGCTATTTTACCACAGCACAGGACTCTTCAGTAGTATGCACCAACGACCACAGTGGGGATCTGTTAAGTTTTGGAATACAATTACAACTGCGTCCTACTGCAGTTTTTTAATTATGAACAACTAAGAATCTTCTAATGCGGAAAAGATTAGTGAGAACTTGATAATCCCAGAGTCTAACACAGAACAAGACTACAAGGTTAATAATTTACATGCCAGTAAAAGACAGAGAAGAAGGAACTTAAGCTTGATTTCCCGGGTAAAAGTCAAAACTGAAATGGAACGACCCTGTCTATACAGTACATAGCAAAATTAGCGAAATAAAAATAATAACAACCAGCTGGTCAACAGCAAAGTCGATTGAGGTAATTTTAGCCAGAAAACTGTTACGAAGGTTTTCCCTCAACTTAAAAAACTTAAGATTTAATACTAATATAATGTCTTGAAAGCTCAAGGTGCTCTTCAGGAACAAGCCTAGGACCTTTACAGGTCAAATAGCGAGCAGATAACCTTCAGACTACTAATTACTGATTGGATCTTTTCCAGCTATTGTGCAAAGCATTCATGTCAACAATGCTATCAATTTTTAATGGTATGATGATGTAACGCTTAGTGAATATCTCTTTTTTAGGTTTTGAAAATTTAAGTAGTGAAATATTTGTCTACTATTTCACATTAAGCATATTGCTGACTACACTGAAAAATGAATATAGCACTAAGAACCCATGTTATCCTTTATGATGATTACCATATGATATTGTCAACAGTTGAGTGAACAACATTATTATTGTTAACAGCGACTTCAGTGGTGGAAATTAACGACTGTTTACATATATATTAAAATAATTGCCTAAAATAAAATTTATCTTGTTCAAATTAATTATTTAGATTAGCTGAAATTACAAATATAAACCATGGGATATTATCGACGTAGTCCGAAATCATATCAAGTCGTATACCCTGTGAGACGTTGAGGTCCTAGGTGTAGGTCACGGATAACCATAGCTAAAGACTATCCATACAAGGGACAAAACAGCTGTTCAATGTTCCTCGGTTGATCAATCGAAGTTAGTCCAGGATGTATAGTACCTTTAAATTGGACAGTTTCCAAACAAAAACATTTCGCATTTTAAGAACCAAAAATTGTGTGAGATGATAATATGAAATATACTGGAACACTCTATAGACTGAAGAGGGCACTGCTTTATAAACTGGCATTAATTTTAAATTATTCTTACTGAATAGGTGTGTATAGCGGTGATGCAAGTGCAAGTTGAGAAAATAAGGAAAACATTTTCAGAGTGGAAATGAATGGTGTGAAATCTCATCATTTTTTTGGAACATGAAGAAAAAGCTGTGTAAATAACTACTATGTCTTGTCATAGTTCTATCAAAATAAGATTAATCATACAACTTAGTATAATACAGTGAAATAAGCATACTTTCATGTACAACATTTTTTTTATTAGTAGCCTTAATATACATATCAAATAAATGTTTAAAATTTTTGAATATGAACAACTGAAATCAGTTGAAAATGTTCATATGCTAAGAATCCTAAAGTACACAAAATTCATTTTCAACTTTTTTTTTCTATTGTTTGTTGGTTGTTTTCATTGTTTATTTGAAGTTTGGAGAAGCAATCAAAGTTCAAATGCTTTTGTGTGATTATGCTATTATTATCAGGCTAAAAAAAATACTTTAGTGAAATAAAAAGACTTCAATTAAAAATACTCATTAGGATACATTTTTTTCTTTGATTTCCTCTATTTAGTGACCTGTTGTTGTTGTTGTTGTGATTTATTTCTAATAGATAGCTACATCACATATATATATATATATAGAGAGAGAGAGACAGTATATGATGAATATCAAATAAAGTTACATTTTACGTGAAAAAGGTCAATTGGAATTCAATAAATGTTAACAATATTATTGCTAACATCATATTGACTTAGTTTCCTTTCAATCTAAGTTCTGTAAACTAATTTTTTTTGCTTCTAAAGAACAACAGATCATTACTACCAATACTATGTTGGTTATGAAGTAAACAAAAAATCATCACAAACAAATTTTGATTATTGGTCAATGGTTGAACTGATAATTTTTTTTTAATTAAACTAGTAGAAAAAATTCAATAATTATGACGTTTTACTTGTGCGATAAAGTGGTGATAAATCAGTTTTAAAGTATAAACAAAGAGATTATAGAAAATGGTTGTCTATACTACTCTCAATGTAGCTTATATATAGTAGGCAGTGGTGTTGCTCAAAAGTTAGTGCTGAAGAGAATAGTGCCATTTTTGAATGTATAGTGCGATCAATGTGTTTTGAAGTCTAGAGGATACGTGAAAGCAGACAATCAATTATCTGTTTATTTTACAAATGAAAGTTTGAAGATAAGATGTACACATTTTGATAATAAACTGGGTTTTCGTTCATTACAATTTGTATGTTTGTAGATTGTTGCTAAACTTTACGGCAACACAGTCAATAAAAGAAATCAATGATATTACGATTGAAAGAATCGATGTAATAAGATCATCAATGATAGTGTAAAAAAGAACTCACATATAGTGTTTATTTCGAAATGATCGAATGAAGCAAAGAAAAATAAGTATGATATAATTCTTAAATTCAACATTTATAATAATGATTGATTTTATTTAAAGTCTTTAACTATTTATCATGAATAACCAACGAACACTTATTTAAGGAGATTGCACTTGCCCGCACAACTCGAACTTAATCACTTTCATCTCATAAAGTCGAATTATAAATGTTTTAAAATAATTTTAACAAAAAAAAAACAAATATAAAAAGAGCTAAGAAACTATACAATGTTATCCCTATTAAAAATTATTTATTATAATTAAAACACCTGCATAATGAATAAATCAAATTTCTTTTAAATGAAATTACAACTTATACACACATTACCTCTGATATGCTAACCAATCGGAAACTATCTACTTCACCATCAGAGCTAACAGGAATAAAATCTGGTGGTAATTCCAAATCGAAACAATATTCAATTTGTGGGCAAACACCACGTTCATCTTCAAATATATAGCTGATTTAAAAAAAAATGGAATTCAAATAAAAACAGTAATTTTATTGAGTCAATTAAACTGAATCAAGCTTACGAACGAACATTTAGTCCGACCTTGTTACCACAAAAATTGATTAAAAAAAGAACATCTATTAAATTACTAAGTCAAATATGAATCTAAGCTGAAACGAATCATATTGGATGCGAAAAGTAAACAAATGCCAAACGTATAATATGAGGGTAGAATTAAATGGTACATAAAGGCGATTTCACATAATTAGAAGCAGAATACAGATGCTAGAAGGTAAATGTTTGACATAGATTAATTTTTTACAGGTACTCATCTGCAGAATATACACTTACATGCACGAGTAATTTAGGGGTAATAACATATATCAAACTTGATGCCACAGTTTAAAATTATCATTGGAGTGTAAATACCTTTTTTTCATGATCGTAGCTACTACCTTGACGTGGTGGTCGGGCTTGCCTATCGTGATGACCCAACCGAGCTATATTGGCTGGAACATATGTTCCTGCAGGTCCTACCTTATCAGGCAGGTCGATTGGAGAACGATGAGACTAAAAGCAGCTACTCAAGGTCTGAGGGTGAAGTCGTACTGCTGAGTGAAGAGGGGTGGACAACAGTAAGGTGTTTTCCTCGGACAACCTGCATCTGCAGCGATGCTGCCTTCTCACAAGGAAGGAAGGGTTAGAAAAGGTCGACCCTAAAAATGCCACACCTCACCCTACTTCACGGATATCTGTCTCCGTCGGTAAGGGCTGCCAATAAAGGCTTTCAAGAGTGGAGCTAATACTCTAAAAACCTTTAATAAAAAGGCTGTGTGACCGGCCTCAAGCGGTTGTCCGTCGGGCTCTGCGATCACGCTCCCAGGTCACTACGAGACAACCGCCCTCATACGCGTACCAGCACACGAGACCAAATTGGTCACAATCAAATCTTTCCTACGCCCTCTGACATCTCCCTTATCTCCTTGACCAATACCACCAGATTCAGATCATGTTCTAGCGCGAGCGCGTATTTGGACGTAGGAAAGACACCACAAGGAAACCTCTCAGGGTTCTACCTAATGATAACAAAGCTAAGAATATAAATATATATATATATATATCAGCAGCTACTTGAAAAACAGTTAGGCGGCCATATGATGCCCACCCCGAGGCACCTTGAAACGATATCCAAAAACCCGTGGAAACGGCAGTGATATCTGCTAGTAAGGTAAACCATACGGTTAAGGTGAAGCAGTGGAGCTCAGTAGCATCTACCAAACTGATAGTTGCTCGGAAACCCACCCCACCTGGCTCTGAATATGATAAGGAGCGGAGTCAGCTTAAACACAGGCTGATAAGAAGCTTACATCATGATCGCAAGCACTGATGGGTAACATAAGCAAACGAAGATGGAGAAAGCAGCGGCGATAGGTAACAGTAGACAACTGTCCAGACTTATCAAGGAAACTGGTATTTGGAATCCAATTGTAAGCGAGACTATCTCAGAAAAGGATGGGCATATTATTCATTCTCAACTCAGGAGACTGGATTGATGGGAATAACAATTCAACTAGTCTTCAGCCACACTTCATTTACCCACGATCTCCAGTCAACTTGAATGGCAAGTCGATATAAGTCCTTCGACTATGAATGAAGTTGAAAAATCTATAGGAAATCTGCAGCGATGGAGAGTAGCAAGCCTGACGGGCTTACCTCAGAGAATTTTAAGTACGTTGGTCCAGTTTTAACAGTTAGATTGATTGAAATCTTAGGTATAATCTGGAAACTGGGCATAATCCCGTCCAAATGGTCTCAATCAGCGATTGTCCCAATTTATAAGAAAGGACAAAAGTCTTCTTGTGACAATCACAGGGGAATAAGTCTAACTAACATAGTTTCTAAAATATTGGCCTCAATAATACTTCGACGCTTAACGAAAGCTCGTGAAGAGCAAACTCGAGAAAACCAGGCTGGTTTCAGACCTGGACGTGGTTGTATAGACCACATCTTCACACTACGACAGGTCCTGGAACACAGACACTCATTTAGGCTTCCTACAATAGTTGTCTTCCTGGACATAAAGGCGGCATTTGACTCTGTGGATCGTGAGGTTCTGTGGCAGTGTCTGTCATTGAAAGGTGTACCAAAGAAGTACATTAACCTTATACAAGCTCTCTACTCGAACACCACTGGTCAAGTGAGAGTTTATGGCGAACTGTCACCGGAATTCTCTATTTCGAGTGGTGTCCGTCAGGGCTGTCCACTATCTCCATTCTTGTTTAATTTTGTCATAGACATGCTCCCAGATATAACCTTATCCTCGTCTGAATTATCAGGAGTCAAGATAAATGCCAGAGTAGTAAAATTAGTAACACTGTAAGTAGTGAAAGAAAAAAATAAAGCACAAGAAATTTGAACCGTCTGTCAAAATATGAGTTAAAGTAACAAGTGTTACAACTAATATAGCTCGACTGCGTTATCACAATTAGTGAACTTGACCTCTACGTCAAAGTTAGAGCTACGATCGGGGTAAACATGGGATTTTTGAATTGTTACTTACAGCTTCAACAGACAGGAAAGACAAATTAAAAGACTAATAAATGAAATATATTGGTTAAATTTTTAATATTCTGATGTTCGTTCAAAATAATCAGCGGTAACAATGCAACCATATTTATGATGGATTACTTTGTCTGTAAATGTAAAATGTTGCTTCAGGACTGTTCCGTATCAACGACTAAACTAATAATAGGAAGTGAAGTAGTTGATAGTCGTTCACTTCACTGATCTAAGAAGTTTCATAAATCCTAGTGGGTTCGTGCTTGTCAAATTGTTTCACTTGAGGCGCAGGCAGGTTACTTTCGGTATGAATGTGTTTACGAGTAAATCTATCAAACTCATACACTCACGATGGTTATTTTCACATCGTTATATAATTATGAAGTAAGGAGGAATTACGACTGTTCCAAAAATTTTCTGTAGTTTTCATAACAAAAAATTCATCAATGTTTGATTTTGCTATCAACAGTACAATCTGCTACTAAATACTCACAATCCCATGTAATGCTTTAATATATCAATTTATTGTAACTGGTTTTTTTTTTCAATACCTTGAGATTAAAGCGAAATTGAAGTCCAGTATATTGTATATATATATATATATATATATATATATATATATATATATATATATATATGAACGCATTTTGTACGTATTTATACACAAACAAATCCTCTGATCAACACATTGACTGACCTTGGGATTTGATCTCCTTTGATCAATTATTATTATTATTAGTCAATATGATCATATCCCTAAGGTTAGAAATTTAGGTAAGAATGAAATAGAAATACTAAAAAAGGAAAATCGAATGAACTAGTAAAGGAAGCAAATAACTAAAGTCAGGATAATATTTGCATTGCGCAATGATTAAAAATGATTCAGTTGTAAGACTATTATAATTAAATATCACATTTTAGTTAATTAGTAGGAAATATACTCTATAAACTGCGATAATAGAGTTTTATTAAGCCTAGTAATAAACACAATATTAATTGTTATTATTAATTAAGAAAAATTAAATGGTACTAGAATACTTGATAATTAATTAGGTTAGCAAAATATTTTTTAATTTTATTGAATGAAGAATTATTAATGGTTACATTCAAAGTAGATTATTTAACAATCTAAATAAACATTCGAAACTGAAACATAGCGGAATGTTCTTTTTTCTTTATCTCTCGTGTACTATGGCAAAGACTTGTTAGTAGTACGAACACAATTCCACGTACAATTAAAACTATTATTCAGGCTTAATATTATTAGCTATTGAACTGTTAAATACAATTCTAACTCCTGAGAATTGTAAACTCCACCATTTCGCAATTAGCGTAACTTATCTTTTTGTCAGAACAATGTTAATACTGTAACAAATCTCTACAGATGTTTATAAAACCAACAACCTAAGTATTTTAAGCTGAAACTGTTATTGATGAAATTACTTTGAGACATTTCAACTGAAACAATCGAAATATTCAAACGCATAGAACAGAGTAAATATTAGCATTTTAATATCACCAACTGTTATTGCGTAAAAAAACAATACAATTTAAAAAAATCATACACAAACTTTAATCATTAACATTAGTTAAACTATTATGCCACAGCTCATCATTTAAAAATGTTCACACATTATCATTTTTGTTACAAACATGAGTGGACAGCACTAATTATTTCTATACCTAAGAATAATGACTAGATTTTATCTGTTAGAGTGATGTTTCACTAGCGCTCCACCTTACCAAGCCTCTGTTAATGTTAGATAACTTAAACTGTAGATCCACAAGATCCGGTAAGCAAACAAAACAGGCAAATTATGAATTATTCGTCAGCTGATTAGCCCACTTTATACATAATGACATACAATGATAAACAAAAACACCAAGCTAACTTGAAAACGAAAATACACATTAAATAAGTGGGCATACATTTTACAAATGTGTTTGTTACGTGACCTTACGAATTGAATACGACTGCAAATTTATATTTTAAAAGTGATAAGGTACTTAATATTACAATAAGAACAGAATAATAACAATTAAAGAGTTAACAGCGATTAACTATCGCGAGAGTTTAAGTGAAAATCATCCGTTCCAAGCCATCAACTAAATGATCACGAACAAATTGAAAGAATGATGATAATGACGTAATTATGTTGTAATAGACATTTCCGTGATAGCAGTAGAACAGTTTAACTACTACACTTTATGATAGAATAGGATTGTTGCTAATGGACCATGGTTATTGTGCATTTGGGACTCTCAATTACTCAAATTCTTCGGAGATATCGTCATTAGGTGGGTGCATATGACTGACTAACATAATTATATCTCAATTGTAGAACTACTGTTAGGTTCAAATGAATGTTGCTAATCTCCTCAAATACATTAGGTAGGATGATGGCACATATGAAATCTGATCGTATTTTATAAACTTGTACGAAACATTAAATCTTTGAGGTTGTTGAATTAGGTTAGTTAATACAGTATGTATTGATGGAAACTGAAGATCACAATAGAGATGGAAATAACAAGTTGACATATGGTTTTTTTCGAACTACACCAACGTTTGAATACATTGAAACAGTAGCCACTTACTTAACTAATTAGTCAGTCAGTTGCAACGTAGAACTTCGTACGTATGTACATAAGTTCATGTTACCATACCACATTAACACAAAGATGCAGATGTCAGTTCAAATCCCATAGTGATAAAGATAGTAGAGGTAATAATGGTAATGAAGAAGACTAGGGTTCGAAGATATTCAAGAATTATAATTAAGTGAAATAAGGTTAGAAAGACAAAGGTAGAGGTGCTGACGAATCCAGAAGATTAGGATTTGAGAGAGCTCAAAGAATGGATGCACTTGCGCCATTGCAAACGATTTTGAGCCGTCGTTCAAGGTCTCTAACCATTGGTGACTTTCGGACCCCAACCAGGTAGCCTACATCTACCAACATGACTCAGTCCACTAGTCAGTGACTTCATGGATTTCTGCCATGTTTTGGTCTGGCCGCCCCTAGCTTTCTTCCAAACCTAACTAACAAAATATATATACAGAATTGGTGAGGGTAGGAAAGACTATAGAATAAAGATTTGTATAGGAAAAAAATCTTAAATCATATATATATATATATATACATATGTATATATATATATATATAACTCAGTCTCAGAAAACCAATCGTAACCCGAATGACAATGGTAACGAATCTTGCTGTAAGGCTGAATGATGCAAGTTCGAACGCTACAAAACGAATCAGTCCCATTGACACTAAAGCTACACCGTGTTGACTAAAGTAATGAAACCTATATCTAGTGTTTCTTACCGACTACTTCTTATCACCTAATATTCAAACTATCTAATATCTTTTAACACAATATACAAAAGGTCACAAAAAATAAAATCATACTATTTTACTGAATAAAAAATATATTTTCATCTATAAATGAAACAGAATGTGATACCCTAGTAAAAATATACTACATAAATACAACTCACCTGATCTGATTTACAAGGGTTAGTTTGCCAAGCATATGTTCAGGTACACTTGCTTCCTCTCGACACTCTTTACGAGCACATTCCATGACATCTAGACCATAGGTTAAGCCTCCAGCAGCCTGAATGTAAGTTTGGACAAAAACATAAAATTAATACGTTATCCTCAAACTAAGTAAGTGATGTCTGGTTACCTGTAAATGAACTGTTTACATATAGGAAATGACATTTCAAACATTTTTCGTAAAACGTTTTGAAGAAAAAAAATCATCTTTTCATGTAGTTCACTCTCAATAATGTCTTACTGGTGATAGACTGATACAATTAATGTTTCATATACATACATGAAAGCATAGTCACTGTATTGAATAAATGTTGTTGTTATATTCTCCTTTTCAAATGTTGCGAAAATCTATCTACATTTGCTTATAATACATGATGGATAACAAAACGGTTAGTCACCAAAACATACTGATAATACACAGATAGGTAGATAAATAGATGAATGGATTGTTCGATAATATATCGTCAATATAATTTAATTCATTTTGAATGGCATAAATAAAAGAAAAAACTAGGCATCTACTTTTAAACAAAAAAATCCTTTTATTATGTGCAATGGGAGGAAAATATCTTTGACTATTTCGTATAAAACAGATTTATTGTTTCATATGATCTTTCAAAGAACAATAGTTGTATGGAGATCGGTCGGAGAACGATTGCATATGCATTTTTTTCAGTATTTGAAAATAAGATAACCAGGAATAGGGGTTGTGCACATTTCAAAAATAATAATTGATCACTATGCATAAAAGTCAATAGTCAATCATAGTTTCATTCATTGTGTTAAAAACAAAAGTAAGAAACTAGATTATCGACTGTGGATTATAAACTCCCAGAATTCAATTACGCTTCGGTTGTCACAACTTAATTCAACTAAATCATTATTTAGATTAAAAAGGTTTTGAAAATTTTAGGTTCCCTTACATCCTTTTATTTTACCAAATCAAATTTTCTTGAATTATGTATTCGATGCTTTATCTGTTCTATTCTCAGTAACACTGTTACTACTTCTACAACTATGGGACTTGGCCTGAAAATCTCATCTCTCTGTGCTAATAGGGTATGGAAACTCAAACCGATGTACCTGTATACCAGGTTCTACGTTGCGACTTACTGGCTGACTACCATTCAAATGAAAAACCTGATCAAATGAATACCATGTTTATCGATTTGACACTAATTGTTAAACACATATTTGAAGATTTTGTAAAATGAATAACTGTTTCTGATAAACAGAAAAGCTGCCAGTTAGTGATTTGAGTAGAAAATAACCTTGTTAAATGTTTTTATCACGTTCACATTAAAATCAAGCACGAACAGAACACTTCATTTAACGTATTATGATAGAAAATAAAAAGCAAAACTACAATTAATACATGAAAAAATACATTTTATTCATGTACATCTTTAAACTGTTCAATCAATTATTAAAATATCTGATAATAATTAGTCATTAATTACTTTGTTACAAAAACAAGTGGGTAGCTAGAGAAATCTTATTAATTTTACTCATTATAGTGAAACATGATAATTGCATTAATTATACTTGAGACTATGTCTTGACACTAATGATCATCTATATTTATGGTCTTAGAAATAAAAGTTAACAAAAATAGAAAGAAAATACAACGTATTTATTGTATGATTTTAAATACTGAGTTGATGTATACCGATCGAATCGGTAACCAATAGTTGCAAGAGATAGTCAATGCTTAAAAATGTGACCTGAGGTATATTTGAGATAATTTATTTACCGATAAACTAAACATAAATAATCACAAAATATTTCAGTCCATTTAACTTTAAGAACAAGCTTTATATTATAAAATTAAAGCGATTGAAATATGTTTTTAGCTCATTTATCAGGTACAGATTGAATTTAAACTACACTCCAAATCTGATGATTAGGGATAACACCAGGTCTTCCCAAGAAAGTAAGTGGAATGGAGTTCTAATCTGCGACTTATTAGTGGTAATAAGTTGAAGACTTAACTACTGAAACGCAACTCCATAAATGGATGAAATGTAGTGAATCAACGGTTACGTAACCAGTTTAAAATATTGTTTTCGTAGTAGAATTGGGTTATGAAGATGTAATGAGCAAAGACGTTAAGATCAAAAGACAGTTTACTAGCAAAGTGTGTACACTACATATTCGCATTTTCATTTGCAAAACAAGCAGATAATTGGATTTCTTCTTTCAAAAGCCTCCTAGTCTTCAAAACACTTTGACCGCTATGATACATACGACACTTCTCTCCGGTCGTAACTTCTAGGCTGCACTCCACCGCGTACTACTTATGAGCCACATTGTGAGTAGTATTCACAACAAATGCGGTAAAATATGATTCTGCGATTGGTTTTTACACTGGAAAAATGTAAATTATGTATATATATATGATTACCATATTATCAAGCATTCCAGGAGATGTAGGTTTACTTATCGATCGCAAACCAAGCCACATGAAAACATTGTCCGGATCAATTTGAGTAAGTGAAGTAGATTCATTGGAATTATGTGGGCTGCCATTAATGACCCGGTCAGATTTTTTATAGTTGTATCGATTTGAAAAGAAACCATTTACATGTACACCGTATCGTGTAATGCCCAACAGACTTGATGCTGAACGTTCAATTTTCAATAACACTTTTTCGCGGTTATGAATGTAAACACCATAGTCCTATTTTAAAACCAATAAATTAACAATCATTTACATACTCCTGATAAAAATAGGAAATTTTCATAAAGATATGTAGGCAAACCTCAGAAAGGAATTATTTTGAGCAAGCACTCCAATATAAAGTTACTACACTGATATAAGTTAACTATCACATCGGTTAAATACTGATGAGATCAATCACCTTGGGTCGGTATATTAACCTGATTTCAAACTGTTGTCTATTCATAAAATATTTAAGCCGTACTGAACCTGACTGTGGTTTCAAACACTACATCTACAAGCTGTGGAATTGTCATCAGTTGTTTCAAATTGAAATACCTAGTAATAGCTAAACAACATATTATATATTTTATTTGAAGCTGTAGCTTAGTAATTAAAGCGAATGACCTTAATTTACTACATCAGAGATTCGAAGCTTGTTGTAAATACTATAAATGAACTAATAGGACATTTCTGAAATTTTTCTAAGAATAGGGCTTTATCCTAATTCAGAAATATGACGCTGGTTGAGTAGAAATTGTATATTTGCCAATAAGTATTGTCACTCTATAGAACAAATAAAAACTATGCAGAACAGCAAATCTGTTAGGAGTAATAACATCAGTTTTAAAGGCTATTTTTAAAATAATTTTCTGTAAAGACAAGTAATTAGAAAGCAAGACACAATACTTTATAAAGTGAAACTTCGGTTTTCGATAGCATAGTGAGAAATGAGCATATTGCAAATTACTTAAAATCAGCAGCTTACATGGGTCATCTACTGTTCTGTATTTATGACGGACAGAAAGACCATACGTTTTGAAGTGACTAAATTCCGGTTTAATTAAAATCGGCATAATAACTACGCGAAATGATTATGAATTCAAAGAAAAGTGATGTGATTACAAATTAATTTATTTCTTACGAAACTGTTTCCAAACGATCCAGACATAGTGCATAAAAAGTAGAAAGAACGAGAAAGTGTATATCATAGCAAACTTCACTGAAAGGAACCACAAACCCAGTGGTTTAGTATTACTACATATCATTGATAACCAACCAATAAGTGGTCAACCATAGTTAGGTAATCGATCGACCTACCTTATAAAGGTCTGGTAATCAAAATAAAATGGAATCACCATAAGAAGTCTCAAATCATACTAAGAATAGGATTACAGAAGTGGACAGGTTACAAAAATAGTCTTTACCGAAGACTATAATTGTTCCGAAATCTTTGTTCAATTTTTCTGAGGTGTCTCAGGCCTATAAAATTGAAAAAACAACAACGAAGTCTAGAACAAACAACTCACTTCGTTTCTCCATCCTTTTAGAGCCTTGAACGGACTTGTAGCTCGCAAATCTTGCATCACTTCTGCTACTGCATTGCTGCGGTCATTCACATTTACCATGGTCTGATGTACTGTAATACAATGGTCTCCGTGTTGCGGATGAGAAATCCTCACAAAAACATTTGCATATTTTAATAACCAGTCCAAAAACATTGGGTGAATGAATCCGACAAAGTAGCCATCCAGCAAAAACTTGTAGCATTTGTCTCGGGAAGATCCTTAAAGAATACATAGTATAAATAATATGTATACAGAATGATGAAACGAACAAAAATTTGGCGACTAAAATCATATGTTTCTTAATAAGCTTAATATAAGTAGCCTAACAGAACCTTTAAAAGAAGGTTAATTATATTATTTTAAACTGGAGGTAAGACACCAATAACTTGCTGAGGAAAATATTACAGAAACGCTACTTTATGTCTTAATACATTACTTAAAGTACCACAATCAGCTGACCCTGAAAACGATAAAATTTTCCTTATTCAAATTAGTCGTACTCGTCTTACTACTGTGGGACAAATACCAAAGATTAAGTTTCCCAAATGATCCATACATTAACTCAACTCACTGAAAGTAAACAAAAACTACTTAAGTAATGTATGCTATTGTAATCCCATTAAATCTAAAACTTTGTGAAACGTTCTACTCTTAAAAACAAATAAGTAAACAGCCAAGACAATTTACATTGAAGGATGCGAAGTAAAACATAAGTATCATCCAAAAGTATATTTACCGAATCCATCGTCTGATAACAACTTTCAGCACAACAGTTTATTATTTTAATCAAGCGACTAATAAAATCACTGAAAAGAATCATAAAATAGAGCAGTGCACAATAACTCAACTTTGGTTTCAAAAAAATAGAAGAACCAACATACTTCTCAAAAAGTTCTATATTCTGAATATAAAGTTACACTGATGTTAGAAGAATGTTGATCGGATTAACGTATGTTTGACTCAGGATCATGCTGATTGGCCTATTCTTAAACAATCAGTTAGAGAAAACTCCAGTACATTCTAGTAAGATGTTAATATACTAGCATTTATATTACTGCAATCCCTTTCATTTTAGGTTGGTTTCATAAGAAAATAGTGACATATTTGTTCAAGCCGTGTCCGAGTTATGTGCAGTAACTGAGAGAAGTAAAGTGTCCAAAGAACATTAGGCAATATGAGTAACTGAGTTGTAATATGGGATATCTTAACAGTGGAGACAAAGACTAACTAGCCAGATATATTCCTTAACTCTTAATTTCACCGTTTTAGATAAAACATGACAGCATTGAAACTAAAAGTACTGATGAACCTGCCTATGTAACAGTCGGACTTTGAACAGTACCATTCATCGAACCATAAAAATAACAGTCAGTAACAGTTCCACATAACTGGTACTCTATAAAGCCAATCTCAATCTACAGCAAAAGAAATCTTTGATTAAAGATCAAGAATCCAGGGTAGTGATGCCAGTAGGCTTGAAGAAAGCACAAATCCATGAAATCACTGACAAGTGGACTGAGTCATATTGGTAGATTTAGACTACCTGGTTGGGGTCCGCGAGACGACAGTTACCGATGGTTAGAGATCTTGAACGATATGGCTCAAAATCGTTTGAAATGGCGCAGCTGTATCCACTCTTTGTGTTCTATGAAATCCTAATCTTCTGAGCTCATCATCATCCCTACCTTTCTCTTTCTAAATTCATCTCACTGAATAATACTTCTTGAATAACATCTTCGAACCCTAATCTTCTCCATTACTGCTAATACTTCTACTATCTCTACCACTACTGGATTCGAACTGACAGTTTAGTAGGGCGAACTACAGCGCAGTACACTTGTACTTTAGTTAGTAAACGGATATCCGGGCTACGGCATAAGTGACGCAAGTTGGCTAAAGCCAATCGAGCCTTCTGTATCCGTGCTGAGTTTTCGTCAGTCACCAGGCCTGCAGCACTGATGAGACTCCCGAGGTAAATGAAGCGGTCAACACGCCCGACTACTTCACACCCTATCACCAGTTCAGGTGCTCCAGGGAAGGTTGGCCAAAGGGTAATGGATCAAAGATAATAGCATTAGGAAAAACCGAACGATAAAATGTAACAGAACAACCGGACATAAACCAATAATAAGAGACACAGTTTGTCACTGCTACTACATTTAGTGATGAAATTAATTATTGAGTGCCTAACCACTTACTTTTTAAAACTGGAGTGAAGCATTCAGTACTTTAAATTATTGACTGAGCACCCACATGTGATGACCACTACAGTCTCAGAAGGTGATTCACTTCAACCTACTTATCTACTTACCCACACAAGTTAAACTTTCTCACTGATCATGTAATATACGAAATGCATCACACATATGTAGCATATATGAGACCTAGTCCAACGCCAACATAAAATTTTATAATGCTTTTCTGTTGCAATATACAAATGTCGCATTACTTTGAACGGAACCAGCATAGGACAAGGAGATTGGAATGCATCTCATTGGAGATCAACAACAACTACACATGGTTTAACTGCAATCCATTAAATCAGGCCAACTTTGGATCCTTAAGCTAATTTGTAGAGACTATGTAGTCATGGTTGTACATTTAGTATGGTACACCTGCTTGACAGTGAGTGTGTTTAAATACGTAATAGTGTACGTAGTAATGGGAAATAAAGTAGGCAGTTATGTATTGCGCATGATAATGAACTTACCAGGAAGTAAAAAATTATTGCACTTATTTAAGACTAAGTTGCGTAAACTGAAAAAGGGCGTAACAGCCATTCACGTACAGAAGCTTTGAACAAATTACCCGAGGACCAAACTCTTGTTGACCCTCTTTTAGTGATCTGTATAATAGAAGATATAAATGCTTGACTCAAGGGATTGAAAACACGACTAATCAGTAAATATTTCAACTGCGAGTCATTGTTTGATGGCTGCAACAAAAGCCTTGAACATTAGGTTATTTAAAAAAATGACCACACTTCTGTAACTGAAAAAACAGGAAAAAAAGTGAAATTTTGCCAATATTCAATATTCTTATGATGCGTCAGTGCAAACCAGACGATTGCTTTACATTTATTCTGTCTTCTTTTGGTATGGTAGTTAGTCTGTTATAGAGTCCAACGAGGTATAGTCTGACCATTCGGTCATAGTATACCCAATATTTTATATCTTTTTCGCGAGCTAGTATAAACCAACTTCGTGTTGTTTTGGCAAGTATCGAGGCGTTTGGTAATGTCCTGTGGGTTGTATTCTAGCCACTCAGCTGCACTAATTCTAGTTGATTTCATTGAAATCATTTGGTAGTAGTTTTGTGATTTTAGTGAGTTCGTCTATCTCATAGCAGTAGGCTTTCGGCATAAAAGTAGCTTTCACATTACCAGGCCGCAGATAAATAGGTTACTGTGTAAAAAGTAATAAAGAGAAAATTCTAATCTTAAGAAAAGATGAATATCCGAAGAACTGAATAAATAAGCTGCTTAACTGGCAATGCAAACAGTGTGACACCAAAATGTATGAATAATACGAGCAAAGGATATGTTAATAAGCTACCTATGGGTTGTAGTACTTCACATACATTCGATTTTGTTCGCATTTAATTTGGTTGATCCCTTTTATTAACTTGTTTAGAGTCATTCGTAATTTAATAACTTATATATACCACCTAGCTTTAATGATTATAGAGCTTGTATGAGCAAGTATGATTGAACACGTCTTACCTCCTACGTGCAAATTCATTCTATTTGCTTTAATACAAGCCCCTCAAATAACTCCATGACTCACTAATTTTCCTTAGTATATATATGTACATTTTAATCCTATTCATTCACTCACTCACTCATTCGCTTGCTTGCTCTTCTACACCAGCATACGGTTTTGCTTCATGTGCCTGTGGTTTTTCGGTCTGATAGTGGTCCGACAATCAACGCATTCTACGCTCCGTATTCGTCTTACGATTTAGACACCATAGAGCGTTATCTAGTAACCGTTATCAGGACGACCAGTATGAGAAGTGTAAGAATATACCGAATATCGACTGCCACAGAACTGGTTGAGCCACATAAACCACAAGGTGATAATAATAACAGCAGAGAAGTTATGAAACACATTTCAAGCGTACCTGGTCGAAGCAGAAGATGGCATTCTATTAGTGGGTGCATGTTTGCCAAGTCATATGTCAAAGCTATCCATTCAAGAGGCTAGGGACACTTTGTCTGTCAGAACATTTGAAATGTCAGCAACTGTGGCAGAGTACCTGGGGTTTTGCTACTTGATGTGAATTCTTTTGGTAGTTACCTAGAGGGACGTGGTGGTAATGTACTAGCAGGATGCTCATGCTAAGTCAATCCAGTATACCCAATGAAGCATACTATTATCAGTTCACTTTCGAATGCCCTATAACTCAGGAAATATAGTTCAAAGTTTTTAAGTTTGTCTTCGTAAGATTTATCCTTTAACAATCTCACCCACTCACTCACTCTGTATTCGGCCCAAGAGTTTTTATCTCTTTTGGAGAGGTAGGGCGCACAACATTGTGAACTTCAGGGTGGAGCCATCTGTACTTTTTAAAAGGGTCAGGGACAGTTCTTAAGCGACTGAATCAAGTTGTCTTTGCATAGGGTGAAGAGCTACGTTTCGTTTGACTGCATCCGATATGTTGTCTAAGATGGTTTCCAACCTCACTGTGGTTATTAGACCGAGATCGCACTATGAGGAGACATACGGGAGCAGAATTCTACTGAGGACTTAAGTTGTTTGTACGACGTGAGGCAGAATGTTAACGATGTGATAATTTGACCGGTTAAGTCTTAACCCAATATCCACTGCCTATTTTTCTATTGTTATGAGATAATTTTGGCGATTAAATGAATCCTCTTCTCCTCTTACAGACCTCCAGACATTTTAATTATCTGTATAGAATAATGCTGCTGAGCGAATCTTGCCTAACTGGTCAATTATGAATATCAGGAAGAGAGGTGGAACTAAGATGGTCCCCTGTGAAACTCGTAATATTGAGACTAGCCAGCTCATTTGCACCCTAATTACCTCGGTACAAGACGTTTTGTTCTCTGGGTAGCTTCTAATACAAGATAGAAGTGGATTAGTGAAGCCCGTCTTCCAAACTTTTGTTGCTAGGAGCATTTGTAGCACGGTGTTCAAGGCTTTTATGAACCCTTCGACTGTTGGATGCACAGCCCCCCTGGTTTGTAGGTTTTCGTCCAGTCATGAACCTAGATAGATATTTCTGGTTTGCCTGTTTTCTGGCAGCAGGCTTCTTCTTGAAGAATCTCCTATCACTTCGAACTTTGTAATCGCATCTATTTTTCAACTCCAAGAAAGAACCACTGTCGAAATCCCTTAAAAAGACCTTACACTTGTGCCAAGCCCTCCTTTCTGCCTAACTTCAACCTTTTCCCTTCTCTTTCCAGGTGTTTAATTTACCCGAGATACATTTTGTGGGACGGCATTTTGAATGATGTCTCTCACTGTTTGCCAATGATCAGCCACTCTTAGCCTTCACTGTCTTGAGGTCGTGTGGCTTGCCGGTGCCCTCCCATGAGTGCGTAATTTGTGGCGGTGTAGAGAAGATACCGAGCGTTCCGGTCCCTTTAAAGTATTTCGTTTGTGACCATATTAAACATGAATGTGTCGCGGTCACTACTCGGTATTAGTGTGTCAATGGAAACATCCTCAAGCAGGAGTTGTTCATTTTTTCGGCAGATAATCTAAGTTTCGGGATCACACATATGTTCGATCAGTCCGGAACTTCTCATTGCTCTTGGAACCAACCTGTGTGAGTTGCACCCTGCTTGTTAAAATTAAGGGACGTGATGTTGAAATCTGCAGCTGAGAGTGACTGTACAATTCCCACGTGTGATGATCGCAATATCGCCTTGATCAACTTATTTTTCTGTACCGTAGTACCTGAGGAGAGCTGATAAATCCCTCCAATCAATTATTTTTTACCAGTCACACTGAAGTAACACGAGCACGATTTTGTCACAACGCTTGATACAGTACTGTATTATGGTGCGATCCTGAAGTAGCCGTTGCATTATACAGCCGCCCCAGCTGTTTTTTATGCCCCACAGAGTCGGAAGAGTGCCTTGCCTCATAGCTTCACCTCATTGTTTTCAGTATCGGAGGATAGCCATTTTTAGTTAAGATTGCTGTCTTCAGATTCAAATAAAAGTATATTCTTCTGATCTTTGCTAATTTACTTCTTGGTCTTACGTTGATATAGAGGTGCTTGTCGGTTTGTCGCCACCTAGTGGTAAGGAAGGCAAAGTAATCAGCAACACTGAAGAACAGCGAAATAGGTGGGTAGAACACTTTAAGGAACTATTGAACTGACCAGCTCCACTGAACACACCCAACTTCGAAGCAGCATCCACTGACCACCCAATTGATATTGGTGCACCTACAATTGAAGAGATCAGTATGGCCATCAGACAAATCAAGAGTGGCAAAGCAGCAGGACCAGACAACAATACAGCAGAGACAATGAAAGCAGATGTAGAAGCAACTGCGAAAATATTTCACATCCTCTTCAAGAAGATTTGGGATGAGGAACAAGTACCATCAGATTGGAAAGAAGGATACCCGATCAAAATACCAAAGAAAGGCGACCTGAGCAAGTGTGAGAACTACAGAGGCATCACTCTTCTTTCAATACCAGGCAAAGTCTTCAACAGAGTATTGTTAAACAGAATGAAGGACTTCGTAGACGCCCAACTTCGTGATCAACAGGCCGGATTTCGTAAGGATCGATCGTGTACTGACCAAATTGCCACATTACGGATCATTGTGGAACAATCAATTGAATGGAACTCACCACTCTACATCAACTTCATCGACTACGAGAAGGTATTCGATAGCGTGGATAGGAAAACACTGTGGAGGCTTCTTCGACACTACGGTGTTCCTGAGAAAATAGTTAACATCATACAGAATCCTTATGATGGATTAAACTGCAAAATCGTGCACGGAGGACAGCTAACCGACTCTTTCGAGGTGAAGACCGGTGTCAGGCAAGGTTGCTTACTCTCACCCTTTCTCTTTACCTCGAACGAATATATCAGCTGTCCTTTGCGCACGATTTTGCACTTTAATCCATCATAATAAGTCAACATCATACGGAATTCTTATGATGGATCAAACTGCAAAATCGTGCATTGAGGACAGCTGACAGACTCGAGATGAAGACCGGTGTCAGGCAAGGTTGCTTACTCTCACCCTTTCTCTTTCTCCTGGTCATCGACTGGATTATTAAAACGTCAACATCTGGAGTGAAGCACGGTATCAACTGGACAGTTAGGACGCAGCTGGACGATCTGGACTTCGCAGATGACCTGGCTCTTCTATCGTACACTCAACAACAAATGCAAGAGAAGACGACCAGTGTAACAGCAGCCTCTGCAGTAGTAGGTCTCAACATACATAAAGGAAAAAGCGAAATTCTCCGATGCAACACAGCATGCACCAACCAAATCACTCTTGATGGAGATGCCTTGGAGGACGTTAACACCTTTACATATCTGGGCAGCATCATCGACGAGAAAGGTGGATCCGATGCAGATGTGAGGGCGTGGATCAGCAAAGCAAGGGCTGCATTTCTACAATTGAAAAATATCTGGAACTCCAAACAAATATCAATCAACACCAAAATCAGGATTTTCAATACAAATGTCAAGACAGTTCAACTATATGGAGCGGAAACTTGGAGAACTACGGAAGGCATCATCCAGAAGATACAAGTGTTTATTAACAGCTGTCTACACAAAATACTTCGTATTCGTTGGCCAGACACCATCAGCAACAACGAACTGTGGGAGAGAACAAACCAGATTCCAGTGGAGGAGGAAATCAGGAAGAAGCGGTGGAGCTGGTGGATAGGACACACACTACGAAAAGCACCTAACTGCGTCACGAGACAAGCCCTCACATGGAACTCTCAAGGCAAAAGGAAAAGAGGAAGGCCAAAGAACACACTACGCCGAGAAATAGAGAAAGATATGAGA